GAAGCGGCATCAAGCGCCCAGTTGCCACGGTAGCACTTTTGGCCTCGAAGATAACCGCGCAGACAAAGCCCGACGGCCTTTTACGTCACCCCGAGTTTCATCAGCCGACCAAATTAAGAGCCACAGTCCTCCTGACACAGGCTCCCACCAAAGCGGGTGTGCAGACCACATTCATGAGGGAGGGGGGAGGTTTGTTTTAGTGTTTGAATAAAAGCTTAAATGTCTGTTTCACTAGGCTGTAATTAACATGTTTTCTCCTTTCACCACATTAACACATACAGAGAATAAGCTATGTATGAGCTCATGCATTGTAGAATATTTGATATCATTAAGAATATTTTCTTTCATAATGATTAAACTCCAACAATTATTTTCTTGATTAGACATTTTGTCCATAACATTTTGGAAAATTGTGACAACCGTAAGCTACTTCAAATCCGCTCATCCTTCATAAAGGGTCGCGGAGGGGCTGCAGTCAATCCCAGCTGACATCGGGGCGAGAGACAGGGTACTTGGGTGTTTTCTTAAAGTAGCCTGTTATGTCGGACTAAGAGGCCAGGAGCACAAATGTAATTATTTTCTGTCATATAAAGTAATTCAGAGAAAATCAGCATCCTCACAATTGAGATACTGAAACTAGTTTAGCATGTTTAGCTCGAATGCATTCGCGGTTTAGACATGAATCACAAAGATTTATGTCGACGCGTGGCTCCCCAAAATCAGGCACGCTTAATTGGGATGATTAAAGAGCCGTAGACGTCCGTCCTGTTCACCAAATGATTGACCCCCTATGTCCCATTTTTCACATGATCACATGAGAAGATGAAGTTGGACATAGAGATGTAATGGCAGCAAATGACAATTGGCACTGACAGAGAATTTTGCCTTTCTGGCTCAAACTGTTCAAATCACTTTGTCTTTGCGTTACATTTGTCCGTCCACTGGAGGTCTAATCATTGCCATAGAACAAGAAAGACTCATTTCTCTCTTCACCTCAGCCTGAGACACAGACGTGGTGCTGGGCTCGTATAAATAACGGATAAAAGAATCGACTGCCTGAAAATAAACTAATTTTTGCCTATATTAAGACTACAAAACATTATACATCTTTGCAATCAGTTCAACATCATGATGCAGCTTTCAAATGTTGGGTCAGGGAGTTCTCTCTCTCCAGTGATGTCATACACCCCCCCCCTCTCCCCCCGTGACAGTCGAGAGATGAGAGCCCCCGCCATTCCGGGACGTTTCGATTAGGCCGCAGAAAACACAGTGGCATCTATTGAGAAGCCAACAAGGGAAGATTGTTCCTCGGAAGGCAAACTCCAATGACACGAAAACAAACAAAAGATACTGGAAAACCTCACACGAGCAAATGCTGGCGCACATGATAGAATAAACATCTCCTGCTTTATACAGATACAGCTTTATAGAAAACGGATGTAAAGTCAAACACAGAGGAATAAATCCCTTGGAAGGCGAGCGGAGCCCCCTGCTGCAGTGGGCCTGAGATGACCCGCTGTTATATAAGCAGATTGGTGAAGCTTAGATGTACTGGCCGCCAGCACTTTCACTCGCCGCAGGGGACCAGATATCAAAGTATGGTTAGTTAGAGCAGTAATTCATCTGCAGCAGAGCCCTGTTTCCCAACGTGAACAGAGCTCTGCCTAAATATATATATCTTTTTTTTTTTTAATTCCAAAAGTCATTTGGCTGAAGCAGGAAGGAACGTCGGGTTACGGCTCCATTTGAGGTTTGTTCCTGTTACAAAAGAACAACACACGGTGACTATTGTTCGCAATCCTGGAAGTGACATTCAATGTGTTGGTACACCTGCTCAGCTATTTTTCCTTACAAAGACCAAGATGCGCACGCGCACACTCACACACACACACACACACACACACACACACACACACACACACACACACACGGACCAGAACACGTGCAGACGTCACAAATGCCTCCTGGGTCAATCTGTCCTCAGCGTCAACAAATCACAGTGGGAGAAAGCGAAGCCACTTGCCGTCTCTATTTCTGACGACCAGCAGCTGAGAAGCGTTCCATCACAAAAATTCTCTGCAGCTGTCATCGCCGTGGCAACCCCCACATCCACCTACCAGCCAGCATTAATATCCTCCAACATTTGGCTTTTGGTGAGAAATGGACCTACTGTGTTAGAAACTGAAAAAAGCCCATCTCTGTTTGAGAGAAGTGAACAGATCCACCATGACGTAGATTATCACTGCTTTCATATCTTTACATCTCATCCTATTTATATCTGGGAGCTGGTTCTCACACACAGTCCTCCGGTGTTAGCTGTGAACCACAGGCTGCTCCATCTGTGCTCCAGCGTTAAAGGGCATGATATGCTGTCGTCCTCCAGTCTTCTCAACCCTTTCTGTTCCTCATCCAGGCGTAGCAGTGGGTGACTTGCAGAAACCAGCGATGATATAATCAAATTTGACCTACACTGCTTTCTTTAAATAATATGAATAAAACACATAAACCAGACCGTAAATATGTTCCCCCAAGCAGAGACAACAAGAAGGTGAGACCATATCATTTTCCTTTTAAATGATTTCTTCAGATTCACGGTAAACGGTAATTATCTTGGATTTTGTGTTTTTATTTATCTGCATTACAGGCTCCTCAAAATATACATGCATGTGCATGTTTTTGACCATTTGTTTATAAATACCAATATCCTCCCAAGAAAAGGTTATTATCTCATTATGATTATGAATAAAAAGGCTATTGGCCTGAATATCAGCTATTCTACAGAGGTCTTATGCAGATATATGATGTTGACAACAAGGCGAAAGAAAGGAAGAAAGAAATGTGGCGTCCAATCAAAACATATTCCAATAGACCCCCCCCCCACACACACACACACACACACACACACGCTGCATTTTATTTGACATAAAACAGCAAATGTGTTGCGAAAAAGGACGACCCCGGATGTGTCTTTACATGCAATGAGTGGATTCTTTGGACCCGTCTACCTGCTGCGTCGTCCGGCTCCAAGCCCGTGTCCGTGTCCACTCCGCACTCCACGAAATAGTGGGCGAATCGGCAGGAAGCCGATCCCGCGGCCGCCGCGGTGCCGCTCATCCTCGACGCGTCGGTGGCGTGAGAGCTCCGTCTACTTCTGCTGCGCGGTGTGGGTGTTCATCGCCGATGCGGCTGATCCGAAAGGTCCCCCCTCTTCCCCCTTTCCCCTTCCCCCAATATACGCACCACCACCACCGACCCCCACACCGCGTCTCGGCCGTGCTTCCGTGTGACGACGCGCCCGCGTCCACTGTGAGACTGTGATGGAGCTCAGCGGGACGCAGCGACGGTCTCCTCGCCGCTTCAGAGTGGGAGAGAGAGAAGGGGGAGACAAAGACCGAAACGCATCATGGGACAATAATTATTTAATAAAGGCTTATTCTTAAAGGGTGTCGCCCAATTTCATCACCCACGCCCACATCATAAAAATTACAATTTGTCATAGGAATATTATGGATTCAAAAATAATACATATATTTTTTTCTTTAATATTTCTACAATAAATTGTGATTACTACTGTGTAAAGGTACAGTATTAACGATTTTCAAAATATGTAATGTTATCAAAACCTTAAAGGAAAGCTCATTCAAACCGTACATGTTCTATGAAGGTCAGCTTACTGCCTGTGCAAACAGCTCTGCTCGACAGTGGGCTTTTATAAAGTTGAAAATAATCAAAAATCTGTTTTTAGACCTGAATCTGTCTTTTACAAGAAGTTTGAATTATAAGCTTGATGTGTGGAGTTTGAAAGAAGGGAGTTGTACTAGTCACAGGACACCTGAATATGCATTGTGTTGCATTCAATGTTGACCCACATAACTGCTTGGACCAGTTTTCTAAAAACTGACTCTTTTGCATCCTCCAAAGTCACAGCAGAGCAATGATGACCGTTCGATATCAGTCCAATCTGTATTACAGCTCTGTGGATATAATAACCTCTATGAACTAAGTATAGCATCTCTATTTAGGGCCCGAGCACCAACACAGTTGGAGCAGAGAACATATTGTTCTTCTAATGTCGACTATAATTATCATCATCCTTGCAAAAACAAGGTGCTTGGGATACCAGCAAGGTTACGACTTTTCTTTTACGTTGTACAATGAGTGTGGAGTTGCTGAACAAAAACAAAAAAATGTATGTAGATTTTGGTAACCGCAATATTGGGTTACCAAAATCTGCATAAAATGTTTTCTGTGTTTGTACCGTGAAAGAACATACAAAAAGTTTTCTTGGAGGAAACCCTTAAACCCAACAGCAAGTCGGCCATTCGTTGTACTTTAACAAACTCCTCCTAGAGATTGAATCCAATTGGCTTCATATTTCAGCGCTATGATCTTCGCACTGAGGGTAAAATATAATAAAAGGTCAAATAATTATTACACTATGTATGTGTAACGTAGAGCAAAGAAACCGTTTGCCATGAAATATGCTTTTTGTAAGACGGCCGTACTTTGATCGGCTCCAAATGTCTCGTGTGTTGTTACATCCTGATCATGAAGACATTATTCCGATAATTTGGAATTCTAGTAGTAACAGGAAGTCATAGGTTGTGCATCCTCCTCCTCACAGATTATGAAGATCCATCTAAAATGTTGCCAGACACACCTTAAGACAATAAAGATCTTCACGGTGCAGATTGTGAGGATTTGCTAAGCGACGTGGCAGCTCTGTGAATTTAGATCCGTCGCCATAAACAAACTGATGTAATTTGACTCCACATCGTCTAATCTTTCCCAAATGTCACATGTTCATGAGTCTGTGAGCTTGAAAGACATCTTTTAAGAAAATATTTAATTGCAGTCATAGTGCCACTATGTTGAAACCCATAAGTAATGTTGAAAAAGGTTACAGAATGATAATTTAGATGCATGGACAAAAGGCAGTCCAACTTTCACAATGCTACTAGTTTAATCTATTTCAGTAAACAAATACGAATGATAATCAATACTATTTCACATTGAGCATTTATTGAAACATTCAGAAAGACAAAACAAACATTTTTTCATTAAATAAATATGGCGATTTAGGCCACAAGTAAACCAGCTTCCTGCTGTTTGTGTTTACGTAAACCATATTGCCTGAGAGAGATTTAGGATTAAGTCAGTGTCCAAAATTAAAAAACGTGCAGCATTTCTTTAGACCTGGTCTGGCTCGTGTCGTAAAATCCTTGCAACAGAAATCATATTCCGAGATAATCGTCACATCTTTCATGCGTTTAGATGTTAAACTAGGAGATGGCTCCACAACGCCGGTCAGACAATATGTGGATGTGTTACTTTCAGCTGATCTCATTATAGAAAAATGCATAATATAGGATGACAAGGCTTTGTATTTTTGTTAATCAACAATCAATGGGTGCAAAAGAATGTTCATTTAAACTAAGTAATAGATTTCGCAGACCTTTGTCAGAGGTCGATTCCTCTTCAACTCATTTTCAAGCTGCATTTCTGCACGACATTCATGTTGGCCGAAACAATCAGTCCAGACATCCTTTTCCCCTGCAACTTCCTCCAGCTCCACTCGGGGGAATTCACAGGTGTTTCTGAGAGAGATGGAACTCCACCAGCGCATCCTGGATCAAACCTGGGGTTTTATTCAAAGTCTGCTTAGCTTATATCAAGTGTCCCAACCACTTGTGCAAGCTGGTCTTAAAGCAAGGGAGACAGTGTTTAAACTCCAAGTTCTTCCTATAGATGCACTGGAGATCATCATTTTACGTGAAAGGAAAATCAGGCTTTACTTAAACATATCTTAACATGGTCAAAGAGAATGCAACAAATACATAAATATGAATTTAATTGTTATTAAATATAATGGTTTCAAATACCTCCATTTTCCAACTATTTGGAATACTTCCTCGCACTAAACTTCTCACATCGTCAAAGAACATGAGCGCAACAGTCCTGTATGATGACCTAATTCTGTCTCTTCCAAAGTCAAGATGCACTGATGCTTACATTCAATTCACCAATGAAGATAACATCTTGAAGACCACCATCCTTAAACCAACGTGCTGATAAATGAGAGGACAGGAGTTGTAGTCCAGCCATGTGACAGTGTCTCCATGGCGAGAAACCTCGTGGACTTTTCATTTAAGTGTCTCTCTGTACTAAAGAAGGGTACAAAGTTAGTTTGTGCTGCACGGGTCTTTCTGACATTATCTCTAGAAAATGTTTGGCAGTGGGTTTAGATTCAGAAAATTTCACTGATTAAATGTAGTGAAAGAAAGTAAAACACAAGGGAAAAGTGGAATAGATCACATATGTGTGGTATTAACACTTATCTGGGGAATACTTTAGATGGAAAGAGAATGTGTGTAAGTTGAGTATCCATCCGCAGGCGGCTATGCTGCATTGAATATTAGAAGATTACAGTCAACAGATATATAATAGGACTAGATGGGCGATGGCTTTGGCAAAATCGGTCGAGACAAAAGCTGCGCGTGGATGGAGAGTGCAGAGAGGGACGTCTATGTCAAGATGCGGGCCACCTGGGACTGAATCTCAACATCAGGGTGTGAAAGCAGCTGGACCAGTCGGCTGTGTAGCTGGGAGGACTCATCTAACATGACCCGGAAGAGGCAATCCTGAGTCCGCCGCAGTTCATCGGCCACCTGCGCCGAGGCCCTCCAGGCCTTTAGGTTCCCGGCAAACGTCAGCAGTCGCAGAAGCACCGCGGTGGCTGTCCGTGAATCAAACAGCAGCACGACCGAGGCAGGTGCCTACGACAAAAAGGAGGAAGGACTTTCATCAAAATGGGGATTTATAATGAAGCGTGGAATGACACTACTAGTGATCACAAATAAACGTAACCTATTTAATCCATTTTCTTATTTGATGAGCTCTTAATCCTGATCCATGCTAACGTACACAATCTCATTATTCTTACCTGAGCTTGAACAATGTCATCCATCATATCTGGATTGGACGACAAATTCACAAGGACTTTTGAAGCCTGAATCTGAAAAGACAAATATTTAAAGTGTTTCTTTCCCACACATTACATTCACAACTCTACTGGCCTGATCAGTTTTCCAAGAGCTACAAGCTTTTAAACGTTACAAAAAGGTATTCAACAACGTGAAGACGATCAACCAGGTGTGACCTAAAAAGAGACCAACCTGTAATGCTTCTTTGCTCACAACAAGCAGAGAGAGTAAAAGGGTAATGGATTTCTTCAGCAAGTGTTGGTGTTTATCTGTGACGGAAAGGTTCGTCAGCAGCCTGAGAGCAGCAAGCTGAAGGTCCGAATTCACTGGTGACATCTCAATCAGCTCCAGCACTTGTGGGACATAAACCTATAAAAAAAAAAGGTGTGGACATGAACATTCAAACAGAACATGATCATGTTCAGCAGCAGATGATATGCATGATATTTTCTGTACATTGTAGGGCAACATACCTTTATTTGTTCCTGGTTTTGGATGTTCATACATAGATTATTCAATGCATTCAGAGTCTGCACTCTAACCTCTGCCAGGGGATCAGAGAGGAAACCAGCTATGATATGAATCCCTTCAAAGTCCCGTATAAGATTCTGGACAATCGGTAAAAAGGGAAAGAAAAATGTCAGAGAGCATTCAGAGCTTTGTGTGGCACCACTTACAAAGCCCATCAGCTGCATCACTTTCCAACTAGATCCCCTTAAAACTTCACACGAAGCATTTTAGAATGAACCTCACTCACACAATGTGTTGTTGAAAAGAAAGTGGACTTTCACTCACCTGATTCACAGTAAAGGCAGCAGAATTCCCCAACGTCAGCAGCATCCGGCATCGCTCGGATGGATTACTGCTGGTCTTCAGACACGACAGCAGCATCTTCAAGTGCTGAGGATCCAGGTTACCAGAGGACTGCTGGGTGATTTCCCCTGTGGAGGATGAACCACACAACAAAGATGCACATTTAAACGTGCTTGCACTAAAGGAGACCTGGCTGTGGTTATTGTTTTCAAAACAGACAACTTGTGTGTCAAAATATGAGTGTATATGCGCGCTTGGAGTTTCTCATCTTGGGATATAAGGTCGGGCCTGCGTGCTTCTTCCATTACCCGATGCAGCATCCACAGGTCGGGGAGCGACGACGTCCAGTCCAGACACCCTGGCCACCAGGCTGCCCGGCGGAAGGGGCGCTTCGCTGGACTCGCTCCGCCTGACCCCGGGACTCTCATTGGCAGCGCTTTTCTTGTTCCTCTTGAAGCCTCCGCCGCTGAGGAGTTTGTATAACCCGTAGGAGGCTCCAGCTCCGGCAACTATTCCGAGCAACGCTCTCGCGTTGCCGAACCGGGGAGCGATGCTGCCGTCGCCCATGCTGCGTCTTCGCGTTAGCTAAGCTCAGTTAGCTACAAACTCAAAGTCAGCTAACGTTGAGTCGGATCGTCAGACTCGCCAGCTGACTAACCCGCCCCCCCCCAGCTAGCTGCCGACGACCCCCACACAAACACAAACAGACCCACTCATACTGTTGACTGGTTCTTTGATGTGGAACCCGGAGAAGTGTGGAGAAAAGCTGCGGCTGTCAACGCTGCGCTGTTGCGTTGTTGCACGCAGCTCGTGTTGCCAGGTTTGACGGACAAAGTTTAAAATCCGCCCGACGGACATATCGCCTCGTCGCAATTATTTTAGAGCTTTGACGGGATCATAATAGGATTGATGTTCATGTGCAGGAAAGTGCCCATAAAGTACAGTTAGCCAGGAGTAACCCCAATCCAAATTACGTTAAGCAATTAATTTAAAAGAAATCCGCCCAACCTGGCAACGCTGTCTGGCAGCTCCGCTTTACCGAACAATAGTTCTGCTGTATGATTAGCAAATAGTTTGTTCCATTGGGAAATATTTCACGAAGTTTTTGAAATCTGTATTAAACAGTTAAGCGCAACGTGCGGACTGAAGTGTGTGAAGATTTGTGCGATATTACGCTCGTTGCAGAAAACGTCACTATTTCGCCCAATATTCATTTTTCGTGAATATGGAAAACTTGGGCCATATAATTCGATATAGGACTTGACAGTCCTGTCTGTCATGTCCCAAAGAGCGGAGTTTCTGAGACTTGTGGCCCAGATAACTTACATTTCCTTTGTGCTTTTCCTTGAGGCAGACAGTTGGGAGTTTTTTTAGTCTCTGCTTAGAGTGAAAGTATTTTATATCTCGTCCATTTCCTCCCATTAAGAGATCAGGTCCTTTTATGTGCATATTCGATATAAAGTACTCTACGCAAGATTTATTCAACGTTACATTTATAATGAGAGCCTGTAGAGATCGTGGGCAGTATTCCGTATGTCCAATACTTTGACATACTGTACAGGTAGTGTTAATTCATTGTTTGATATTCATGCAGAATGACAAGTTTACAGTCTTATATTTGTGGAGCATTTTTTCTGATCAATGTTAAATGCGTGGCGGTCATTAAAACATATCTCGTTTAAACTCTAAAAGGTACATTTTTTGCTGATGCAGAACAGTGCCTTTCAACAACCTCTGCAATGACACTAGAGTTTTTACGACCCAGGTGACACCGCGGGACAGTATGTTCAGCGCCTACGTACTGTAGCTTCAAAAATCAATGAAAACAGACTTGTTCTGTATTCCTTTCTAGAGGTCCTGTGGTCTGTTCGAGAATGCCTACTGCTGTTATAAGAACAATTTAACAAACTCGTGTTTTTCATGCGCTGCAAGCATTATAAGCTTTACTCAAGATTGAGGTTTTAAAAGGTTTTTGTTTACCGGACGAATTGAAAATAATCAATCGAGATGCATGTGTCAATAGCTTTTCAGTGCTTAAATATTGTCATTAAATCAACCAAGAAACACCGTTGAACAGGTCCTATGTCAAACAATCAAGAGGTAAAAAAACCCTAATATTTTATGGTTTTATTAGTTGGATGCGTAGAACTGCAGAATCTTCCTCCTAGTTCAAGGTAGCAAGAGATCCTTGTGAAAACAAAAACAAATTATTCAAAATTGAGTTGTGTGAGCCATCACAATCAGTGTGAATACGTACCATATTTACAAGCAGACAGACCATCAGCCACTTCACCTGTATTCAACGAGAGTTTACACATTTTGATTTCAATGACTCATAAGCAGTTAAATTCAAAAGTAAAATACCAGAGTTTTCCATACCATGTTATTTCTTGAAGTTGATTCCTTTGAATGTTGAAATCCTTTTACATTGTGGGTTCTAGTGTTCTCGTATTTACCCAGTCGATATGGTGCATAGAGTTTATAGATGACGATTACATGATTGTTGCGGACAGTAGCTGGGAGTTTCTGGCACCATGCTCATATGAGATTGAATTATGGATTCCAGTTCCTGGGCATAGCTTCGTTCTAAAGTCTCCCTGATGCTGACAGTCAAGCAACGTTAACAAATTTGAAAATTTCCAACTATGAAATGGCAGCGACTAGATGCCGCTTCAGTTTCTCATCTTTTGACTGGGCAGTTGGGTTGAGAGGATGACCAACACTTGCGCTCTTGTCTTTGAGATGACCATCAGGTCTACTTGAGCCATAAGAGCTGGGCGGTTGCACAGTATACCTTGTGTAGAATCTGACTGGCTTTCTCTTGAGGGACAGATTCTGAGCATCATGTGGGCGGCTGGTTTGAACTCCAAAAAGAGTGCTACTCTGTGAAGGGTTATTAGAGCTGGACGACACCGAACCAGTGGATCGGGGCAGATGGGCGGTAGGCATGTGGTTTATGTAATTTGATAGCGTGCCAACAGTGTGTTGATAGCCCTGAGATGATATGGCCGGTCTTCTGTCATGTTCTGGTTGAGAATCTGGGACGTAGAGTTGACCCCTCCGCGGCATGACACGTGGAACCCGACGATAGGAACTCAAAGGTGTGCGCATCGGTGCAGACAGGATTTGGTCTGAAGTCACCCTGCTTGGTACATCTCTAGCAAGTTCTAAACCACGAGATGGTTTTTGAGTTTCCTTTGTAGAGTCTTCAGTCGGAGATGTAGATTTTGGTTCTTGCCTGATATTCTTCTCAGAGGTCCTACTTGAATAGTGGCTGAAATTTTGAGATGGCCGGTTTTGGGAGTGGACACTGGGCGCAGTCAAATGACCACTGAGCAACGAATCATGTCCAATTAATGAGCCATTGGGTATTTGTCCAGGGAGCTTGTAGCTTATTGACGGAGGAGCTTTGTTTCTCACATGAGGAGCACTTGTGACAATATCGGGGTTTCCCCTAGAAATGAGACCATGGTCAACACCATCGTAACGCCTTGAAACGTGCCCTGTGGCTGCTGAATGATCACGAGGGTAGACTGCAGAGCCTGGCCCTCGGCCTCGTTTGTCGTAGACGCTGGTAGGCGCGAGACTGTCAGCGGGGTCGATAGCATCACGGACAGAGACGCTTTCACTTGGCATTTGGTAGTTTGCACCGTGTTCAAGCGCCGTACTCGTAGCTGCTCTCCGGTCTTCATTTCCACTGGTGTCGTCATGGGCGGTGCCTTCATTTGCAGATGAAGACCTATGGCCCGTGTCGTGCTGCCTCTTCATATTCACCGCATTAGAAGCAATCTCCTTTTTAATGGTTTCCCGAGCGGTTTGAAAATGGCTTTCCAGGTCATCTCCTGGCATTAAGAAAGCGCGCTTCATCAATTCCACAAACCGTTTGAAATCTTTGATGGATGAGAAACTGGGGCCTGCCATATTTTTTGCTTGTCTGTGCTCGCTCACTAATATGCCTAAGGGGTGTTGTTGATCAGGACCGTCATGCGCATGTTTCGGTACAGGGGGAGAGGAGGGGACATCCTGGTCCAACTCTGGTTTGCGGTTTGTCAGCTCTTCACCAAGACCAGTAGAAACACCGGCATCCTTATAGTTTTCATGGTGGAATGGTTCTCTCTGACGGAAAACATAGCGTTGGTTTCTCATAGCTTGCATCTCATCCCTTAGACTAGCAGTGTCATGGTTTGGCTTCAAAGAAAATGAATGAAACTGGTTTGACGTTTGTGGATCAAGCCCTCCTACACGGCTACTAAATTCATCCTCATTGAGATAGTAGCCATGTGCAATATTGCAACCTAACGGGGAATAAACAGACATATTGATTTGTGTTTGAATAAGGTCAGGGATAATATAGAAAGTCTTACCTTTTTGAGAAGGAAAACAAATACTGCCCCAAAACAGCAGATTGGAAATCCACGAAAGCCTGAAAAACAATACAGTCAGACAAATAAGCGGAGAGCAAAAAATCTCTTAAAAAAAAAAAAAAGACATTAATGCATTTACCAAAATGGAGACGCCATGGCAGTGAGTTCAACCTCGGCACAAACGTCCAACAGCAAAAGCAAGAACCGGCTGTTGAGATCAGACGCACAGATAACAATCAGTCATGTCCTTTTCCCCCTGAAGGTGTGGGAGGAAGGAATGGTTGAAAAAGTGCACAGAACGATGCCAAGACCTTTATGGGATTCTACTCACACTGATTGCAATTAGGTGATTGTAGGCAGCTGCTGCTGTGTGAAAATCCACCACATTAGACAAGCACAGTTGCAGAATGTATTCAAAGGGTAGCAGCGATGGCTCAAATATGACTGAAAGCAATCCAAGATTAATCTATATGATGATAGTTTAAAAAAGAAATGTCTTGAGTATACAAATGATATGTCAATTGTGCTCGATAGGAGGATGATAACAAATACACTTCCAAAGTTAAAATTTCTGAAATTAATCCACGAAATATCCATAAAATATTGATAACACCAGGAGAGAGTGCCTTGGTTTTCTCGCGACCGCTATTAACAAGTTCTGGAGGAGATTCTATTTCCCAGATTCAGCACAGCCGTGTCCTTAATAGACCTTTGGTCTTCTCAATCATTCTGTCCTGTCTGAACGGCCAAACCCGCATTTAGTCCAGATATTTGTTAGGAAAGATATGCTTATTTCATTTATACCCTCTGTTACCCTGTTGAGTTTATGCAGGTCTCCCTGTGTCCCATTCCCCTGAATTAATGATGAGCTGTGTTTGCTTTTGGGGACAGGAAGTGGAAGAGGTTCACTACACAGAGAAAGAGAAGCACAGTAGAGCTGCCTCTGAAGATGGACACAGCAAAGACACATTGTGAGAGGAAATGCCAGCGGGTTGCCCTCAACAAATGGTCAAACTGTGTAGAATTACACAAGACGAAGCAGGACGGTAGGTGGTCCATTCATTATTTCTTAATGGAAAGGTAATCATGAGGAGTTTTGGCTGTTTCTGCAAGCTGTGACTGATAATTTTGTACAGCCAGAGAACATGCAGCACGGTTAAGAAATGTGTCCAAACTGAAAATCTTTCCTGCCAATAGTTTGGTGATCATTTTGTGACTCATTTGTCCCTTGCTCTTTTTACTCTGATTTTATTCAACTCAATTTTTCTGACAGTTCCCCAAAACATTTGTGCATCCGGAAAGTATTCACAGCGCTTCACTTTTTCCACATTGTTATGTTTCAGCTTTATTCCAAAATGGATTAAATTCATTTTTTCCTCAACATTCTACACAAAACAACCCATAATGACAAAGTGAAAACTGTTTTTTGCAAATTTTTGCAATTCTGTTAAAAATAAAAGAACGAAAACATCAAATGTACATTAGTATTCACAGCCTTTGCTCAATACTTTGTTGAAGCACCTTTGGCAGCAATTCCAGCCTCAAGTCTTCTTGGGTATGATTCCACAAGTGTGGCACACCAATTTCTGGGCAGTTTCTCCCATTCGTCTTGGCAGAACCTCTCAAGTTCCATCAGGTTGGATGGGGAGCGTCGGTGCACAGCCATTTTCAGATCTCTTCAGAGATGTTCAATTGGGTTCAAGTCAGGGCTCTGGCTGGGACACTCAAGGACATTCACAGAGTTGTGCTGAAGCCACTCCTTTGTTACCGTCGCCCCAGTCTGAGGTCCAGAGCGCTTTGGAGCATGTTTTCATCGAGGACGTCTCTGTATATTGCTGCATTCATCTTTCCCTCAATCCTGACTAGTCTCCCAGTTCCTCCCGCTGAAAAACATCCCCACAGCATGATGCTGCCACCACCATGCTTCACTGTAGGGATGGTATTGGCCAGGTGATGAGCAGTGCCTGGTTTCCTCCAGACATGACGCTTGGCATTCAGGCCAAAGAGTTCAATCTTTGTTTCATCAGACCAGAGAATTTTGTTTCTCATGGTCGGAGAGTCCTTCAGGTGGGCTGTCATGTGCTTTTTACTGAGAAGTGGCTTCCGTCTGGCCACTCTACCAAACAGGCCTGATTTGTGGAGTGCTGCAGAGATGGTTGTCCTTCTGGAAGGTTCTCCTCTCTTCATAGAACAACGCTGGAGCTCTGTCAGAGTGACCATCAGGTTCCTGGTCACCTCCCTGACTAAGGCCCTTCTCCCCCGATCGCTCAGTCTGGCTGGGCGGCCAACTCGAGGAAGAGTCCTGGTGGTTCCAAACTTGTTCCATTTCCGGATGATGGAGGCCACTGTGCTCATTGGGACTTGCAATGCTGCAGAAATCTTTTTGTACCCTTCGCCAGATCTGTGCCTCGATACAATTCTGTCTCTGAGGTCTACAGATAATTCCTTGGACTTGCTCTGATATGCACTGTCAACTGTGATACCTTATATAGACAGGTGTGTGAGGAAAATAATGAATTTAATCCATTTTGGAATAAGGCTAAAACATAACAAAAAGTGAAGCGCTGTGAATACTTTCCGGATGCACTGTAGTTGCCTTGGAGAAAGTTGAGCGAGTTCTAAATGCTGGCGGGTTGAGCGCATAATAAGCAGCAGGGTGTATACAAGTGACTCAAGGAGGGCCAAAGAGTACTTTGAGGTAAACATTCATTTGGAATTATAGTCAAAGAAAATGGAAAGGATTTGTACCCATTTTGAACATTTCTTTATTATGCAGGAATCTTGCAGAGGTTGCAAACAGGGTTTATAGAAATTGGCAACAAAGTCCACCAGATTGGGGAAGGATGTGACGGACTCTCAGCGCTCCCCACTAGCCTCTGAATGAAGGTAGTTTTTCTCAAACCACAACAGAAATATAACAGCTCTGGATTTAAAGGTGCAGTCTCTGTTTTCTAAGCAGTGATGTCATCATACAGTATCTGTTACATAAGACATAAAACATGCCGCCAGCCTCCTTTAGTCAGTTGGTTAATGTCAGTTAAAGCTCATTATGGTCTGGTAGACAAATTGCCTAATTACTGGTGTTGGGACAACTCTCTCATCTCTTGTTGTTATGTGGTTACTGTTTAACATATTGTTGATCGTATTTCCGATTAGTGTCTCCATATATATATATGAAAGTTTTAAGTGGATCTTTTTAGACTCTGCATAACTTCAGTCATAGCCCTGTTTGTTTTGGATTCACATTCGCTGGCAAAGGGAGTGCAGTTCTGGCTTGGTTTGCTCTGGTGTTTCTGTCCAACATTTCTCCATAAATAATGTTGTGCTTCAGGATGACTATATTTGGAGTAAGAAAGTGGCTTCTTACATCGCACTACCCTGCAAAGTGGCAGAAGTCAGGGAATCCTGCCTGTTGCGATGTGGGTACTGAACAATTGCATTTCCAAAGTGAGAGATGGTTACTCGGTATAGATCATTCACGTGTTTCCACCTTTCCAAATGATCATTTATGTCATAGGATTGTTTTTTCCTCAGATCTTCCAATATTTAGAGCTGCGAGACTTGCTGAATTGTGCCGAGGTGTGCTGCACATGGACAGCTGTCATCCAGTCAGGCCCACTGTGGAGTCAGGTCTGTACTGGGAGGTTGGTTCATCTATTAATCCACGGTGCTGTCTATTTAGAGGAGCACAAATGTTCTCTAATGTGTGTATCCGGTAATTTCTCTTTGGAGAAAGACTGGATAACAGACTGCACAGTGAGGCAGATTCTGCAGAACTACCGTCCATTTGTCACCCACCTGAATCTGCGTGGCTGCACATCTCTGAAATGGCCCAGCGTGAAATGTATAAGTGAGTATTTCACTTTCTGTTTGTACAATACCCACGCTTCACTCAGATGCATTGACACAGACAGATTATGGAAAGAATGTTTCACAGTCTATAAATTGTCGTCAGCTCTTATATTCAGATTAAAAAGACAGCAAACATGAAAACAACACGGAAAAATGTTGTTTTTCCATCTGATACAGACAGTGTTATTTATGATAGTGAAAGGAGAAGAATGAACAGAAAACAAATAGGCTTTTCAACATCAAATTTTAGGACACCGTTTGACTTGATTCAGGAGAGCCTGATGATCTGGTACTTCTGCGGCCCCCTCAAGTGGCTCGGCTCCAGCTCCTCCAGTTCTCCCTGCACTTCCATTGCTGTGTTCCATAGTTCAGGGTCCGTTTGGTCTTCATCTGATCTGCTGTGCTGTCTGTCCTTCGGACACTCCTTGTTGTAGGAATACACATACTCTGCTACGCTCTCCCCGGTGTGTTCGGGAGGAGATTGACACCAGAGGCCAGAGTGTCTCACTTTTGAGTGCAGTTGTAGCCAGTACGCCATGTAGTGGATGCTGGAAAAAAACAATGAAATCTCGTTTTAATAATTCGTTTGCATTAGTCCAAAGAAATGTATTACAAACCTTCAAGCGCAAAAACCCACCTATAGTCGCACACCCAGGGATTATCTCCCAGCTTTAGCTTTGACAGGAAGTAAAGGTCCTCAAGAACTCCATAGTGGACAAAACGCAGGCTGTTGTTGGACAGGTCCAGCTCAAGTAGATGCAGCAGCCCAAACAGGGAAGCTGGGAGAGCCAAAAGAAAGGACAAGGGCATATAATTCTATTAAGAGAGACTTGTTGCTGTAGGAATGTGCAAGCTGGCGTTCAGTTTGTGTTTGAACCACAGAGTAATCCCAATATCTCCGCTGCCCTCTCAGCTTTCCCACTACAAATAAAACCAACTCTGTATACACAAAGATCTCTAAAAAGAAAATAGAGGAAACAGAAGTCAGCAGCAGTTGTGTAACGGGTTCTTTGGCCCTCAATATGTTCTCTATCGGCCGAAGAAAAACATGTTTGTGTAGTTTCTTATGCTGGATGTTGCCGGAAATATTGAGCACACACTGTATTATTTTCTGGTGATGATTATTTGGTATCCAGCAACAATACCACACATACCTTTGTCAATGTGCTCCAGGTTATTATGACTGATGTCAAGGGTTCTAAGGCTCCTTGCTCCTTGGAAATTTTTGGCTTTCAGATGACGTATGGAATTATGGGACAAATCCATATGAACAACGTCCTCTGGAATACCTGCAGGCACCTCGGTTAGACCTAAACATGGAGGAGAGCAGGTTATTTAATGGTTCCCAAATGCATTTCATTACTTTGCCTCAGATAAAACTTTGTTTTATCCTTGTTGTTTTTCTTTTTTTTATTGATTAGAATTATAGTTTTCATTCACAATACATATTTGTTAAACCAAAGACTGCACAAAGAAATCCTGCAGAATTTCCTCTCTTGGTACCGCAAGTGAAAAATTGACGCAGAGATTTATGCTGTTCTATTCTTAATCTGAATTATCCTGCTGCTGGTATGAGGCAGATCTTTCTGACATTGTTAGGTTTGCAATACTTTTAGCTAAATTTAAAATGCAGGTTTTGCAACTTACTTATTCCTAATGTATTAGCTGTGTTTACTAAATGCTTTTCCAATGTTTCCACCAATGACTACTGATTAGAATCATAGCATAACCAATTGAAAACACCTGCCAAACCAGACGTGTCTCTTTGACATCTGGACGGGAAATATTTTTTTAAGAAATTCCGGTCATGAAAGCCAAATATTAATCGTTAACATACGATCACAAGAAGCGTCTTTTTTTTAACATCTCTGTTGCGTAAGTAACACATGTGCCGAATTTATAAGAGCATCAGGATAAGCATCTCATTTAGTCCAAACTTTGTCTGGTGCTGTAAATAAAACTCCTTTAGAGGAAAGCGGATGGTGAACTTGCCTCGGTTACTGCAGTCCATCCGTATTTGGGGGAAAAGATAAGTATGGCAAGTTGTGGTTGCGTCTGGTTTCGTGCGGATGGGAATGGGGTCCACGGGGTTTGTGGGATCTGTTTGGTTGTCGCCCGGCAATGTCTCCATGCAAAGTAACCTAGGGTCAATCTGCTTCAGCTTCATGCCTTTCACCCAGGCGGGCCCTGCGCACCTAGAAGTGTAAAATGCTGTTCAGTCACGGTGAAATTTGCAGCAACTTTTATTATTGTGACAATCGGTTATGGCTTGCGCACCTGTAGAATCAGAGCAACAAATCACAGCATGTCAAAGTAATTGCGTGGAAACCTTCACCTGGCATGATTTCCTAGATTACGGTTGCTCGGGACCTGAAGGGTGCGTATGAGGCTGTCCATCGCGCAGACACAACTCCAGGGATTGTCGTAGAGACGTAGGTAGCGGAGGTTGGGCATGGGGATGAGGGCCTCCTCGCTAAGTGTTCCCAGGCGGTTGTGCTGCAGCAGCAGGGTTTTAAGGCGTGTCAGCCCCTCGAAGGCCCCTTCCACCACTAACGAGATCTGATTCTGCTGCAGGTCCAGACTGGTTAAACTCTCAAATCCAGAGAAGGCATCTTCACGGAGGACTTTGATCTTATTACGAGCAAGAAGGAGGTGCTTTGGTTTTTGGGACCAGGTCTGCGAGGTGGGAGTGGTGGTGAGGCGTCGGTCCTGACAGTCTATGAAGACGTCTCCAGATTCTGTCAACTCCGAGCAGTCAGGGGCCACCGGCCTGGAGGGGCCCGATCTGCTGTGACGCCTGGCGCCTCTCATCCTGACAAAACAAATTCACGGCTCATCACGGTCTGCACGTGGTCAATGGGAAGAGTGAATGGTGGAAGTAGACACAACGTTCAATCCATACCTGTTCCGTGTGAGTTTATCCGTCGCTCCTTTGTCCTTCCCTGGCCTCATCTCGACGGACGCCAGCAGGAGGAGGAGCAGGGGGCCGATGAGGAGAGAGGAGGTCACTCGCATCCTGAGCTCTGCCGGGAATGTCTTTTAAGCAAGTAGAGCTGGAGAAAAGTAGGGTTTTGGGATACAAATCTTGTAAAGAACTGGCCTGGACACAGAAGCAATGGGTCAAAGTCAACAGTATTATTGTTGATGGAACACAGCTGCCGCTCTACAGGAGAAGAGATAGGAGCAGTCCAGGAATGTGGATTGGCTACGAAAGAAGGCAGAATACTATGTTATTTACAGTGAAGCACTTATAAAAATGGAAATTGTTGTTCTTCTGCTCTTATTTGTTTTCTCTGCATTGTGTTTTGTTAGGTGGATGCAGGAATCTCTTGGACCTCATTTTGTCAATGAGTGTTTTAATGTTACAGTAAGTAAATGCTATTACTGTGTAGAAGGAGATATCTAAATCTACAAATCAGTTGTACTATTTTACTGTTAACAATATTTTCTTTAGGGGAATGACCAATAGATTAATAAAATTGGTAAATAATGATAAAGATCGGTGCTTTGATAAATCAATGAAAATTTCCTAAGTCAAAAAATTCAGTTTTAGTCATTTTCATTTTTATATTAAACAAAACCTTTTTGTGTAAATAGTTTAAATTTGTTAATGCATAGTTAATTATGCAATTAACGGATTACTACCTCAACATTTAAATCTCCGCTCTTCATAAGGGATAAGAGGGCTGTCCCCGTTTGCTCCACTTGAATCTTTCTTGCACACTTATAACAAACAGAACAGACAGAGAACTGTCCAAGTAAACCTCCAGTCACCGCCGTGTCCCCGATGTGAGCTCTGACCTGTGGTCCAGCAAACTCCCGTCTCCAAATCAAAAAAACAAATTCCAATATGATACTCCGGCTCTGGCCCCGTGGTTCCCAGAAATACCTTTATTTCTGTTTGTGCAATGTGCTGCTGGCTTGTGTCAGAGCAGCTTGGCTGGTGCCAATTCAATTGTTTAGATGATCAGATGGGGCACTCATAACATAACTGATATTGATGATAGATCTGCATGGTCCACAGATCATTGGCAATCCCTGTCGTGGGTAGTAATTTAATGCAGTATTGCAGTATTTAAGTATTCAACTTTTGTTAAAAGAACAACAAGAAAACAACCAACTACAATCTACAATGGATTAAACACAAATAAGTCTGGCTCCGTTTTGTATATAAACTAATTGAATTATTGATTTTGAACAGGAATTGTCTGCACATTTACAGATAAAGGGTTTGTGAACCTCACCTCAACGTGTCCGGCTGCACTCAGGTCAGTTGGTATCCTCCCCTCCGTTTGGTTTATGGTCACTCCACTCGGCTTCGACTGTAGAAAGTTGAGCCTTCGGTTCACCTCGGATAAATCGAGTCACTTTGGGTTTCCACGTGCTGGAGTTTCTGCGTGGATTGTGGTGACTATTTGCACTCGGAGATTAATGAGAAAAGACCTGAAGGAGAGGGAGGGGGCGGGTTTTATCCTATCGGCTTTAGCCCACCCACTCACCATGTGCACTGTCCATAACACACACGCACTGCTGCATAAAACATACTTTTCCTCTTGGGAATGTGGACCGGTTTGCTTCCAGATGTTTCGCTTTAACGGCCTTGACAATGTGAGCGGCGAGGAAAAATGCTTCCAGGAGAAGGATTCATGTTCCACACACAATTTCCTCTCGGTCCTTCCAAATAACTGTAAATGGGTTCAGATACATTTCTGCCGGATGCCCTTCGGTCAGGGTGATTGTAATCAATGAGATGCCCACGTTATCAGACAGCTGTTTCTTGGTACGCTTTTTTCTCAACATCCGAGCCCTGGAATGTTGAACAAAGACAAACACAAAAAGAAATGAATGACAAAAGACTTTGTCAACTCATGTACACGTTTTGTTTACACACACACTCAAACCCTGGCAACAGAAAAGGTTGCTGAGTCGTACTCTTTTATAACAGGCACTAATTGCCAGATGTCCCTGTCTGTCTGCCATTTTCCTGCTCGGCGCTCCTCATCTTACCGACTTTGCCTTTTAAAAGCCTTCGCTGAGGTCGCCGAGCTAAAGACTTTTAGGACACAGGGTGAGATCGATTATTCCCACATCCACAGAAAATAGAAAGGCAATTCAGTTCCAAACATTTGGTGTGTTCTACTCCACATGTCCACTCTAGAAAACAACCAACTCACAGACTCAGTCTGGAAGACCCTGTGCAGCAGCCCACCGGGCCTCTGCAGACTCCAGGCTGCAGAATGACGGACACCACCGTCAAATCTGTGCGCAGCCTCAACAACCTGCACAGCCTGGACCTTTCTCTTTGCAACAAGTTTGTGTGTTTGTTTGCTGCCGTAGTTTTACATCCTATGTGTGCTGATGATATTACGTGACGTAATGGGTAGACTGCGTGTATCTCGGGGTGTGTGATGCTGGGATCCAGGATCTGATTGAAGGTTCCTCATCCACCAAACCGAGAGAGCTGCAGTCTCATCACAGACACATCTGTAATGAGGATTGCGCAAAGGTATGTGGTATGACTTCACACACCACACAGACTCATCGCGTGGCGCTTTGATGAAGAGTCTAACGAGGCGGCTTTCTGTTTTGTTTGTGTATGTTAATCGGATTGTGTAAACCGTATCATCTCAACTTGAGTTATTGTGAGGGACTGACTGATGAGAGTGTCGAGTGGTTGAGTGGCAGCTCCGTCGGCTCTCTCGACACGAGCGGTTGCAACGTCATGGATCAGGTATTGTTTCTTACTGACATTTTCCTAAAAGAAAATACAATGTGATGTGATCTTTGTGTTTGTAATTATAGGGCCTTGCGTCTCGAGGGAATTCACTTGAAGTTAGTTCTTGCCGAATGTCTCACTGATGTTGGCATGGAGCTACAAATGAAGTTAGAATTTCATTGCCTAGCCAGATGTGGACTTTTTATGGAACAGTTGTGGTTCCCAGTGTACTTTCTTTTCTAGCGGACAGGATATAAACCTCGGCGTCACACTCGACAGCCAACTCTCCCTGACTCCCAACATCACTGCGACAGCGCGATCCTGTAGATACACGCTCTACAACATCAGGAGAATACGTCCCCTTCTCACTCAGAAGGTACCAGGTACCAGGAAGGCCCAGGTACTGATTCACGCTCTTGTCATCTCCCGCCTGGACTACTGCAACTCGCTCCTGGCTGGTCTCCCTGCCACCGCCATTCGACCTCTGCAGCTCATCCAGAATGCAGCAGCTCGACTGGTCTTCAACCTTCCGAAATTCTCCCACACTACTCCACCGGTAGGTGGCTGCCCGCATCCAGTTCAAAGCATTGGTGCTCACGTACCATGCTGTGAATGGATCGGGTCCAGCTTACATCCAGGACATGGTGAAACCCTACATCCCGACCCGCACTCTCCGCTCTGCATCTGCAAAACTACTCGTCCCTCCCTCACTGAGAGCAAAACACTCGACTAGATCACGACTCTTCGCCGTCCTTGCGCCGAAATGGTGGAACGAGCTCTCTGAAGACATCAGGACCGCAGAGAGCCTTCACATCTTCCGCCGCAAACTAAAGACACACCTCTTCAGACTCTACCTCGACTAAAGACTAACAAATTGTAGCACTTAAATTGTACTTGTAACGTCACTCATCTATAGCAAATTGTAAATTGGCTTATTTGAGGAAATTGCACTTTCTTGTTCTCCTGTGTTTGTACCCTATGGTTGAATGCACTTATTGTACATCACTTTGGATAAAAGCGTCCGCTAAATGACATGTAATGTAATATAACTTGAAAAAAAGTCAATTATGTCTACAGTTGTTTAGTTTTACTATCTGCTAAGAGATGTGAATAGATTACGCTGCATTTGACTTCTTGAAGTCATTCACCAAACATCTCCGTCTCACTCATGTCGTTTGTTCCTCACGACGAGAGAAGCTGTGTAAGAGCGCCAGACATCTGGAGCACGTTGACGTGTCTCACCGTGTGGCTCTGTCGGACTCGGCCATTTAGAGCGGTTTCATTTTACTGCAGAGGTCTGATCACACTGCGGGTGTCCCAAAGTATACACACTTTGTCACACGCACACAGACATTCAACTGCCTTTTAAGTGTGCATTTCCCCCCAAATGTTCTCTTTATTTTCCCTCCATCTTGCTTCAGGGAATTTCTTCCCGCAGGGTGGCCGCTTTAAAGCTTCAGCCACATCACTGGGAATGGAGAACATCCATACTGGTTTGGATAGAACAAGGGTCAAATAGTGCCTCCACTCACAAGACCCATCAAGACTGATGAACCCGGTAAGTGGCGGAACAGCAGTCAGTGTGGACACGTGCAGAGGGCTTCTTTTTTTTTTTGAAAGCACTTAAAGTTCTGAGTGTGTTAAACGTGTAATACATTATTGGTTAATCCTGTGTTTGCAACCTGTAATGCATTTCACTTCATTTTATTAAGGTGGCATTTACATACCGTACATAGAACATTCAATCGTTGGCAATATTAAAACCACTGACAGTTCATCACAAACCAACACTGGTGTGCAGTCAAATAGTATACTTTCATCACTTTTTTTAATGCATACAGAATATCTGTTTAATACAGTACATAATATATTATTTATTTAAAGTACAGTATAACCTGAGCACAATGGTTTATATACCTAATATACAGAAATATCTGTCCTGTAGACCTCATAAATCAGCTCCCCAGCTTCAGCGATTCAAACCAGCTTTGTGTTTTCAGCCTGACGGAGTTTCTGTCCGCCCGAACTCTCACACACTGGTCAGCTTGGGGCTTTCCATTTATATAACCTGAGAGAGAAGTACAGTGAAGGAAGATGAATGTTTTGTGTTGACTTGGTTGTAGGACTGTTTAGTTAATCAACTTGCCGGGAAGTGTGATGTAATGAAAAACAACTGCTCACCAGTAACTGTGGTTTGGCCTTCAGTTGTGTTGTTTATTACTCCGTGCAGCACAACATCTGGGCTGATATCCACAGACGTTCCACACAGCTGCATCTCGGCTTTCAACGAGGAGGGGACGCGCACGCACACCGCTCCTACACACAACAGAAGAATGAGCGATGAACACGGAGAAACCCTCAGCGAGAAGGAAGGTGAACACTCATACTGCAGGTTTACCTTCCTGACTGTGGAGTTGGGCGCTGCCACCGTCTCCCACATGGACGTCAATGGCCCCGCTGTGAGAGGAAACCTTAAGGAAGCTATTCGAACCATCTGCCGAAGGAGAAATGGGTTTTAACGACCACCGATAGATGCCATACGGAGTTCATCACGCAATCGGCAGCTCGCTCACCGATGACTGTATCTCCAGACATGTTCTTCACGGTGGCGTCGCCTTTGTAAGGAATTAAAGCGCAGTCAGTTTTTTGATGGCCGTCAGATATTTTTCCGCTGATAAATTACAACATTTATAACGATTCACCGCTAAGAGAATAATCGATCGCAGACTGTATGCATCATAAACCAGAAGATAATGGTTTTCATGTATTCCATATATTCTATTCTAACATGATGCCCTTTCTTCACTTCGCCCCAAAGAACTGTTTGTTTCTGTAAAAAATATCCTCTACATCCAAATCTTAAAACCAGTTTTACCTGATTTATGGCCACTTCAAAAACAAACATGTAAAGAATTTGTGCTAAATTCCAAACGCATTGAATTTAAATAGGCTGGGTTTGGATCACAGCCAGGGATTCCTGACATACCAATGTGCTGCTTTCAAACCTCATGCAGCGGTGTCCGGATGACAGTGGAGGTCCTTATAAATTGGTAAGGACCAACTGACAAAGTGAACTACTGGGTAGCAGATCAATTACAAAATATACAAATTAAATTGGTATTGAGTCAGGCTCAGATAGCGGAGTGGATTGCCTGTTAACTGTAGGGTTGGCAGCTCTTCCTGTCCATATGTTAAACGTGCCCCTGAACAAGTCAGTGAACAACAAATTGATGCAAAACATATGTTGTTTTTGACAAACAAGTAATGAATTCAATGCAACATTCTCACGCTCTACATTTGAGTTTGGCTTCAGCCCCGACAACCACACAAACAACATAGATGCTGCTGTTTGCTCACCGTGCACATTCCCCAGTTCGATTCTCCCGGAGCAGGAGGAGATGCAGCTGGATTCAGCATAGATGGCTTTCACCTTTAGAGGGCCACGTTCTGTTGAAATATTCATTTTGTTCCCCTGAAGCTTTTTGACATCCACCGCCTGCAAACATAGAACTAAATCACTGCACAGGACCGTAGCCAGGTGATGTTTATTCCAACTGGTTTCAGTCTCCAAATCATCCTCCATGCGGCCTGCTGCCGCCCCCTAATGACTACTGAGTGTACTCTGTCCTTACGCCGTCTCCACGTGTGCTGATGTCCACATTGCCATGGATAGTGCCCACCCCCGTGACATGTCCTCCATGGGACTGGACCTCCACCCGATGACCCTGAGAAACAAAAGAACAGAAACAGATGAAGGGAATTCAAGACATCATCCATTCTAAAACAACAGTCTGAAGTGGATTGTTTCATCTTAACAGGTGTTAAGATTAAAAAATAGGACATATATCTGCAATAGCAACATTACTGTATCAAAAGTTTGAATAATGAAATCAGTCAACATGATGCAGCGAACATGTTTGTGCATCTCGGCTCGGTTTTACATGTCTCGTCTCCCTAAAGCGTAATTTTACGTTGCCACCACCTTAACAGAGTGCAGAAAACAGCTTCCCTGCTCTGTCTGCACCGTGCAGATGTCACACTCCATGTTCTCCACTTGCACGTGACCCTTTCCTTGAGTGGTGATGAATAGATCTGAGAAAAGAAGGCCGAAGGTCATCAGACAGTATCCTGTCAACTGCTTAAGAAAATGATGCTGACCTGTGGAAGGAAATGACCGGCTCCAAATGTCCATTTCTGTAACCTGGTCACTAACAGCGGGACACTCACTGCTCTTGATAGGCGCAGTCAGATCGATGGACACGCTGCTCTTAACCCCCTCTGCGGAGATGAGCAGCTCTTTGCTCTGGTCGTCGTAGTGGACGCGCAGGTGATCCAGGCCGACCTCCTGCTCGCTGTCCGGTCCGCGGACCGCGACAAAGACCCGGTCCGCTTCCGGGTACGCGTGCAGGTCCAGCGGGCGGACGGAGATGCTGCAGCCGAGCTGCGCGCGCACCGTGCCGAAGGGGCTCGCCGCCAGGGCCCACCGCTTCACAGGTGGCTTTACCCCCTCGTGGGTCGGAGACCTCGTGCGGGGGGCAGATACGGAGAAGAACCGGGAGGTGACCAGAGGACATTGGGGGCACGTGGGGGTCCCCGAACAGACCGCGAGGGACCAGCAGCGTAGACGTGTGACACATCCCGGCCGAGCTGCTGAGCGCCAAAACATGTCTAAAACCTCCTGGTATCGAGGAGCTGCTCTAACGTTACACCTCGCGCTGCTACTTCAGCTCAGTGGCACCGACACGCTGGATACGCAGGTTGCCATTCAGTCAACACGGTCCGTCCAGTCCTGTGTTCCTCATTCGGCCCTGGTGGGGATGTCAGCGAAAATACTGCTAATTCCGGTACGAGTTTTCAGATTAAAAGCGATTAAGAAAAAAATATATTGAGCTTTGGTTTGTAATTGGTCTTACGCATATATTTGAATGAGAAAAATGTTAGCAGATGCGAGGGGGGAAAAGCAGCCAATGATGATGTGAATTGTAAATAAAATGATAAAAATTGAGACTTGTAAATTTCTGTTAAAACCATTTTATTTTGAGATTTGTTTTGTACATCATATTTTTACTCTCAGATAGTTTTAAGGTATTATAAATCAAATTAATAAATCAAATATATATATATATATATATATATATATATATATATGGCCCGGTGACAAAATACGGTGTGCTGGAATATTACCAGGTTTGCTGTGAGGATATTATTAACAGAAAATAAATACATTTAGAATCTTGTATCATCTAAAAACACAGGAAACGAGATACGGAAATCTTGATTTTGAAATTGTGATCCTTTTTACGGCATACAAATACATGAATTACTCTAAATTGAATTTCCATACAATGAAACACTTCAAGCCTCAACCTTTTGGGTGCCCTGTTTTCTGGGGCCGCAGGGCGGATAGCTCTATTTTCATCCATTTTAGATGGAATAATTTGCCAAATTATCAACAGCCTGCAACCTCCTCCAGATTTTTTGGTTCCCGTTATGTTGACGGCAAAATACTTTACTTCCGGTCTTAGTCCGGGACAATGTAAGTATCTTGACAAGCAGGAAGTTGCAGTGTTGTATAAATATAGCACCGCCCCTCTTTTAATTGTTGTCCAATCAGTATCACCGGAGCAGGTGACGTCAGTCTCTACAAAGGCTGTTGGGAACTACTAAATAAAGCATCAAAGACGTGTCTTTTACGTAAAGAATGAGAGACAAAAGCAAAACCATATTTGTTTTTTTTAACAATTTTATTCATTTTTATTCATTGTAACAACACTAACAACACAGTTATTACAAAACATATATCTTCAATCAACCTTCAACTCGCTTTCCAGTAATTCAATAATAAAAGATCATCCACTGCTTCATACCCGTCACATACACTGAAAAAAAGATTTCCATCTCTCATTGTTAATTTCCAATAATAAAAAAACACAAATATATTAATATTAAAATGTTATAAAAAGTTACAATGTAATTCTAATCATTACCTTTGTAACTATGTACATCCTCAGTTATTGTAATATTATCCTGTGAACAAATGATTATTGCAGAATCAAACACCACAAGGCGGCAGCCTTGTGTTAGTAGTAAAAAATAACTGTGTATAGACGGCTTTATTAAATTTATGGTTTATGTTTTTTTGTTTTTTTTCAACTTGCCCTGGTAGAGTCAAGGTTCATGGTGCAAAGCTTATTGGTCTGATCATCATCCTGACAGTTTTAAATGACTGCCTTTGATTGGTTGGGTAATACTCTGTGGATATGTTACGCCACGTTCCCCAGTATATCCCATCTCGCACTCCCTTGTAGCTCCCCACGTAGTATCTCCCGTTGAGATTGGCAGCCATGCAGGAATCAAACCACCAGCCTGAACTGTAGTACGCCCCGCAGTTTCCGGATGGATAGCGGTCGTTGTCCCTGTCCGGCGTAGTGAACGCCCTGTTGTTGTGATCATAACTTTTGCTGAAGCGGAGAGCATCACCAGCGGTGCCCGAGTAAGCGCCTACCGTCAGTCTGTAGCGCATCCTTTCACTTCCAACCCTGAAGTGCTCGTATTCTGCGTACTCCATCACACCATCAAAGTCCTCCAGCTCCACCCGCAGCACCATGTCCCTGTCCCGGGTCAGCAGGTGCATCATGTTGTTGCCCAGCCAGAACTCCCCTCCATCCAGCTCCCCGAAGCCTGATCGGTACTCATCCCAGGTGCGGTTAAAACTCACGCTGCCGTCCTGTCTGCGCTGCAGCAGCGTCCATCCTCCCGCATCCAGCTCCATGTCGCAGAGGACCGGGAAACTTCTGCTGCGGAGGTCAGGGGTCACCAGGTACACTCCACTTTTTTGGCCCCCTCTGAGCACTTGGTCGGAGCAGTCTCTCACCGTGGTAACTATAGAGGCAAAGCAATTAAAAGGATCATGAACAGCTGTTTCACATGACCTCCTGAATAAAACATGCCCTTCTTTAGACAGTGATCTAACCAATGTCCGTTCACTCATTTGTTAGAGGGGGAAATGTCATCTTGCAGCTTTGATGCATCCGTGAAACATATTAAGTGAGGTCACAGTGCAACAGGTCAGGGCAAACGCCATGAAAACATTGAATGTTTTTGAAGACTTTCCAGGTGGACCGCCAAAGTAATTAAACAGACACACTTTACTCATGTTGCGGTTTTTTTAGAGATGGTCAAAATAGCACCGGTATTTTCAAAGTGTTGAATAAATCACAAATATAACACAAATGTAAACTACATTTACTGAGAGCAACTACTTCAATAGGAGTGTGCAGCACGTGCAGCATGTGGATTAATTCCTTTGGTTTAAATGAGATTAAATTATTTACTTGGTCCTAGCCGTTCTTCACTGAAGAATGTTTTAAAGCTGTACGTCTACAGATAGTTGTGTTTTTATTCTTAATCACGTGTGTGAAAGATTCTTCCTTAGCCATGATGTGTGGTACAAAATGGATCTTAGGTATATTTCATACGTGGTTCTTCAGTACTTACTGTGTGGTCCCCTATCTTAAGATCCTTTCAGCTCATGACACACCAAGTTTGCTGAGTGAGTAATACACATTTAAGCTTTTAAATACTATTTAAACTGCTGCACAGTAAACTCTCAGCCAAATGATTGTGATGTAATGTCAACAAAACCCAAACGGGTTTCATAAGGTTGGTTGTAAATTTCAGAGAATTAAATTGTGAAGTTGCATCTGCCTCCTCTCCTCTCTAGATTTTTTTTAATTCCCTCTTTGTTCATTAATTTATTGACTTAAAAAGTAACCATGAAAGTGTTGGTGCTACATGCTACCTGTGGGAAAGCTTTGTTAATAACAACCCACCTCCATCCCTACATAAAGTTACCCACGTTAAGTGGAAATTCGTAGCAGAGCACACATGCAAAAGAAAAACCTGCTCAAACGCTTAAATAGCATCAATAACATATCTTGCCTTTAGATGGTTTGAATGTGGATTGCTTGCTCTCAGGCCTGTTGCCTCCTTGGTTCTCCTCTGGGTGGTCTTCTGGAGGCCCGTCCGGTGGTCTTCCATTTGGACTGCTACTGAAGAAAGCATCCACCTGGTGGATTTTAACACGCAGCTCGCGTGCACTGGGAGTGGAAGACTCAGCAGCTGGGGGGCCAGAGGTGGCAAGGGTTGCTGACCTCAAGTCAGGGCTGGTTGTGGAGCTAGTTTGGGCACTGGGGGTGGGGACTGGAATCCTCATGCCGTCTGGGTCTGGAAACGTTCTGGGTGCTATCTCCTCCACATTGTCAACTATCTTAGCTTGTAAGCTGGTCTCAGTATTGGCGGCTTGTTTTGGCTCAGTGGATCCTGGACTGGTGCTAGGGATCACGCTCGGGAGGATCCCACGGGTGATTGCGTTTGTTCCTGATGTCATTGGGACCGATGGTGGTTGACCGACTGTTTGTGGCCTCTCATCTGACATACTCATGCTGCGTGAGAGCTTTGGTCTCAGAGTGATAGTTTGCACCAAGCTGGGAATGAACTCTACATCCACTGGGGAAACAATTACTTCAGAACTCTCTGTTACAGAGCCAGGTGCAGTTAACAAGTCAGCTGGAGAATTTTGGAGGCCTTCTGTAGTAGTCTCGCCGGTTTGAAGACGACCTAAATCTGTTTTGGTCATTGCGCTTGGCTTTAGTCGCAGTGCAGCTTTCAGCCTTTGAAGAGGTGTTGCTCCTGGCCGGACTGTAGCCCTGGTTGGTGGCCTGCGTCCCTGTGGAGGTCTTGGCTTGGATGTTTTGTTGGATTCTGCCAGAGGAATTTGGTCAGGAACAGACTTGGCTTTAGGATCGGGCATTTGGTCAGGACGAGGAGGTTCTATCCTTTGATTGGTTCGCGGTGGATCTTCAGGTCTAGGCGTTGCCTTTGGTTTAGTCTTTTGGTCTGTTAGAAGCTCTGGATGTTTTTGGTCGGGTTTAGGCCTTTGGTTTATTTCTAGTATTTTTTGTCTGGGTTTGGGTTTTGGATCAGGATGTTTGATGTAGACACGACCAGGTGTAAGCTCTTGTCCAGGTGTTGAGTCTTTGACAGATTTAGGCCCAGTCAAAGGATTTTCACCAGGATTTCCCATTAATTTAGTTTGAGGCGTTTGAACAGGTGTGAAATATTGTCTTGTTGTTGACCTTTGATCAGGTTGATGGCCAGTTGCGACGGTTTGAGGTCTTTGAGGCGATGTGATCCTCGGTGCAGGAGGCACAAGCTTCTGATGAGATTTTGGCTTTTGAATCAGGTTTTGATCAGTTGTAGGAGCTTGACTGGTTTTCAGATTTTGATTGGTTGGTAAATGATCAGGTCCGTGGTCAGGTTTTGGAATCTCAACACGTTTTGGTTCTTTGCCAGGTTTAAGTTTTTCAGAATGAGGTTTCTGCGTTTGGTCATGTTTAGTCTTTCTGTTCGGCAATGGGGCTCGGTCAGGTTTATGGTCATTCTTCGGATTTTTAAACTTTTGGCCTGCATCAGGTATAATTACAGGTTTCTGCTTTTCCCCAGGCTCTTGTCCTCGACCTGGTGGAAGATTCCCACCAGTCTTAGTGTTTGACCCGCTGTTCTTTGAAACCGTCCATCTGGTGCGATGTGCGCCTCCTGGAAATGAAGTTGTGAATAAACCCTGACGAGGAGTCGTGGTTGTTGTTGCCGTAGTTAAGCTAACAGGTCTTACGCTGGTTGTGGAGGGGGACTCTGAAATGGGACTGGTTATCTGTAGTCTAGGACCACCCAATGTGTTTATTGTGGCGGTTGTTTTGGGCCAACTTGTGGTCCTAAAGGCTTCCTCTGGAAACAGGTTTGGGAGCCCAGAAATGCCAGCTTCTCTTCGGCCTGTGCTTTGGTTTGATAGTCCGTCAACAACCTTTTTCATTCCTGGATTGACATCTGTGATCAAATGTGTAGTGCCGCTGGACAAAGGAGGAGGTGGAAAAGATGATGTAAAGGTTACTGCTTTGTTTGAGCCCGTGGAGTCAGATATCAGCGCTAAATTAATTACAGAGCGAAGAGTCGAGCGGATTGAAACAAAGTCTGTCCTCTCGGTTGCCTTGCTGGATGATAATTCTCCATCCATGTCTCTCTGTACACTCTGGACTGTTTTTTCTCCTGTTTTGATCTTCGCTCCAATCTCCCCGTCCTCCACCTCCCCCACTTTAAGAATCTTTTCTGCACGCCCAATGCTTTCAATCTGTGTAGTTTTCTTATTATTTTCCATCACTTTCATTCCATTTTCCATTTCCTTTTCCTCTTTCTCTCCATGCTGATCTTTCTGCTTATTTATATGCTCATCGTGACCCTCAGACATCTTTATTTCATCACGGCCGCTGTCTTCTTCAGTTTGGGTCTTTTTCCCTGTTTCCTTTCTTTCATCTCGCCACACGTGATGGTCACTTTCTTCCGTTTTTTCCTTATTTTTTCCATTATCTTCTGCCTCACCTTGATCTACCTTTGAATTTACTCTTCTGTCTTTGTCTTTGTTTCTGTCCATGTCCCTATTTTTTTCAACAACCTTTTCTCTGAACACTATTCTCTCGTATCCAGCAGAGGTGGGCACCTTTGTCGGCCCCAGTTTGTCCTTACCTTCTGCCCTCTCCGTCTTTCCATCTTTTTCTGCCGCTTCTTTTAGGGGGTTTTCTCTCTCTGCTTCTTTTACAACCCCTTTACCGCTCTCTTTCTCTGTTTCCCATATCTCTCTCTCTTTCTCTTCCAATATCGTTCTTTTTTTTGAGTCAGTGCCACCATATCCTGCTGTAGTCGTTTCCACTTTTCCTCTCTCCTTCCCACACTCCTGGCTGAAATCTTTTGGCCTTTCAGGATTTCTCTCATTCTGCCTGTTCATCTCCTCCCCGTGTCTCTCTACGCCCTCGTTCGGCCTTCCGTCTTCTTCGCTTTGCCTTCCACACTGTCTCACAGTTTGGCTTACTTTACAATCTGCACACATCGTCCTCAGTTGGTCCACATTGTCCTTCAGCTTCTCCAAATCGTTCACAATCTTCTCCAGATCTCTGAGCTGCTTCGGCAAATGAATAGTCAGTGGCGGCAGACTGAATTGGTATGGGCACATGCCCTCATCCTTCCCCGGTCTGCACGGCCCCTCGGGTCTCAGAGTTGCAGCACACGGTCCAAATCCATGATCCCCCAGGAGACCTCCTTCCCCAGAGGTTGCTGTGGTCGAAAAAAGACTGGGGAGGCCCAGGAGGGTCCCAAATATGCACAGTGCTGGTAACCTCATCACGTCCTGAGAGTAAAGAGTGAAAGCAATGAGAAGGAGAGAGTGTAGAAAAGACCCACCTCAGTTTGAGACAGTGACAGTGAGAGGAGGAGGCAAGGTGGGAGGGAGAAGACGAAGGAGGCGGCACTGATGGAGCAAGTCTGAGAGGGAAACAAGGAGGGAGAAGCTTTGAGAGGGAAACAGGTGAAAAAAACAACAGCGAGAGGCGGATTGTGTGGACGCAGTCCTCAGTAGATGGTCTTTGTGAGATGAGTGGATGAGGAAATGCCAGATTATTTCTTCTTCATAACATAAACAGGATTAGCTCGTAACAGTTCTGCATCAGTCACAAAAAATCACAAACCGTGAATCCATGTGCCTTTGTGTAATCCTGTTATTACACTCCGTTGTATCTCGATTTTAATCACATCACTTAACAGAGACCATTTGTAACGCATCCTCACACCGTGATGCTCCGATATTCCACGTGCAGGATGGCCTCGGGTATGAATGTGTGTCGCAGTTGCTTTGGCAGGACACTTCTTAAGCTTCCTGTAAGGTCTACAAACACGTGAGTGACAGATGTGACAGGTCAGAAAATGCATCTGAAGCTACATATTAGCTGCTGGGCCAGAGCAAAGAGTTTGTTACTCGGATTTGTAGAGACGTATTCCCTTTCAGTGTAAGCTGCATGGTTCAGTTAAGCTTCTGAGCAAGGAAAGTCAGGAATGTCAGATTTATCCACGAAGGCCGTTTGACTCAAACGTAACGCCCGGGGAGACAAACATCCTGCGCGCTATTGACTTTGTTCTCGCTGTACTAATTCTCAACAAGTGTTTAGAATTGGTGAGGCAATCTCTGGGTGGAGAGACGAAGCTCGCTGTGTGCAGATTGTCTGCTCATCCAAGATTTTGATTCTTTGCTAATTTATTGTGTCTACATAAGAGTCAGAAGAAGAAAAAAAGAGCGAAACCACAGTCACATGAACTAAATGAGGCATTCGCTCGGCAGGGAGTTTAGGTAATGAGGCATAGTTTCTCAGACCTGCGGTGTAAATATCAGATCTGAGATACAAGGGATATGCAATGCCAGTGTTTGATGTTTCAGAAATGTGTCAATTTTTTATTACTTATTACTCCACCTAAACACTCTTATTTTGAGCCTACAATGAAACATGACCCTCGTGCATTTTTGTTCTCCGTCTCTTTCATTGGCCGGTTGCTCTGACTACATAAAGCTGGAGAGATTCCTCAGCTGTCCTTCGATAATGACGAAGGAAACCATTTGTTTAGTGACAGAGTGTGGGAAGTATCAGGTTAGAGATGAAAACATGAATACCGTTTTAATAAAACTGAGTAAAGAACAGCCAGGATGTGCAAATTATGTCTGAAGAAACGGCACCGTCTGAGAGACAAAGAAAAGGTTTGAATCATTTCGGTTTGTGGATTTTGGAAAAGTGGCTGTATGTTTCAATATAGAAGCATTATGATATATGAAGACGGTGACCAGCTTTTAAAGCATGCCAACCACTTTAAAGTCTTTATATTCTAAGCTAATGAGGTAGTTTGTCATTGGAAGTGAAGGCCTGGATGAAAGCAGAGTGCAAGTGTTCTTTCACCTTCCACAGTCACTTCAGCACTTCAACACTTACGCTGGGAAATAGTTTGTGAGAAATGTTTACACTCAAGAGAGACTCTAGGCTGTCTTTATTTATTATGGAAGAGCCCCATCTTTTGCAGCGCCGCCGAGGATAAATTGCAAAAGGTCGCTGCTTGGCAACAACAAACTAATTTGATGCATGAAGAAAAATAATGATTAAAACGATTAATTAATGGTTAGACGGTCAATTAATTTGATAGCTGCTAATCTAGACAAATCCATTGGGTTCTGCGAAGTACTGCTAGGAACTCTGTTATTCTCAATTATATACCCTCACTACTGGTTTTACCCATTTATGGACAGCCGTTCGTTTTTCTCATAAGGATGCCCTGAAGTGTTTTGCATTCCCCTGTGAGCTGGCTCGGTCCACTCTCTGTCCTCCATCGTGTAAACATTTTTTTTCCGTGCAGACGAGAACAAACATCTGACTATCAGTCTAGCTTAGCTGCCTGGGCTTCCTGGCAGACCTCTTCATCTCCTTCCACTTTGGGCAGGGGAGCCAGTGTCGTCGGTCGGGTCTGTTATGTGCATAAGTGTCCCATTTCTAGCTGAACTGGAGTGAACCCAACGGCTGCCGTAGTGCAGCGCCAGTCCCTTGGAACATCACGCTCGACCTGCCTGCTTGAAATTATAAAACAATCCGGTCAATATTATTCCACTGACTCACTGTTTGCATGCCAAGAAATATATTCATTTAGCAAAATGGTGAACACCTGCCTTAGTCCTGTGAATCAATGTGTATCCGTTTAAAATCAAAGTGTCACATATCTGCTCTCCATCACACACAAACACACACACACACACACACACACATAGGTCCATATTTACGAGAATTGTCCATTGCCAATGGCTTAATTCTTTAGTAATTGATACATTTTTGCCATGTGTGTGACAATGTTTTTAATCCGTCAATTAACCATTGAAGATTCTGAGTGTCTGGCCACATCTGGGCTGGATTCTCTAGCCAGCACCAGATAACGTCAGGTCAATTTGTATCTAATCCGAAGGCCTGCACTTCATTTGTTTGAAATGTATACGTAAGACTATTTGTCCTGATGAAGGACGTGAAACTATGGGCCGCTGTGAATACTTTTTTTGCTGCAGTCACCTTCTGCCCAACGGGAGCTGATTCTGAGGTGAAATAGGATGCATTTGGGACACAGACAAGAAAAAGACAAGAATTCTCCTTTTTTTCCTCATAAACCAGTTTCCATAGAGGCATTAGATTTAAGCTGTTTGTCTCTTCATCATATCCTGATGTTCATTCTGAATGGATGTGTGCTGCATTCTCTGTATTTTACAGCTGTTATTAACAGAAACCACATAACGCACGTAAGTGTACATGTAAAAAATATGTGACTCAGTTAACTTTGCTTTGTTGGTTTCTTCATCTCTGTACAAATTCTACATCACAATTCAAAGAAGACGGTAAAAATAAATGTGAAGGTCACTGGGGAGGAAGGTGTTCAGATACTTTACTTTTAATCAAAACAATAATACCAAATTGTGAAAATACCTGATCACAAACAGAATTCCTGCACAGAAAAGGTTAGTTGAGTAATGCTGTAGCTGAGGGTTATGTTGCACTGTACTAAATAGTAATAAAATAATAACATTGGCTCTCTAGTCTCCATGGAGATGGCGGCAACTTTATTTCATAAACAAACACATCGGTATAAACCTTTTCCTCTCTTACTTCCATTTCATAAAGTAAAGTAATTAAGTAAAGTCTTAAAGTAAATCCACATCATGACTTAAAGTATTTATGCCAATGTGTGTTCATCGAAATAAAGTACTCAACTCAGAAAATTGAAGAAAACGATAAAATATTTGTATCTAAATTGTACTAGAAGTGTTGTAAAATTGAAATACTGTAAAGCACATAATGCAGACATGTACTTAACAGGATGCACTGTGCACCACGTGTGAATGTGCTGAGAAAATGATCATTCCGTCTGCACTGCCTTTTGTACCATAAAAATTACTTGACTTATTATTTTGCAAACTGTGTTGCCTTCACTATGGTGACTGTCTAACATTCACCCATGGAACACTTTGGGACAAAGAAATAAACAAATCTCATTTTAGAGTAAGCTAATGTCATCGCTGATGAACGCTGTGTACACAATCGCTTTGACAGATTAAGAGTTCTACTTTAGTGGCAACAGATACGGACACAAGAGCTGCGTAGTAATATATTTGGACTGAGAGGACCATTTGACTGAACTTGTAATTCTTTTCTTTCTTTTCTTTTCTGTTTCTGTTTTCTGCCGTAATAAAAGGTAATTTCCATCCAATTTAAGTGTGTTGATGAATTGTATTGAAGTGTTGATCATAAAGTGGTGTATTTCAGTGAATAACATTAGGCTACTCGGATCTTGGATGTAGTAACAGTAGTGACAACATTTTGTGCAACAGAAATTAGTATGTTTTCAATGGATACCTTTCAACCGCTGTCATTTTTTTTTACAGGAGCCATAATAACACAGTTGTGAGGGACGTGATGGTATTCACAGATCTCGCAATAAATGCCCACATTGTATCTTCATCAATATACTGCCACCTGGTGACATTTTGAAGAAATATCTCAGAATTTCAGAAAGGCCCTTCGGACTTTAATACGTGTTCTACATATGCTTTATTGTATCAAATGAATCTTTAAAAGCTCATCAGGAAATTGTGAACATATGCAAACGTTTTGCAATGTACAAATTAATACCAATACCCCCATCTGCAAATTATGTATATATGTTTAAGCTCACATAAAACGTTATAGAATATGGTAAGCGTCAAAAACATTACTGATGTAATTGTTGTAATATTATTTAATTTCATAATTATCATTTTCATTTGAATCAGTTTCGTATGTCTCTGTTTAAGACAAAGCCTCCTATCTTAACGGTGCTCGGCCACCATGCAGTTATTAATAATTGTGAAGTCAGTGCAATATGCTTAGTTACAACAGTGTAACCATCTCACACAATTATCATAATTTTAAGGAAGTTTCTCCTCGATAAGATTACCAATAAGCATAACCACAAGGTAAAGTAAATCAATAAAAATATAACGTGAAGAGGAGTAGGAGACATGGCAGCCCAACCTAGTGCAATATTACTATTAATGAATACAATTAGACATGTTTTCAAAACAAACGGCCAGAAACGAAAGTAAAATTAAACCCAAATTAATTCATTTTCCAAGGATTTTTTCAATTAATATTGCCCAGAACAGTCTATTTTATTTAAATAATGAGACATCCGAAGAATAACTATTGAGAATTGCCACTTTCCGCGTTTTTCTCCATTTTCAAAGACTGGGAGTGATTCAAAACTCAGTACACGTCCTCTGTACTGTTCAGTACCGGTTGTTGTCCTGCAGGGTTGAAAGAGGACGTAAACAGCACGCGCGTCGGCACGTAGCCCCGAAGCCCCGCCCCCGGCTCAGCTCTCCAGCACCTTTAACGTGCGTCGGCACGTAGCTCGTAAGCCCCGCCCCCAGCCTAGCTCTCACGCACCAGTTACGTCTGACCGTAAAAAATAGAAACTTCCAAGATGGCCGAAGCCGTGGACTCCATGCATTTCGCAGCAAACAGCAAAACAAATTCCCCTAAACCCCTGATAGCTAAACGACCGCCGGAGAGCCGCCCGCAGTCTTCCAGTGACATTTACCCGCCGGCCCCTAAGAAGGTGCGGGTGGAGGAGAAGGGCCTGAAGCACAGGAAAGTGAACGGGGAGGTGTGCGCAGGGGAAAAACACAACGGGAAGCAGAGTTGTGGGAGCCCAGCGAAATGGAGTTTCGGCCCGGCCAAGGCGAGCCACTCCACCGCCGCCGCGGTCCCGAACACTCCCGCGCGGAAAATCTTCAAAATCAGCAACTTCCTCGCCTCGCCCCACAAGGCCAAGAAGGCGAAAGAGAAACGGCCCAGGGAGAAGGAGAAGAGCAACGAAGCGCCGCGGAGCGCCGCCGCCGACGTGGGGAGAGTGAGCCCCGCTGGCGGCCATACAAAGACCGAGAACGGAGACGTGAAGGCGCTCCGGAGAGGTAGGGCGACGCGCTCGCTGCTCACCGCGGGGCTCCGACGAGCTCTTCCCGGGTCCAATTGAAAAAACAACACCGCAACGAAATTATTCAGTCGGTTATTACATAACCAATATGCCCCCCCCCCCGGTACTTATTAGGCCCAGATGGTGATTTATACACGTGGAGATGTGTGTTCCTTCTTGTTGTGTCGCTCAGCGTGGATGTTTCAGCAGCGTTTCGCCTCCTGCTTTCTGCTCCTCTCAGATCACCACGCGAAGGAGAAGGACGGGGAGAAGAAGAAGAAGGAGAAGAGCAGCGAGTGGAAAAATCACATGTTGACACCTGTAACGTTGCATGACTTTGCGAGAGAAAACGGAGAAGTGAAAGGTAGGGGTGACGTAACGCTGGTCAGTTGTGAGGAAAAGCATTTTCCATTATTTTGGGATAACTTCGAAATAAATTAGTCCTCTGCAGGTGTTAATGTTAAATCCCTTTGCTCAAGTCGTCTCGGAACATTTTCAACATGAAATAAGCATCCAATTTATAAAATATGTCAAATGTGTAGTTAATGCGGTATAATGTTTTGCAACAATATACAGCTGCACTAACCGTAACCCAAAGTTGTCAGACTTCACATGCTATCTCAAGGATATAAAATAGATACTTTGCCAGGTGCAGCTGGTGATCAGTTTTACGTGATGCTCCACCTTGTAACTAACTATAAACATTTCTTGTCCACCAATATAGAGACTAATGAGAAGCCCAACGCTGGGTCTGAAGATGACCTCCGGCTGAAGAAACTCAAGAAGAAGAAGAAAAAGAAGCACAAAGATGGCGAGCGAGTGAAGGAGAGGCACAGCCGACCCAAAATGTACCATCGCTCATGCCAGACAGTGTGTTCGGGGGTGTCTCTGGGTCCGCCCGAGTTCCTCGGCCGGATTAATGGGAACAACAGCGTTAACAGCAGCGGTCTGCTCCGCGCCTCCTCAGCACCACAACAACACCGTGAACCTCCGGCTGTTTCTGCCTCCATCACCTCCATGGTCAGGGAGAGACTCGGATACAGCTCCCCGCTCCACTGCACCCCGTCCCCGGGCCTGTCGGGCCTGGAGTTCGGCCGCCTGATCCACGTCGAGCAGCAGGCCAACGGCGGGGCGTCCGTGGCGCACGCCTACACCGAGCAGCTCTCCGCTCTGTCTCCGGCGGAGATGCAGCGCTTCGCCCAGGAGTTCGTGGCCCTGTCGTTCAGCGAGGACGAGGCCCAGGCGGCGCGTTTTGTCATGGGAATCGTCCACGGAGCGGCGTCCTACCTGCCGGACTTCCTGGACTACTTCTCCTACAAGTTCCCCAATGCGCCGGTGAAGATGGAGGTTCTCGGGAAGAAGGACATAGAGACGACAACCATGGTCAACTTCCACTCTCAGGCAAGATGTTTTTTGTGTTATCGTTCCTCTCTTCAGCAGGGCAACGTAGTTTGAAAGCTCGACTCGACTGGAAGTAAGACGCTGTGTTGGGAGCGTTGGTTTGTGCAGCGTTAAGACCGTGACAGAAGTGTGTGTGTGTGTGTGTGTCACGTTGTTTACAACTTCACACGCTGGTTTCTTGAAGAACTGTCCGACTGATTGATGCTTTTGAGGCGTGACGCCGGTTTGCTTTGTGTCGTCTTGTTTTCTACTCCAGCAGTCGCTGAAGCTTGTGGGAGAAGATCTTGTTTCTTTGACGTTGAGTCACCTTCCAACCTCACAGTCAAACAATTCGAAAAAGCCAGAATTTAATTTATTATTTACCATGTTTCATTAAGATGAAACCTGGTAGAGATCAGGGAGGAAATGGGAGAATAACATATATTTTTTTAAGTAATTGTTTGTAGAAAAGACCTTTTCAAAAAAATGGCTCAACAATTTTTGTTTTTTTTCCCCGAGCGTTAACATATAACTCTATACTGACATCATATACTTCCATCTATTTTCAAATGAATTATCTGGAAAACAGTATCAGTAAGTTATTTTCAAAATATGTATTGCTGATTAGTACTACAACAAAGAATACACCCACACTGCTACGTTTTTGTCTAAAACAGCGGTTTTAAAACAAGAATGATCTGATCTCCGCCCACAAAGGCGCTTCAGCATCGTTTGCAAAGTGGTTTTGGTCCACACCTTCACGGCCGTAGAGGAAAATCACGTTTCATGCGCTGTGACACAAGTTACAGAAAATACGACCGAGTAGTCTTTAATAATGAACGGTAGGACTTGATACTCCTCCTCTAAAGTCAAACAAAGCTCTACTGCAGGTTCTGTCTCTCTGTCCCACACATCCAATTTACTTTAAAATGAACACTTAGCAATCAGTTTACTTTGCTGCTGTCAATGGATGCAGTCACACACACTCTCACTCATTTTCTCTGTTTCGTTGTCCTCTGTTCTCTCACCCGCTGCTCCGCCGTCGGCTGAAGTCACACTGGAAAGCATTTACGCTTTTGTTCCTTTTGCACTTTATTTCTTTTCCCCAATAGTTGTGCAGAACAAAAAGGGGCATTGATAAGAAAAGGGACAGGCCTCCGTTCTTGTGTCCGCCGTCCTCCTCAAAGCTGTGAGCCGTGCGCTGGTGTCCTTTCTCCTCCGTAACAAGGCCGGTGACTCCTGTAATCAGTTATCATGTTAAACCAATTATAGTTCATTATTAAGCTGTTGCCTGTTTCCTCCAGAAAAAGGGTCATGTGATAAGAACGAGACGTTGTGACGGCAAAGACCCGATCACGTAGGAAACGCGTTTCTCATGGGAAAGTGTGTCCAAACTTTTGACTGGTGCCCGTATGTGCGCCCGTCTGCACGAGGTGTTTTTCACACTTTTTTCACGTGTTCGTTCTTGGTATTTGTTTTTGACGCTCTACAACCAGCCAAGTGTGGAAGCTTAGAAAGGCATGCGCTTAAAAGGGAACTAAATTATATTTCTCCGATTTTAAAGTCACCTCAGTCGACGTTTGTACCTAACATCCTTTCAGCGTGTTTTTATAAACGCAGAGGATGATTTTAGTACAGGAAAACGTAGTCAGGGTTCGTTCATCCTGTGTCAGAAAAACCACAAACACAATAGAACTCTGTATAGTTTTGTACTTGCTGCCATTTTGGTTCAAACGTGGTTCATTGGAGAGAAGCACCACGGCTGCACGTGTAAGCGATGGATGATCGATTACATGCAGCCCTTCCATAGCTGCCCCCCACCAGCCTAAAATAAGCACTTTTTAATGACACGGCACAGTTTGCTAAAAGTGTTTTGTTCCCGCGGCCCGTGAGTCACGGACGCCGGGGGGTCTCTTCTCACTTTGACAATCACACTTTTGGAGTCTTGTGATGCTGCAGCCTGTTATCACGTTTTTTATTTATTTTATATTTAAAGTGGGATTTACTTTGAGAGAGGATATAGTAAACATCTCATCTTAGACCTGCTGCATCTGGGCCGACGGTCTGGTTGTCGTTACTGTCGGGGACGCCATGTTTTAGGTGTCCACGCTCTGTGCAGTTTGAGAATTTGCATAAACTCTTCTTTTTGTAAGTGAACACATTGGATATTTTATTTATCATTATCATCAGTAGTATCTATTTTTGTTCAAAGGCCAACACATAGAACTTTTACTTGCAAGGTGTGCAGCACCCCTTAAAACACAGGTTGTAAATTATCTTAATGTTTTCTTTAAAGCCTTGTTTGAATTTCCTAAAGTTTTTAACATGATGACGTATATGACGTGTAACTCTTTATAGCTCTATTTTAATGACAGTAATGTTGTTATAAAAGTGATCGAGAGGCAGGTTTACAGACCAGTAAATAACAATAAATGCAGAAAAGTATTCCAGTAGTCCAATAAGGTGACCTGAGCTCTCCCTGTGTGTAATGTGTCACATATTAGTGGCACCCTTTAGTAAAAAAAAAAAAAAAAAAAACGAAAGACACGGTCCAAAAAAAGTCTTTACTTTTTTATTTAATGTTCACAAAAATCGAACCTTTAACTGAAGTAACATGATTTAAATCAACTTTAAATTCTTATTATGAAACACATAAAAATAAATGTGGCACAAATACTTTGAGCCTCTCTTAGCCAAGATAACCGCTCTTCTCTTCTAATGTGTGACGAGGTTGGTGAACACAAGGACCTCCTCTCCAGATCCTTTAGGCGCTTTATTTAACTTCAATTAGCATCTTTTGCATTATAAATATTCATTGGGATAAAGTCATAATCATGTCATATAAAAAAGATATAGAATAAGTACAGTATACAAGTGAACATGTCATCAACGTCTTGTGTAGCTCCACACAGTCAGGGCTGGACTGAATGTCACTTCTTAAAAAGTTTTTACTTTTAAAAGCGCCAACATTGACGCATGACGGTGCTGGCTCATTGTGTGTAGTTGATAAAGTCGGAGGAAGCGATAAAGTGGACTTTTGCACACTATCTTTCTGTAAATGATTAATAACTCGCTTGGAGCAATGCTTTGTCACCTGAACCCGTGATTGTTTTTAAAAATGAAACTGACCCGTGCATCTCTACTGCCACCATGTTCAATAATGTCATTTAATCTTGCAAATAGTAAAATACTTATTAGTGTAGCTTAATCTGGAACTGTGCACAAATACAATTTAAACAGAATGATGATACTAACCATGTGAAAGTGATGAATGAAGCTTTGAGCTATTGAGCACATTTGTTAAATGTTGCAGAAAGAAAACACTTCACACTAAAGCTTAAAAAACACACTCCCTGATTCTGACACATAATCAAACCTGCTGTTAAGTTGTGATTCAGTGAGAAGGTTTTATTCGGTTGTGATCGTTCGTTTCCACAAATGTGCCTGAAAGAACGTATTTCATTCCTGAGCAACAAAAGCTTGCCTTTTATTTGCTGTGGTGCACATTCACCTCTCGATGAACGTTGAGCGCCTTGGCGTTCTGCCAAGGACCAGCAGCTTTGTATTTCAGGTCCTGTGAGCTGCTGAGCGGATGCTGGTTGAACATTTTAACTGGGCGCTTCGTTAAAGGCAGGTGTGGTGGGAAAACTCACCCGCTGCGCCGCGACCACGCTGGCCTCATGTTTTGAAACGGCGACGAGCAGAAGAGCGTGGGACTGATCTCTCCCTCGCTGCGCTCCCTCCTGCAGGTGAAGCGGACGTATTCCCAGGGGACGTACCGTGCCGGCGCCATGAGGCAGGTGAGCCTGGTGGGTGCGGTGGATGAGGAGGTTGGAGACTACTTCCCCGAGTTCATCACCATGTTGGAGGAATCGCCCTTTCTGGAGGTCAGTGTATTTGTTTTGTCTGCATGTGGACATGCCCCGTGTCTCTTGTCCCCGTGTATGGCCACAACTTATTTACACTTATTTGGCCTAAAGTTTCTCACCCTACGTCTACGCAGCGGACTCTGCCCTGGGGAACGTTCTCCAGTCTGCGGCTGCAGAGCCCCACCGAGAGCGACGACGGCCCCATAATGTGGGTCCGGCCGGGAGAGCAGATGATCCCCATGGCCGACATGCCAAAATCACCCTTCAAAAGGAAAAGGTGGGTTGACTTATTGATCCTGTAAACGTCAACCGGTGCACAGCTGCTGTTGTCTCACCTGCATCTTTTACTTTCTTAAGAACTGGTTTGAAGGAAAGCTCAAACAAGTGAAATTGCCCTTTAAAAGGTATTTAGCTGCGCCTTGGACGTACCCTGACCGGTGTGAATAAATGAATTCCAGGTCCACCAATGAGATAAAGAACCTGCAGTATCTACCCAGAGCCAGTGAGCCCAGGGAGATGCTGTTTGAGGACCGGACGAGAGCCCATGCTGACCACATTGGTCAGGGGTTCGAGAGGCAAACTACCGCTGCCGTGGGTGTGCTGAAGGCTGTCCGCTGCGGAGAGGAGTGAGTACACGGCGACATCTGTTCACCTCATCGCGTGCACACAAACGCATTTGTATCAACCACGACCTCAGATCAGTAAACAAGGCTTTTGCGTTGCAGCAGTGACGCTCCCGGGCGGATCACCAAAGACGTGGTGTGTTTCCACGCTGGAGATTTCCCAGAAGTGGTCATGAGGCTGCAGCTGGACCTCCACGAACCGCCGCTGTCTCAGGTGGGTCAGCGTTATTATTGGTGCCTCGTGTGATGCAGTGACATGACTAGGTTTTTATTTCCACCTATGAGATCAAATGTATCAAACAGGAGCATTTAGCTGCCAAAGAGACATCTATTCCCCTCAGGACACCCAACAGCAAACTTAAAGACTAGCTGAATAATGTTGCTCTGTGTCAAGTTTTATTTGTTGCATTATCCCAAACAAATGAAGCATTAAATGCCTCTGACATTCCACTTGTTCTCTTGGTTTATCAAGTCACTCGGCACACTTCTACCATGAAGGAATTAAAACCTTTGATCGTTGTATTGGGGGCTCACTAAATCGAATGTGTTTGCTGCCTCTCCAGTGCGTGCAGTGGATCGATGACGCCAAGCTGAACCAGCTGAGGAGGGAGGGGATCCGATACGCCCGAATCCAACTCTACCACGACGATATCTACTTCATTCCCAGAGGAGTCGTCCACCAGTTCAAAACGGTCGCCGCTGTTTGCAGTCTGGCCTGGCACATCAGACTCAAACAGTATCACCAACATGAAGAGAAGGAGGAGGAAGACAAGTGTGCACTCAGAGAAGAAACCTTTCATATCAAAGAGGAGGAGGAGGAGGAGGAGGAGGAAGAGGAAGATGAAGACAGCGATGAGGAGGTTGAGAGGAGGTACTGTGAGCCTGTTGTGCAGCCGCTGATGAAGCTGCAGCACGTGGACAATGAGCGGGAGGAAGAGGCGCCCTCACAAACTCCAACGTGGGTTTTCAAGGAGGAAGAGCAGGAGAACAGAGCCGAGGTGAAAGGGTTGTTAACGACGCAGTTTCTCTCATTTGTCAAGAAGGAGAGAGAGGAAGGTGCACTCACTCACACTCTAGCGCAGCCTAAAACTGAGGCCAACGAGGAAGGTAATGGAGGGAGAGATGGAGGTGCAAACCCACGCGAGACACTGCTGAAGGGCCACGGCGAGGGAGCAGTGGACAATTCATCCTTGAGGTCACTGCAGCAAATGAGGAAGGAGAATGAAGTAGAGGAGGTGAGGCAGCAAAAGACAACTGTACCAGGTCAAGGTGTAAAGGAGAAAACTAAAGATAGTTCAATGAGCACTTACAGCTCTCCTCAACTCTCAGAGGACTCCACATAAAGGTAGAGAGAGAGCGAGATGACAAGGAGATGATTTCAACAGAAGGCTAAGAAGCTCAAGGAGAGGAGTAAAGAGAAGGAAAGAGACAAAAGGGATAAGGTTAAAGACCTGGAGAGGGAGAAGGACAGGGTGGGAGAGCCGGAGAGAGTAAAGGGGGAGGGAGGAAGAGACGGCGGCGGTCCATTGAGGAAAAAGGAGGAGGAGGAGCGGGTAAGAGAGGCCGGTAAAGCCTCTCAAACGGCTCCGCCTGCACAGAGAGACGAGAAGTGGGCCAAGGAGTGGGACTTAAAGACGCAACCCCACATCAAGAGAGAGAAGGAGCACGATAAGGACAGGGGAGTCACACAGGGGGCGTCGGCCTTGCGAACGCACCGGGAGGAGGCCCGCGACGCCTGTTTGCACAAACACAAGTCTTTTCACGGCAGGAAGGAGAAGAGCGGTCACAGGGAGAGCAACGCGTCCAGCGCACAGGGGCCGCCGGCGAAGTCGGGGAGAGAGGACGTGAAGGCGGGCGTTCCCAAACCTGCCAGCGTTCAGGTTAAGAAGGACGGAAAGAAGGACAAGGACGCCCACGGCAGAGAGGAGAGGAAGAAGTCCACCTCCGGGGCCGCGCCACCAGAACACAAACCGCCGCGGACACTCATCACCTTTGACCTCTTCAAGCCGATGGAGGCTCACCAGACTCTGGCCCTTTCCTTCACAGACAGTCGGCCTAAGAGCCACCACCACGGTGACTCCAGAGGCTCCTCCTCCAAACCCGGATCGGACAATCGGACAGTTGTGCCCTCCAAAGGTCCAAAAGTGAAGGAGAAATGTGTCCCGCCCCTACAGGCCACTCGACCGCCGCAGCACTTGTTAAAACAGCCCCTTAAAACACACACAGTCCAGACACAGAAAGACTTATTAATATGAATGTCTAGATGTCTAGTCTTTTTTTACTGTACAACTTACTCCGAGGCTTTGTTAAAGTATTTGAAAATGCATCTTTCCTCCACACAACTGCTCTTTCATGGGTGTAATTTACGTGGTCACAGGCAGATTATTCCTGTGAGGGCGCAGGAAAAAGGATGCACTCTCCAAGTATTTTATCAGCGCCTAAGAATGTAAGCCAAGTAGCTCACTTCACGTTTGTTAGCGAATGTATGTAGGCTCTATATAAAACGTTATGTGACCATGTGTCGGTGCCTGTGCACTACTTAGCTTTGCTCTTAAAGCAACTATTTAGGTACTGGACAAGCCAATCTGAAAACAACCCTCCTTATTCCAGCTATAGGGAATTCACTGTTTGGGACACTGCTGAAATCCTCTTCGCCGCGTTGCTTTAGTAGACGGGCTTTGTTGTTTATGGCGCTCCAAAACCGGAGAAAGTAGTTGTTTTCAGACTGGACGTTGGTTGACTCACACAGGGCTGTAAATGATACTGTATGTACCAAAACTGTACAGTAGATGTTATTAGCACCAATGCGAGAAATGTATACAAAAATTGCATATATTTTTTGTAAGACAAGTTTTATTTTCCATAGAACTTATTTATATCATTTGTCTGTTTTTATTTGAAACCAATTATGTGAAAATGATGTTGTAAATACATTTTATTTCCTAAGATAAAACTTGGTAGTGTGATTTATACTCTGAGAACCTCAATAAATGGTTCAAAAATATTGACCAAGTGTTAATGTCTCTACTGCATTTCAGATTATTAAAGCTTCAGTATTTGTCTTTTTTGCTACTTAAGTGGCTTGAGGTCCAATAGTGAAAACTATTGTAATGATTGTCATGAACTAAGATGTCACAATAGTTGATCTACAGTTAGAGGAAGTTATGGTTTAGTGTTCGTGGCAGTTACATCCTGGGCTGAAAGCTACAGACACATGGGATTGTACATCACATGGGAAGAAGTTTCCTTACACAAATGATCACATAGTGACGTACATGCTTTCACAAACAGAACATGGCTTCGTGTAACCAAGTGGATATTTTCACTGTTGATACATTTACTTCCAGTGTCAAAAGGATCCCACAATTAAAAAGGTGAACTGAAGACACAGCATTTAGTGTAACGAGTAACTGATTTTAGGACAATAGGCAAACCCAGTCTTACCCGGCAGTACAGGTTTAGCTTACGTAAAATAATCTATTGCCCTTGACGAGCTTGAAGGCAATGTGAACGCCACAGCAACGCGAAGGCGAGAATTAAAAAAAAACGCCAAACTGGGCTCCAACCCGTCGACTTCACTCGGTCTGCGACCTACAGTGATTTAAACGCAACTTCAAGCAGACAGTGAATTCCACGGGGACGTTGACAGAGACACCGTATTAAATGTAGGTCCGTCCCCGTCTTACCGACCCACATGAGACCGGCAGCGGACCGGACACCAATCCAGGAGGCCAGAAGGGTGCATCCCAAAGCGAGAGCTACCCGAGCGCGACGTCTCGTGGACTCCGTGTCCTCTGGTCTCATTCCCTCCTGTAGTGGAAAACGCTGTGTCCGAGGTCCACCAGCGCCCCACCCAGCAGCACCCACAGAGGGACGCACACCACGCTGACCCACATCTCAGTGAGCCTCTGCAGGCGGCAGCACAGCGTCAGGCAGAAGGCCAGCTTCAGCAGCAGAGCTGTCAGGTACCACAGCCGCCTCCTCACGCTCTGCTCGCCCTCGCGGGGGTCCGGGTCCGGCTTGCAGCGGCCCGCCATCTTCACCGTCAGCATTAGGACCAGGATGGTGTCGAAAGTCCAGACGGGGAGGAAGACGAGAAACCAGTTCCAGTCGATCTTGGAGTCCAGCTTGAGGACCAGCATGATGAGGAAGATCAGGGCGAAGATCCACGAGAGGAGCACACGCTGGGCCAGGGACATCTTCATCTACAGGGGGCCGGCGCGGAGCCGGTCTCACCCACCCAGAGACAAGAGGACGTCCGACGAGACACACGCGCGCGCGCGCACGCGCACACACACACACACACACACACACACACACACAGTGAAGTGATCTGAAAACCAGAACACAGCACAGCAGACTCGGTATCACTCTGAAGACGAGGGTTAGCAAATGACTTTAAAACATGAGGCCTTTGGTCACACGACAATACTCCACTCCGGCGTTTAACGGTGCAGACCTGAAGCTGCCGTTTGTAAGCTAACTTATGAAATCCCAAACGAAGACATTGTCCAACCAAAGAAGTCTTACCCAGTTGAGGAGGACAGTCAAGCTGCTCTCCGCCAGCGAGATGAATGTTATCACTTTCAATAATTTAGTTTTAAGCTGGAAGAAGAGGACGGTGCGGATAGCCTAGCTGTGAGCCCTTAGCTGCTTCCGGCTCAGCTCCGCCATTAGTAACCAGCACCAACCCATTTCCGGTCCGTTTCTACAAAACAAAAGCATGGTTTCAATCAACTGTATTTTGTTTTGACACAATGCTGCCAGCTTCCGGCAGTCATTTCTCAAAGCAAAACGTATTATACACTGATGTATTTTGTTTTGCGTGCGTTGCAACTGAGGAGAGTGAGTTCATGTAAACTCAAGGTCCGTTTATTGGATTTCTTTCCCGTGGCAACTAACAATGCTAGTCGGTTGACCTTGAGTTAAAGATTTACTATTGGCACTTTCAAGAATTCATTTTAAAGCTTAACCTGAGGTTATTCTTTTACACATATATATACTTAAACTAGTTATTTTCGGTGTCTGCTCAAATTTTCCTTGAATAGTCCGAGGCTCAGGAGGTACATTTGGGGGTATTTGTATTTCTAGAATCCTGTCTGCAAATTATAGGTGGCAGAATTGAGCTTGACTTAAATGCTGAAATGCAAAAACTGAGATTGGCTGCGATCACCGAGTCGTACTGACCAACCACACCAGAAGTCTGTGTGGCTACTCATACATACAAAAATAAACTTCAATCAGAGAAAGTACTGGATTTAAAATTAATTAATATTTAGAAATAGGAGATAACCCATTCTTTCAAATACTATTCAAATTTATTTAGTTTTTACTGGGCTGGTATAACAAATTAATACAAAGTACAATTCCATAGACATTATAGATTGTCAAAAAAGAAAAGTACAAAACGCTTGAGGTAAGACATTGTTTGAAAAAGATTCATTTAAAAAGCCCTTATTAAAATTTCAATTCATTTAAAGGTAAAAGCTTGCTTTACACCATCTAGCTGTCCTAAAAGCCAACAATGCATTTTATTTCCAAGGTGGAGCAAAATACAGTGTGTGAGACGACATTCAGTCAAAATGTTCACGTCTTTATCAAATGTAAACAATAAACATAGTCATTCCTCAAAGTCCTGCTGTACAGAGCGAATACAGAGAAGTAAATGCTGCCACACTGATGCTTGCTCGAAGAACAGATGTTTGCATTTAACCTCTATGACACCTGCTCACAAATAAAAAAAACAATTCAACGGTCCACATTTTCATAAGATATCGCACAAAAGAGAGAGCAGAAGACCTCGGTAGTGCGTTACTGCCAAGAGTCAGACAACAACAAAAACACACAAATATAAAATTGTTATGAGCTTCAAAATATAAAACAAATCCATGATAAATATTGTACATTGTCACATGTCATTTTTCCAGTTAAATGGGGGCTGCTAACAGCCATCTTCTCAGTAGAGGTAAGAAACGGATGCTGTTTGGAAACCTCATAACTCTAATTTTGGATGGATGGATTAAAGGATACTATTATTGGATAATTTAGATATTGTCAACAAATGTCATGAAAAAGACCAAAACCACCAATGTATTTTTCCATCACTCGATACTTTCGGAGTTCCCCAACGTGTTTGTGAAACTCGATCATTTCCACTAACCAAATACATCTGTGAAATTGGGTTCCAAAATAGTCGTTACAAATGAAAGGAAGCAGAATAAGTCTTTGGTACTGTAGTTTTTAGCACACACAACAGCAGTGAATAGTGCATTTGTTGGGGACTATTTACAGCATTTGATTATCTGGTGAGTATTTACGGTAGCAGCAATGTGAATGTGGGATTGATTCCAAATAGACTATATTAGCTGTGTGTCTCTAAATGAAGAAAAATGTGTGGCAGGTGTTGGATACGAGATTAGATTTAGGGGAAAAAACGGAGGTGGTGGCAAAATAAATCACGCTTCAGCCAAAGAAACCAAACATGGGATCAATTCATTGTAGATTTTGGTATTTTCAAAGAATTATTTTGTCAATAAGAGGAAAATATAATATCAGATTTTTCCCCTTAATCATAATCAGACTTATTCCGGTTGATGAAAACATTTAAAAGCTCAAAATATAGAACTTGGATAAAATCACATTTTTGAGTTGTGAACCTGGTAAAACATTCCGTACTTAATAATAATTCCACTAGGATTTCCTTTCCGTATATTGTTGGACCAATGCATATTATGTAAAAGAAATAGATGTTTAGAGCTGCGAGGTTTCCACTCATCAATGAAAGCACTTGGAATAGACTTGTAAGAAAAGAAAATGGTACCAAATTTGATGAAATGTAGCTGTAGTATTTTTAATATTCTGCCCTCCAAAAAAGGCCACCACAGCTACACTGTGCTCTGTCTGCTCTCGCGGCAGTACTCCGTAGCCTCTGGAGAGTGAGGGGGAAAATCAATAAATATGCCATCCGAGCTGGAGTCTGCAGACTCCAGCACAATTATGGTTTCAGGGCTGGATGATTCACTGGGCGGCGAGGAGGATGCCCCCTTACTGAGATTAGTCATTGTTGTTGTGGCCTCAGTGCCGTGCAGAGCTCCTGAGGAACGAAAAACAAGAAGAAGGTAAAGCCACGGCTCGTACCACAACGATGTATGACAGGGTATTTATGAGGATTATTATGATTTCAGTATTTTCAGACATCTTAATCCGGGTCGTACCATTAAAGTGAGAGCCCACACGCAGCCTGTTGGAGGAGGGGCCGGACGGCTCGGATCCTGAGGCCAAGTCAGCGTAGGCCAGTCCTTGTTCTTCCAGGCACGTTACGATCTCACAGGCCGAGTGTCGGCGAATTCCTCCACTGCCAACAGAGCCGGCGTCCGGGTCGTACTCGGCCACAGGGGTCAGCAGCAGAGGGATATTGTAGCTCTTGGATCGCACCACAGGGTTTTTAGACGGCTGATCCGCGGACTTGGACCAGCCCAGCGGCAAACGCTTCTCTGAAAGACGGGGGGGGGGGGTCGTTTTATTTATTCAAATACAAAAACGCATGATTATTGCTCTGCTTTCGGCTTCGCGGTCTTACCCAGAACACAGCAGTGGGTCTCAGCACCATCTTCAGAGTAAAGCCCGTGCGTGCCCAGGTAGGGCGAGACCACCTTCTGAATCAGGGCCTCGAGCCGCAGGTAGTCCTCGTTCACCCCGCGCGACTCATGGACGCCCTAAAAACAGACAAGGACATCAGAAAAAAATATAAATGACAATATGGGATTTATGAAATGGAAATTTCTATTTCTAAGAATTTAGTGCAATAACATTGTTTTCAATGACTAAAACAAACAATAGAAATGAACAATAATAGAACTGTGCATGTACAAGGATTTTGTTGGGGGGGATATATTTATTTTATGTTATTGATTAGATGTTAATAACAAATAAAAAAAGCACACCCGATCAATTAATATAAATATTGATATTTTTAATGAATTACTAGAAAACGTGTTTATTAAATGACGGTATCCGTTCAGACCTAACAGTGAAGCCATAAGCCATTCAGCCTGAGGTATTTAGGTCGAGACTTTAGATTTTATCTGGAAATTATTATCTGGGATAGTGGTTCACTCTGTGTGCAAAGTTCCAAAACGTGATCTGTACTTGTTGGGAACAGAAAGAGCAGGAAAACGGCAAGTGGAGAAACCTGTAGAATGAGCAGCATCTGCGTAACAGAAGGAGGCACGCGAGCCCGAGGTCGAGTCAGGGCGTCCTCTAACTTCACACTCAGGACTATGGTGTTCCTGAAGTGAAGCAGAGACAGCTGTCGGACGGAGGGCTCCTTACCCTGCACACATCAAGCACACGGAAAACGGCCACGGTTAAATACAAAAAGGCAGAAAACCCAAACAGCCGATTCTTGAGACGTTTGTGTACCTGAACCGGATGGAATATGGCCTGCAGCATCGAGAGGACGTCACAGAAGAAGAAGTCCCAGGTCTCGGCCAGCGAATCGAGTAACTTCTGACCTGCGTCGATCACACAGGAACAAGCGGTTTGTTTGAGCTTAACTCACCGGAACACAAAAACACGATTTCAGACAACTCGTGTGGAGTCGCAATTACCTTCGTAAAACCTTATTTTGTCCCGAAGGATGACCATGCCTTTTGTCAGCAGCTGATTCTGTGAGACACATTGAGAAGATGCCATTGGACATTAATATCGGCGACGGTACTGCTTTAACTGATCCGAATCGGGTTTCAATAATGAAGGAGTTGTACCTGAAGGTACTCTGTGAAGAAAAACCCCAGCTCAGTCTTTAACAGATGCCTGGGGAAACAAATGTGTGGCTTCACTTCACGACTCAAACACAACAATCATAATCACAAGATGGACTGTATTAAATGAAACTGTGTAACGTGTGTAATTGCATTAAATACAACCAAAGGAGCACGCCGTTTTCCTGCATTATAATCTGTTAGCTTTCCGTGTAGTTGAAGAAATGTGTGTCGACCTTGTGGCTTTTCTGTACGTGAAAGTATTTTCATTGGTCCGTAATGGAGGCTGATGGGATGGAAGTGGTTCAGAAAGAGAACGAGGCATCTGGCAGAACGGCGTACAGTAACTCACAAGGCCAACGGCTTATTCACATGAAAACGGTCAGTCAGCAAACGCACGACAGAACAGTAATTATACAAATTATGGCCCCAAATGACACACAGTCATTTCAACGATACACACTGAACAAGCCTGTTGTTTCTGTTTAAACCTACCGGACACTTTCGTTGAGGACGTAGAGTTCGTTATCTGCCAAACCTTTCTTCTGGAAGACGGCTATGACAGCGTTGTGGATACTGCAACACACCACACGCACACAGCCGTGTCTCCATGACGTTCAGAATGCATTTTAGCCGCAGCGTTTCTTTCTTCCTTTATTGCATTCGACGTACGTGTTCCAGGTGGCGTTGGCTCCGGCCCTCTTCTGCTTCTCTCCTCGGTCCTCTGGGGAACCTTTCTCGCTCTTCCCCAGGTCGCTGAGGCTCGGGGAGCTCATCAACTTCAGCCGGTGCAAAGTCCTCATGGAGGGAGATATGGAGGAGAGAAACAAGAGAGCGTGCACTAAGTAGTGGCCAGCGTGGAAAGAAGGTCAGCCTGGGAGTTGACATACAGAGAAGAAGCCAGAGGAGACTCGGCTGGAGGGGGGGACCGTGAGCTGCACGAGTCTGAGAGCAGGATAGAGGGGAGGAGGAAAAAAAGGAAAGGCCGGCCGGCGACAAGAGGGGGAGAGAAGTAGGACAGAGTGGTGCGCGGCGAGAGAGGGGCAGCGCGTTAAGAGCAGCATGGGTGGAGCCAAGCAGAGAGGTGGGCCGCCGCTCTGCCGGGGGAGGAAACAATAAGCACACGCATTGATGGCACAAAACAGCCATTGATGAAAACAAATAGTTATGCAGGGCACAGATGCCAGTGGGGCGGTGGTGGGGCGGTGGAGGACGCAGAGGAGGAAGTTGTCCATTGACAACAACAGCATTGACAACAACAACAGGGATAGGAAGTAGTGACACAATGCAGGACAATGAGGAAGGTTTTCCTGCTCTTCCATTTTAACGTGTGAGACCAGAGCCACACAGCTGCAGCTGGGAAAGGTCTTGATATTTGACAGTGTAAATGTCCAGTTTCTACAATTGAGGGTTGAAAAATCATCTTTTTTTATCAACTTCTTTGAAATATTGACTAAATATTGACTATATTGACAATTTAAACCATCTGTAAAACAAGTAAATAAGTAAAATGAGTGTCTTTCTAAGGCTTTGGGACCAGAGAGCCATTATCCACTCATGGAGACGACTGGGAACAGTGGTGAACCTTCCCAGGAGGGGCCGGCCTGCCCAACCCAATCAAAGAGAGCGTCGATGACTCATTCACAACAACATGTGAAGAACAGCGGGCCTCACAGGCCTCGGGTCAGAGTCTGTAGCTCGACAACAAGGAAGACGCTGGGACAAACACAGAAGAGTTACAAGGAGAAAGCTACTGCTGACCACAGCGCACACACACACAACACATCCTACCAATAGTTGGTTAATAGTAAGTCTGGGGCCGCTTTGCACAACCAGTTATTACAGCTGGAAGGCAATGACTTTTTTTTTATATAAGGTCATGTAGGTTTAGATATCTTTTGTCCCTTAAAATAATTAAATCATCATTTAAAAGCTGCATTTTCTATTTACTTTGTGTAATACAACATGTATTTCTCAAACATTTATTTAAGTGTGACAAATATTTTTTTTAAAAGAAAGCAGGAAGGGGGCAAATACATTTTTACAGCACTGTACATGCGAATAATAATAATAATAATAAACAGTGAATGTGTCGGGGCTCTCTGGTGAACAAACTATGTAATGGAAACAAAACCTCAATAAATCAGCTAACTTATATACTGATAAATACAACTGCACATCCTGGTGAATTTGTCAGACCAGCTCTCTGTGAGAGAAACTCCCCCCTAAGTCCCAACGCAGCTCAGGACTGTGTAGTGAGTGCAAAAATGAAAATAAACACTAATGCACTGATGAAAATCTGCCCCTTCAAAAAAAATAAAAAAAATGAAAACGAGGAATTCAAAACCCACGCAGTACACAAACTGACAGCAGGGCAGGAAACAACAGACCCTTTACAACGCCCACATACACACAGACACACAAAACACGGAGAGCAAGTCTACAAACTGCTGAGATGCACATCATACAAACATAAAACCAAGACTTTCATTTGTTCAACACGTGATGCAAGCAAAGCTGAACCCATTAAAGACATATTTTGGGGAGAAGAAAGTTTTTCTTCTTCTTTTCTTACAAATGTACATTTAAATTAATTGCCAGGGTTCTGTGCGTTGTGACATGTAATCCCAGGAACCGACCCTCACCTCCTGATCGGATGCTCGCTGCTGCTGCTGCTGTCCATGTCCGGGCTCGGGGGAGGGGCGGAGAAGGTGCTGAAGTTGAGGGACAGGGGTCGGGTCAGGGGTCGGGTGGAGGGCCGGGAGGCGTGCCTCCGCCGCAGTCCGTCCAGCATCTGCACACAAGGGGCGGAGATCATCAGGGACAGATTAGAAATCCGGTTGGACTGAATGCGATCGTCTCCTCACAAAAGGGCTCATGAAGGGATCCAGTTGCTGTGCAGATGCACCAGCGAGTCATTCGTACTCTCACCGCCACTTTCTTAAGAGACAATGAATGAAACAAGGAACACGGACAAAAACAAATGGGGACGCGGGGGGGAAGTTACCATGAAAGGAAGATATAATGTGACATCTGGGTTCTGTTTCCCTATTCAGTTATTTCAACACCACGTAAGAGTGTGTTGCAATCGGAGCTCAAGCTACGCCCCGACAGCAATAACACCCACCTTGTATCAAAGGGAGGGAGAGAGGGGGGAGGGAAATGCATGTGCGTGCATGCACGTTAGCCGTAGGAGAGAGAGAGTGTGTGCGCGTGAATTATGCCCGTGCAAGTCACGGAGGCAACATGGTAGTACAGTACGGTATGACCGGTCTGTTTGGGTGTCTCCCCCGCAGAAGCGCACCGGGCGCAGCGCCGCCCCGCGGCCGGAGGAGGGATCAGCAGTCTGGGCTGTCGCTCCACAGACAAAGACACAACACCACGAGTCCCCCTTGTCCACCGCCCACCACGCACACACACACACACACGCGTGACACAACTCACGAGTGGTGTGTTTCCAGGGGGGTCGGCCCGCCGTCTCTGAAGAGTGAGATCACGCTCGACGCCGAGAGGCCACAGATCACACACGCGCACACACACACACGCACGGTCTACCCAGCATGCCGGGCCACGCCAGTCTGGGCATTCCAGCATCTGTTCACCCCTCCTCCGGTTTCTTTTTAGGAGCGATCTCAGTCAGGTCGATGACACACCCGATCGATCCCCGTCTCCGCGTTGCGTTTCCGGCCCGTCTGACATCCCACCGCCCGATCACCGCCGCGTCCGTTCGCCCAATCAACCGGCCGGACGCGCGATCAACAGCGCGCGTTCGTCCCGCGGGGAGGAACGTTTCAGCGCCGCCGTGCTTACGTGAAGCGTTCTCCACACTGTCCACCCGCGTGGACGCGAGAACGAGCCGAAGCGGACGACGCGGCGTGTCCCCGCCGTACACACGGGACGCGCCGCAAAGTCCCCCGTTTGGACGAAAAAAACAGACCCGCACAATAATGGCCACAAAGTTGTCGTTGTGTCCTGTTCATCCGCCCGCCCGCCGGCCGCAGCGCGCACTCACCGTGCCCGCTCCTGTTCGCGTTGTTCCTGAATGGGATGAAAAAATCGCGTGGCGCGTGTTTACGGTCCCGGCTCAGCAGCCGCTGGCTCCTCTACTGTTTGCCCGCAGGTCTGCGCACCCAAAGGGGGCATCGGGGTGCAGACGGATCCGACCTGCTGCGCGGTGGAGGGGGACTCATTCATGAAGCATGCGCCGCACTCTCTCTCTCTCTCTCTCTCTCTCTCTCTCTCCCCCTCTCTCTCTCCCCCTCTCTCTCTCGCTCAATGGCTCGCCCCCGCTTTGTTTTGACGAGATGCAAAGCGAACCTGGGCGCGTGAACGCGAACAAGAGCAGCGCGCGGACGCGCATTGTGGTTGAATCTTAAATGCGAAGCAGGGGAATCACTGGGATTCAGGACTGAAACACAGTGGTAATGGATCTTGTCACACTTCCTGGCACGTGTAGACCCGTTTTGTTTGCCTTCTTCGTGCATTTCACGGTATGATGTGCACGACAAACTGAATGATGACCCATGTTATTCAGCAATGACCCCAATCTTTGCCGTTTAACGGGGTGGGTGTCTTCTTCTGCCATCTGTCAACGCAGGCGCGTGCATCGCACCGATAATCCCAGTTTTTGATGGGCCGTGATGTAAATAAACTGGGTCTCGTGAGAAATTCCACTGGTATAAAAAACTTTCAATTAGAACTGAGGCCCATGTCTGGCCTACATTTCAGTTGACCCTTCAGCACATGGGATTTAAGTGGAAAGAAATGAGCAAAACACCAAATCCTGACACTCACATGCACGTTGTGATCATCGGAGCTTCTATCAACGAGGTGAACATTTACACTGGAGGCTGTAATCCAAATATACACTGAGGGGAAGTATTTCTTTCTGTGCACATGAATCACTGAGCAGTTTATTATAAGTGAGAACGTGGGAAAAGGCGAGTAAGGACAGTGCAAATGAAAGCATTATTTCTATGATTACAATAAAAATAAAATTACAAATTTAAGAAATGAGGAGAACAATTAGTATATGTCTATTTGATCTTGGAGTCATGAAATGTTTTACTGAATCCTCCTGGTCCATAAATGCAATGTCACTGCCCTGCATACCTCAGCTGCATATTTCAAACATCTAAATGATGCTGATGACGAAAGTAGTGGGTTGGTGAAGCGGATGTGCAAATGTGGTTTTGGGGATCCTCCCCCATGAATTTACAAGGGTATATTATTGTATTTTGTATTGTATCAATTTTGGATGAATTCATTTGAGAGTCTTTTTATCTAAATGTATCGTAAAAACATCTTATGTAAAGTAAAAAAACACATTTAGACACCAAGTGACCATTTACAATTTGAAAGTGAATTTTCAAATATAATACTGTAAGGCACCTTTTCAAATCAATATTAAATGAATTTGAAAAGATTATTTAGAATCGTACGCGAAAGGCAGAAGCACAGAAGCGTTTTGTTGTTGTAATACAAATGTTAACCACAGGAGGCTGACGCGCACCATTACACCATGTCTTCAAATAGCACCAAACGCCTTTGTTTTTGTTGCAGGAGCTTTTACGAGAATCACATTTGTGTGGCGTTGGGGGAGGAACATTTAAACGCATGGAGACAATTCCACCAACGTTCATCTGTGTGTGTATGTAATATATTTAACAAATCCTACTGATTATCTCGAAAGCAACTAAAAAAAGGTCAGGTAAGCTGTGATTGTTATTTTATAGTGCCATGTATTTTTGAAGCGAGTCAGATTTGTATCCTTTCTACTGATGTCATAATAAAAATAATAACATGATAATATGACACGCATTGAAAAGTCTTCTCTACTGTCACCGTCTGCAGTCACACTCATGAGTCAGTTTGTGAAAAACATTTAAAAAAAATAAGTATTGAATTAATCTCGATACATTATTTTGTTATTGCGCAGTGGTGATGATGAAATGCTGTGATTGGTTGTTGCTTTTGCCAAATGTTCGCAGTGCAACATCAGTGGATTTAACTAATTGCACAAATTAACCTTTTGACAATAAACAAATATATTGCACCACACATGTGATCAAATGCTGGATGATTCCTACATTTTTGTAATCCGTATAGAAAAATAGAAATCAAAGTGCAGTGCATCATATTAAATTGGCGATTGCAAATTATCCTTTTAAATCTGTTCCAAAATTAGAATATTTTAAAAGGGCTTTCATGTTGCAATCCTGGATATGTATATATTGCATTCTCTGAGGAGTCAGCCATCACACCCAAGTGCAACTAGTCACTGTGTTTACCCTAGAAGTTTCCTTTTGAAATCATACTGTCTGTATTTCAAGTCTTAACACATTTGGAACCACATTATCCTTGAAAACTATTTGCATACGGGAATTATTATAACGTGTGATTTGTCATTTAATCATCTACTTACATTTACTGATTCTTATTTCGAGGTGAGAGTCTACACGCTCTGCGGGTAGTGTTGTAATACACACGCGCTCTGCGGAACGACGTGCGGGCTGGTTTCACTGTTTTTTTGGACGCGGAGGCTGAAACGCAGGAAAAAATCCGCATGAGGACACGTAACTCCGAATTACCAGAAATGTTACATATTGAGGCGTTCAGGTCATGAACTAAAATAGAAAACCACACACACTGATGGGGAAGAAAAATAGAAAGAAAATGTGTACATTTCTACCACTCGTTATATATTTACAAATATTTTGAATTCTCCGTGTGTGTCTTGACCATAAACTGATTCCGCTCATAATAAGTAGGAGAACACGTAGACACTAGAATGAAGTCTTCATATTCCGACTGGACCCGAAGGCAGCACTAACTCCTCCTCCGGTGACCGCGCGGGAAGTTCTTCAGTTCAAGACATTCAACCTGGTTTAAAATGTAGCGAACGCACCGCTCAACTCATTTTAACACAATAAACCCACTTTGAGGAACTTCTTGAGAACTACCCGGTGAGTTTGCGTGGCTATGAATGGATAAGCTAACGTTAATTTACAACGACATTCGGCTAACGTGACATTTGACTCAAAGCGAGCATTAAGCTAGCTTAACTTCGCTTTTCTCTTTACAACGTTAACGTTAAGTTGCGTCTTCGCTTTGAACCGTAGCGACCGATGTTTCATGTCTTATGTTAAATTAGAAACATCTGCAGGTATGGAAACATTAAGTAAAGACGCATGCCTGTTGATTTTAGTGACGGCAGGAGACCTCTGCAGTCATGTCGGACCCGCCCGCGGAGAGGAGCTCCGCTGCACCGACGCGCTTCGGACAGGTAACGGGGACGTCCGGCGGCTCTCGTTGTGTTACCGCGGCGCAGAGAAGCACCTCGGTAACACACCGCCACGAACCCAATGCACTCCCGACTGGCTCATTCTATTTCAAGAACGAGCCTCAGCTGTGCAGGAAATCAAGTGGGATAACATCAGAAGCTGGTGCACGTCTGCTTCACCCGGTGCATGCTGGGAAAGGGTTCGGAATGAGCGATGGTTAATTGGCTGCAAAAACAAGCTGGTGCTGAGGAGGCTGATCATATTTTGTAATGCATCGCTCCTTACTCTTTTTAAAACGTGTACAATATATAACTATATTGTATCAACTGTGTGGATGAATATCATTTAAAACCTTTTGGGGTCAGGGTCTTACTCGTTAATCGGACACTCCTACACTCTTTTATTATGCCGTGGTCTACGTGTGTGTATGTATGTATGTGTGTTTGTGCTTAGTTTTTCTTTGTTGTCAGTGTGCCTACACAGCCGAGGAGCAGGAGGCGGTGAACAAAGCTCTGCGACAGAAGCTGGGACCAGAGTACATCAGCAGCAGAATGGCTGGCGGAGGACAGAAGGCACGTCCTTGTTTATCTCTCTTTTTCAGTTTCCTGTTAAGCCTACTGCAATTACTGCAAAAGTGCACCCTCATTGCATTGAAGGCGTTCCCAACCAGCATAACATAAAGCGTGCATGTGGTTGACTTTTACCCCTCTCACTTTCACATCGACTCTTAAATGGACTCTTCCAGGTTTGCTATGTGGAAGGGCATCGTGTAATCGGCCTGGCCAATGAGATGTTTGGGTACAATGGATGGTCTCACTCCATCTCTCAGCAGAATGTCGGTACGACTCCTAGTTTTTGGTCACCAAAGACTGCTGTTAAACCCAAGTGACGGTTGAACTAAGAAAACGCGTCTATTTTGCAGACTTTATAGACATCATCAACGGGAAGTTTTATGTCGGAGTGAGCGCGTTTGTCAAAGTGCAACTGAAGGTAGGAGGATACTTATTTTACTGTATTGGTTTGAACATTTAACAATATCTTTATATGGTGAATCATCTGACCAAGATTATTAGACTAGAATTCCCCTTTCTGTATTTCCTGCTTCTTGTCCACGTGAGTTTGTGTGTGTGGTCCTTGTCCTCCAGGATGGGGCGTACCATGAGGATGTCGGGTACGGGGTCAGCGAAGGACTGAAATCCAAAGCTCTGGCACTGGAGAAGGCGAGAAAGGAAGCCGTCACAGACGGCATGAAAAGAGCACTGAAGTACTGGAATTTCATGTCTTCTCAGTATGAAACATAAAGAAATACCACTTTGAATATACAATCGTTCTAAAATATATGCGTGTGTTTTTCTGGTGTTGTTTAGATGCTTCGGTAATGCTCTTGGAAACTGCATCCTGGATAAAGAATACCTCATAGCCATTAACAAGATCCCCAAACAGGTCTGCCACAGTATTATAATATTTTAACATTTAGTCTCTGAGCGTTTTTGGTGTTCTGAATGTTGTCCTCCACACAAAGCCTCCTCCTCCTCTAGACCCGGCAAAGACGAAGCGCTGCGAGGGAGAGCCCTCCGTGGAGAAGGCCCGGTACTCCAGCATGCTCCAAGAGGAAAGGCTTCAATCCGCTGCGGGTTCTGGGAGGACGCCGCTGGACCCCCGAGTCCTCAACCACATCCAGAACTATTCAGAAGTTCACACCCCGGATGCTGCCGGCCCCGCTGACAGGAAGAGTGACGACAATGACTCCAAGTAAGCGCGATGTTTGCACGTTTTAAGTGTGGAAAATGCTTTAAGTGAACCCTTTTATATTGTGCAGGTGGGGAATGTACTTGAATCTGGAATCAAGTATTTTTTTTTTAATAATGCTTGACTTCCAACATAAGCAGGCGGTTCATCGACCGTCACACATGTAAATCAAACTTAAAACGAGAAAGTAAAAGCACTAGTTGAGTTACCACAGCACTAAACTTTACTATTGAGTGTTTAAAACCTTTTTTTCTTTTTTACAATTTGCATTTATAGCAGCAAATTTAGACCCTCCGGGGTCAAGTGTTTTCATTGGGCATCACCTCCAATCTGTTTCCTGTTTTCCCAGACCGGCCATGGACTCAGTGAAAGTTGGCGGGTCACTGGAGCACACAGACCCCAAACAGCTGAGAAAGCTCCGACAGCAGCAGCTTCAGCAGAAGTTCAGGAGAGAGATGGAGAGCAGGAAGCTGCAGCAGATACCAGGTCAAGCAAAGTGCGAGGACACGTGGGGGACTACTGGACGAGCCTCTGCTGGAGGTGGGGGTTTCACGTGTTGCCATAAGTGATGTCATCGTTTTTTTTTTGTCTGAAACACGAGTTGTCTTGGCACCCTGCCGCCAGGTTTTATTGTGCTGGAGTAATAAAAGTGTTAAAGTGTAGGAGCACATGTCAAGGGGGGTGTTTATGAAGCTGTATCCATTCCGCCAGGTCTTGAAGATGAAGGCACTGCACACAGGAAGCCAAGCGGCAGGGACGAGCATTTAGCAGGTTATGTTAGCCGCCACCAGAAGGCTCAACACACTCTGACCTCGTGGTGAGGAAACCAGTCTCTCTTCACCGATCAACAGTCGCTACGACCTTTTTGATTTCTTTTTTTTTTTTTGCTTCTTTTTCTGCAGACGATCCTGAGCTCTGGGATTTCTCTCTGGATGGGATCGACCTGCTGGACGTCCCTGCCCCCAGGGGGCTGGTACCGGGCACGCCCAGCAACCACAAGATGCTGACGCGCAGCAAGACCCCTCAGAGAGACGCGGGCAGACCCCCACATCAGAACCAGTACCCGGCCCAACCAGGTGAGATTTCACCCAAGAGATGTCGGGAAGCCGTCAGATGAATGTTGCCGTTCTAAATCTAGCATTTCAATGTTACAGGTGAAGCAGTCAGTCCGCGCAGACAAGGACAGCACATGAAGAAACGCAAACTGGACACATGAGATCTTATGTTCCACACCGTTCCAACTTAATTTTACTTGTTTTTTTTAAGTGTTACATTGTTACCTTTGCAATAAATTGCTGCCAATTGATTTGCTGAAAAAATGTGTATATAAAATATAAAAGGTCAGTCAGCTGGGTTCTTTAAAGAGGAAACCAAGCAACGTGATCAATAATACAATGTGTTTTCTGAGATGTCATAGAACTAGGTTTTCAATTCCTTAATTTTTTACAAATACATCTTAGAAGAGAAGAAAATATTAAATTAAAATGGCACAAACTGGTTTACTACAATTTTAAAAAGCATGACAAGCACTTTTAATTGATATTATTTTTATTTGTTTTTACATTTTGTACAATGTGAAAAACATACACAAAACAGACACTGAATCACAGGTCAGTGAGGGATCAGAAATAAAGAGCTGAACAGATACGGTTGCGTGTCAGTAGCCTCAAACAGAAGTGTAGAGGTCTGTGATATTACGGATGATCGCCTTGTAGCATATGGACCTTTAAAGAGTTTTGTCGTGGCCAGTGTAAGATTAAACACGTGTGAAGCTAGCATGCAGAAACCATATCCTGATATTAGTGAATAACATTTGAACAGATCAACGCATTTTGATCACTTTCAGGAAGGCAAAGAAGGAAAAGGATATCTAACAATATCAAAAACATTGAAGTCCGCAATAACCCTCATCAGCATGCAGATGTTTCAATTACCCCTCCGCCCCTTCAAACATTGCATATTCTGCATTGCAGTAACTTATTTTTTCTCTAGAGAACTTTTAACTATTCATCCAATCTACGAGCAGGCGAAAGTCACAACGACAGCACGGCACTCGTGTGAGGTGGTGGAACTAAAAGGTGAGCCAGCATGACGTTTAACCCTTTATACAGCTCACTCACAGCTTGAACAAGCACAAATCCCCTGCACAGATACCTACCCCCCCCCCCGTGATGATAAGGTCAGACATTGACTTCGGGGTTCGTAATAATGAAAATGGTTCAATGATGAATCCACGGAAACCAAATAAAAACACAGCTGAATACACAACCATCACAAATAGAGCTGTGGCGAGAACAGACGCACGTTCACATTACCCAGTGTGCTCTTTGTTCGTTTTAGTGTCACATACGGCGAGCCGCTGCCCCCCCCCCCTCTCTTCAGTGTCTGCGCCTCGTCCACGTTTAGTCTACTGGTTGTCTGAAGTACAGGCGCAGCTACGGGACTAGAGGAATTTGGAACGTGTCATTAGTGAGGATGCAAGGCACTAAAGTGTTCCTCGTGTTTACAGGTCAGAGTGCGTGTGCACGTAGCGAGCGAGTCACCACAATCACGCTGAAGTGGCCGAGCATTACGCCAAAGCGTCTACATCACATTGACAGATACGGTACAATAGAACGGAGGGCCGGGCAGTCGGAGAGAGGAGCTTAATAAAACAACAGGATTGCTCCCACGTGGTGAGTAGGACACCATCGACAATTGCACTTTTTATATTCATTTAACTACCTGTTTAACCACCTTTAATAATAAACAGTGAAACAACATCAAAATCTGATGGCTAAATACAGGTCCATAAAGAAACATTTGTTTTTATTAAATATACGCATACAAAAACAGACCACAGAAAGTAAAAAACAACCCTCAAACAGAATGGGATTTCAGCAGCATCACCTCTCCAATTGCACACTGTGAATGGCGGTCAACACCAGGACAATGTGGCAGATCGACTGGTTTACATGCCAGGCGTGAAGGATAAATCTGTATAATAAACCTGGATGGATGGAGAACTCAAATCACGATGTCACCAGACTCACAGCGACATAAATACGCAAAAACATGGAATCATAACCCAGTGAAGAAATATCTATGTACAAAGTCAATGTTTAAATGTGTTTGGGGATTAAGGCCACAGTTACAAGGGACAGTTTTTCTACTCTTTGCCATTATTGCATTTTGCTGAATAGGTAACGATGGGGTGTATTCATACTGCAAACCTACGCATTACACTCCTTCCTAACTTACGTCTTTCTTCTTCAACTCAACCAGTCATACTTTGCTAGTCCGTCTTGGACACACTAGGTGCACCTCTCTACTTTCCTACTTTCTGTTCACGTCCCCCCCACCTCACTCTCTGAGATCACTTTACCAACATCCCCTATTGTTTTTCCAGGTGTATGTGTGTGTGTGTGTGGGAATATATGTGGTGTTTTAGTTTAACCGTCTTGGTTCCCAGTAGGGCTTAAAGTCTTAATATTAAGGATGGGAACCAGAATCCACCCTACCTTCTCTTCAAGAGGGAATGACGACGCCTGCTCTCGAAAGACATCTTTGGCTGCCGTTGATCATCACGTCACCGGACACGACCAACCCGCTCGTCACAGCTCAATTCCACAGCCAGCGGCCGGCTAAGTTTGAGACTTCTGTGCTGTGGATGTGTATTGCACTCTGCCTATAATTGCCGGACAGATTTTGTTCTGTCTGAGGACGTGAACCACATTAGCTCAACTCCATTACAGGAAAGAAGAAAAAAAAAAAAAACAATAAAAATTGAAATTAAAATAAAAAAAAGCAACACAACATGCAGCCAGTTTACCAGCCGACTGCAAGGAGAGCTAGTGGTTTTTTTTTATTAAACAGTCTGCCCTGTTTTGTCCTCCGTCTGAGGGGACTAGGAAAACAACTGGGCTACGTGGGCTTCAGGTTGGACCCTCCGGGGATGACTGAACTCTGGGGGGCTGCTGTGGTTCCCATGTGGTAGCCTGAGGCTGTTGTAGGTGGCTGGTACTGTGTTATCGACTGTGTGGAGTTGAGCATGCTGACCTGGCACGTGCCCGTGGGTCCCGCCCACTGAGGAGCACTGTACGGGGCCGAGGCATATGCGAACCCCGGTGCAACCGGACCCAGGGAGCCTTTACGAGGCCCCAGAGGGGCAGAGGGATTGGTTGGGTTGGGGAGATGAGTCGACGTCGTGGACGTGGTGCTAGAAGACGAGGGGAGTGTTGTGCTGAGGAAGCCGGGAGCTGAGAATTTCCGGCCCATGTTGGCTGGAGGGATGACCTGGGGAGGAGGAGGAGGAGTGAGGGGGGGGGGGGGGTAGACGTTACTACGGAATATGCAGGAATCTTGCAAGTGTACATCTATTTTTTTTTTCTCCTCTCAATACCCCTTCCCAGTCTCCCACACTTGGTGACACAGTTGATGGCAGCTTTTAAAGATGGCGCTGAATGCCTACATCATGTCCCAGTGGCGATGGTGCTCCAGTTTTAGGTCCCCTCCTGCCCTGGGCGAGGCCGATGGCGTCCCTGGCCCAATTATCCACCAGTAGGTGCAGGTCATCAGTGAAGGTGCCCTTTCCCTTCTGAGTGTGGGAGGACGGAGGAGCGGGTCCCGTTGCCTGGGTCAAAGACGCGGAGTGGTTCTGGCAGTGGCCTGAACCATTTGCAGAGCTGGTCCCACTTGATCCTGGTAAGCGAGAACAGAATTCAAGGAATTGCTGCAATAGGCGCACGGTGAGTAAATTCAGTGCTTGCACATACCTGTGGAGCAGCTACTGAGGCTGGGCATGGATGGGGAGGATCTGAGCTGCTTTATGGAGGACCTGCTCGCTGTTTGAGACGCCTCGGCTGCGGTTTCTGAGGCCTCTGTTGATGAGGGGGAATTTTGCTTTGGAGGAGATGCTAGACCATGAAGATTCTGAGCTGAGGCCGGGGATCCTGAACGTACGTAAGACACAAAAGCATGTAAACATTCACGTAGGAACATTTTTAACTGCTTTAACAACGGACTGCAGCACTGACATCATAGAGAGGATTCACTTTATCTTGAGTGTCCTTACCAGAGTGTTTGGGACTGGGTTGGCCGCTACAGCGGGAAGATTTGCTTTTGCTTTTTAGCCTTCGTCGACCTCCACCCATCACCATAGCTGGAGAGAAGACAGTAGTCGGGGGAGGTTTTCCCATCATCGAATACAGGGCGTCTATCTCCTCTTTCTGACGAGTCTGCAATGTCTGGATCTCTGTCATATGCCTGCGAGAACGGGTTGAGACATGCAGTCATGATAACATATTTCCATAGACCTGTTGATTTACACTAACAAGAGGAAGTGGAGGAAGTGTGAAGGAGGATTGCAAACATGTGGCTTACTTTTCTCTAAGACGGCTGATTTCTTTCTGCAAAGCCCCGCCCTCGGTCTCAGAGTCGTTGTTGTCACTACTGTAAATGGTGTGTGCATTATGAGGATCGGAGGGTCCGTTCTGCATACTGGAACCATGCGTTGGACTGGAGCCTGCTGCTGGAGCTGAGGTCACTGAGGGAATGTGTACACATGAGTTCGTTAAGGATACAAGTGTGCCTGGGGACCTCGCATGATTTAATAATGTACACAAAACATTTGTGATGCTTTTGTTTTAATGCACGAGTCGACTACTTCTGAGCATCATCTGCCGATATGTATAACATAATGGACTGAAATCTCAGTAGCTAGAGAAGTCTACTGAATATGCAAAAATGATCCAAGCTCTAAATAATATAACTCGCTGCAGCCTCCGACACTGGGATTATTAAAGAATTGTGAAATAGGCACAGGTAAAGCATTTTACAGCTCATATCATGAAAACCCATCAAAAGACAAAAGCAATAGCTGTGATAATTAATTCTTAAAATAATAATATTAATAAGATTCACTCAGCCTGCTCAGTTACAGAGCAGCATACTATTAGTAAAGGTGGGTTATACTAGTAGTATGTAGTACTATTTTAAATGAAAGCACGCTTGATTTGCTGAACTTTGAACCCAATACGTGCCTGTGACAGAAAAGCGGCCCACTTTAGAGCCAGGGGTCGGCTCAGAGGTCACGTTGGTGCTCTTGGACACTTGAAAGCGCCCAATAGTGGTCGGCCGACCAGCAGGCGCAGCGGACAGGGGGAAGGCTCCATTCCCAGAGTCAGTCTCACAGACTACTTTGGACAGGGAGGATGACCGGTGGAGGGTATTTTCTGGACTTGAGGGGGAGGAGGAGGATGATGAGGAAGACGAGGAGGTAGAAGACGGCGTGAGGGAAGCAGAAGAAACTATGCTGGTGGGATCTTTAACACAGCTGGACACACGGTCAGTAGCAACAGACACCTGGAAAAGAGGGGGAGAACATATTAATGACCCAAGGAGCTCCAAGAGATTCTGAATCAACCGGCTGCATTTTAGGCCGAGACTTCAAACTTACTTGGAAACGTCCCAGAGTGAAATCTGCGGCTGGAGGCTGGATTAGATTACCTTCCTGAACCGTCTCTGGGCTCAGAGCTCTCCTCAACTGGACGTCCAAAGGACCCGGGGGTTTCTGTGACGCAAGTCACGCAAACAGAATATTAGGAACAATCCACAGTTGCACATATCTATATCTACACTGTGTGTGAAGAACATAAAAAAGCAGTGAGGCAGGGGGTATCACCTGATTTGGTCCAGGAAATGGGGGCAGATGTTCAGAGGGAGGAGTAGAAGCTTGGTCAAAACCAGTAGGTAAAGTCTGAAAATAAAATGTAGAAGGAATTGAAGTCGACAGTTAACCAACAGCGTTCAGGATCTTTGTCTCGCCTGCAGCAGTCCTCACTAACCTGCGCCCTGGGTTTGGTAGGAGGCGTCTGTCCTGGCGGGTTAATACCCTGTCCTGGGGTGGTTGTGAGGCCCGGGACAGCCGGAGTCCCCGTGGTGAGGGCGAGGTTAGACGGGGGCACCAGGGCAAGTCCGGGTGGAGGAGAAGAGGTTCCGGCGGGAGGAGAGGAGGTGCCTGTGTTCTGATCCACTGAGGCAGACGTAGAGCTCTGATCTTTAAAGAGGGACCGGAGCTTCTTATCCAGAGCCTGGATGGCGTCTCTGCCACCAGTCTTGTTCGAGAGCTCTGCCCCCTCCGACTCCACCGGCTGGGGCTGGCTCTGGGTTGTTGTGTGCGGTGCTGAATGGACGGACGCATTCACAGGCTGCTGCTCTGAAGCGGGGACGGTGCTGGGGGCGGTGCTACTGGACGCGACGCTGACAACAGAGGAGACGGAACCACTGCTCGGGTGAGGCCCGGGGCCCGCGGGGACGGAGGTCTGCACTGACGGGGAAGGAATGGTGGAAGCGACGTTGGCAGCCGGCGGAAGCGGTGAAGGGGCCTCTTCATGGGCCGACTGGGGAGGTGGACTGGGATCACCGGGGACAGGGGCTGGAGTTAGGGACTGAATAGATGCAGGTGGAGGGGAAACCCTCCCAGTTGAGGGAGGCGGTGAGGATGTTGCCGTAGATGTGACACCAGGAAAAGTAATGCTAGCAGTGGAAGCTGCGGCTTCTGGAGGAGCCAAGATAGTGTTCGAGTTTGGGGCGAGTCCGGCCTCAATGGCTTCGTGCTCGGCAAGAAGGGGATCGATGGTGCTGCTTCTCTCCACGCGCGCCTGGCTTCATTCTACTGAAAGCCTGCTGGAGAACTCCAGACGGAGCAGAGAGTGAAAGGCCCAGTGGCGTAGAAAGACCTAGAGGAATGGTAAAAAAAAAAAAAAGGAATAGGAAATTTAATTTCAAAAACTGACAATGTAAATCTGATAGTTTTAATCATCATCAAAGACTGAGACACAATAACGGTTTTATAACACTAAATAAACACCAAAAACCTTGACGGTTGTAATTTTTGGAAAACACTGGCAGCCTTCAGATTCTATAGACAATATCAAAGTTAAAATGTTAAGCTTATGGACCTCGCTCACGCATTGCACCTTTAAAGCTTATTTTAATGCAGTGTCAAATGCATTACTGTTGGAACAGTGTTAATCCCCTGGAAGTAAAACAAACTTCTCTTTTACTACCTGGCTCATCTCCGAAGGAGGTGTTAGCAGAAGAACCGCCAAAGAACTGCTCTCTAAGACGAGACTCGGGCACTGGGCTGACGATGAACCTTCGGCCTGCTGAATGCACCACCTGCGCCGTAGTGCTGGGGGAAATGCCTGAGAGAACAACCAAAGGGAAGGCAAAGATGTGAGACCGGAGTTTGGATCAATATCAATCCGCGGACTGGAGCGGTGCGTTTCCCCGCTAAGGTTTATTTACCTGGCAGCATGGGAACGGACAGCTGGGGCTGTTGTTGGTGGTCACTCATCTGCAGAGAGATGAACATACAAATGCGTGTGTTGACGTCGTCCGGCTCAGCGTGAGAGTCAAAATGCATCATCATGGGTGTTGTAAAGAAATACCTGGGGAAAACCTTCCTTCGTGCCCCGCCCTTTCTCATCGGCCATTTCTATGACTTCCCGGACCTGCTCGATGAAGGACTCTCGTTCACTTTCCAAGATGAATTCACTTGCCACCTGAAACAGAAAGAAAGAGAAGTTGAACTACCGTGACAAGCTCCGTGTGGTACAAGAACGTTCCACGTGTGGTCGGAATCTGTGACAGTCATTGGTTGAGGTAGCAGGTATTAAAAAGGGGCCCCAACATTAGTTATACACCCCCACTTAATAGGTTTAATCATTAATCAGTTGGCTCTTCATTGTCTTTCGTGCTTTTAGGTTGTAGAAAGTGCTCTTTACAAACCCATTTTATTATATTAAGTGTGCAACTAAAAAAGGTGATGTTTTGTGCATGGGGGAACAAACGCCTGTACAATCCAGACTCACAATTGAAAAGTGTAGAATAAAATCTCTCTCAGCATCAGTAGAATAATAATCCAACAATAAAATAAATCACCATTAATTAGGCAATGATTAAGGTTCAGACATAACAAGTTTGGTACCTGAATTACACACCATTCTTGCTGTTAAAATAGTCATCATTTATGGAAAGAAGACCGATATTAACACAATGGGTAACTTGTGTTGTTGGTAGCCTTTGCTCTCGTCTTCTTCGTCTGACCAGTTGGTCAGTTGCAAATGGTATTTGTGATAAAGTTTATACTTTATAAACACTATACACAGTGTGTATTATACTGAATGTATTTATTGTTACAAACAACCATTAAACACTAAATTCCTGAATGTGTGGAGGAAACCACTATTACCATGATCTGTGCAATCTCCTCTGGATTATCACCATCAAGGTCAAATTTGAAGGTCACCATCTTCCTGTTATGAGTCTCCAGCTGGCATTCTGCTACTCGATCTCCCACATTAGAGATCTGCAAAGCATCCGTTCAAGTTAAATTGCTTCCATGACAAGGAGCTTAAGACAGAACATGACTGTCTCTTAACTCATCACTTTGAACACATACGCTGAGAACATTGAGCTTGGCCTTGGCGAACTTCTCGTGGCGGGAGCGGCTGCGTACGGATCTCCGCTGGTGACGTTTCATGGAGCGCCCCTCGTGGCGACCCCCCGATGTAGAGCCTCCATCATTGCCGTCACTGAGACCTGAGGCGGCATCTGACAGGCAGCTGAAGGAAATGGACCCGTGAGAGAGAGCTCTGACCCACGGCTGCTGGTGGACCGGCTTCATGAAAATAACTTCTTACACTTATAACTTCTTAAAGTTAAAATCTTCTTACCTCTCTATAGACGGAGGCACCAGCGCAGACGATCTCGCCGGCTCCGCTGGCGCTGACTGAGGAGCGCTCGCTGAGGCCTGAAACACAGACAGCCGTCTCATCAGGAATCAAGCACGCAAAAGCAAATCTCTAAATTGTTTGCGCATTACTCTTTTGAAAGGGAACAGGACTGGAAATGCAAGAACTGGTTGCCAGTCACCAACCGTAGCCGATCGGTCTAAAATCTAGGACAATCCCCATCTCCCCCTGAAACATCAGAGACTTATCGGACGTCACCTGGTCAGTTGGTGGGTGTGAGGGCTTTAAATTGTGTACATATGAATGGCACAGCGCTTTGCTGCCACATGTCCAGTCACCGAAACAACGTTTCAAGGATTTACAATTGAGGGTATTTATTTAATACTTTGGTTTGAACGTCTTAAGCGCTTTCCTCATACAATGAGGTCATTTTAAATAATGTTTTACGCTTTTTTGTCTGAATTGCTTTGTTGACTGGATAGACAAATATTGATAGTTTAAATATAGTCTGATTTTATGATTTTTTTCTCCATCCACACACACACACACACACACACACGTGTCCTCCTGCGTGTTTAACCTTTTTTTACACCTCTGCTTTCACTGGAAATCCTGTTTTTGACATCACATTGTAAATACTTGCGGGTAATTCCCTTGGCAACGGGTTCATAAAGGGCTCAAAATGCCTGAGAGCCTCTAACATTGAATGATTTGACAATGGGACCGAAGTAAACCCTCAGTTAACGGGAGCGCCTCAAAGTCCGTGAGTGCGTAGTTTCACATTGGGATTGTGCGCATGTCTCCCACGTGATCACACGCTGTGAGCGCACGCTTGGCAGCCATGCCTCCTTGCAGTCAATGCTTGCAGGCAGCATGACGGAGCGGAGCAGGGAGTGAGCTCTGATCACGCGCTATATCGGGACTAAAAATATACGCCATCGTTTGCTTTTAACGTAGTGGCAGCGCGGCTCTTTTGGTATCGATGCGCCGTGCAACACTAGAGGGAACCTGTTTAAATTCCTAAGGAGCTCAAAATGATTACTTTTTCTGATCAAAGAAAGGATTTAAATAGATATTCAAATTTGTTTTTACAAAATGTTAAACAAAGCATTTAGAATTTTTTTACAGTTTACACTGGTTTTGGGAAAGTTTAAATTATTTTCGGGACTGATTAAGTGTGTTATTTGCAGTCAATAATAGTCTGCGGTAAGATGCATCTCTATTGATTATATATATATATATATATATATATATATATATATATATATATATTACACACATACATATTCATTCATCAGACCATCCACCAGGTGGCGCCATTTTGCTTACTGAGACATGATTGGAGTAAAACAAGTGAAGCCATTATTCACCTCACAGGCAGAATGTAAATGTTGCTGTATAATGGGCTTTTCATATAATTTCCTTCACATTGTGCAAATTCGTCTCTGCTGTGCTTTTTTGTATGTTACTTACGTTTGTACAGAAAACTGCAGTTTTATCATTTCCAGTTATATTATAACACCGTGACCTACTTCTCCGTGATAAAATTAGTATATACTTACTCACTTATTAATTTCTACTTCTTATTATTACTATTACAGGGACATGGTTCATTGTAGGTATTGTTTTTGAGTTAAGTAAAACCTTGATTATTAACACATCACTGATTATCATAAATCTATAAGACAATACATCAAATATTAAGGAACAGGAACTGTGTAAGGAGATGTGAACCAAATGCCTCACATCCGAGCCACTAGCACCAATCAAAAGAGCGTTTGTGCTCTGTAGAGTACCTGCAGCACCGAGAGGCATGAGGCCTGATAGAGGAAGTATAGGTGCTCTGCGTTGAGTGGAGGCGACAGAATAGGGCTTGGGTCATTGGCCCAAGACTAAGAATCATGCAGGAGTGAGCAGCATGCAGTCAGGAAGAGTGGCAGAAGAAAGGGGACAGCCATCGTAATGACAGACGTTTGTCCAGAGAAAAGAAAAGAAAAAATATTTAGATGAGACACAAACATTAAATTAGAAAAGCATGAAACACAATGTGGTGAAGCATGACGCCAGTGTAGGTAGGTGGATGTGTGTGTTAGGAGGAGCAGGGGAAGTGTGTGTGTCACCTGTATCTGCTGAGCTCCAGTCTGCGCCTGTGGTGGAGCGCCGCTCTGGAGAAGAGGGCCGCTGTCCGGCTGCTGCGGCGGCGCCGGCTGAGGGGGAGACGATTGTGAGGATGAAGGCAGCATCACCTGCTGGTTGGGATTCTGTGAGAATGGAAGGGACAGAAAGGGGAAATCTTTTTATAGTTTCACTTTGGCTCCACTGCAAACCCAGATGCACTTACCTGTCGCACAACATGGCTGCAATACTCATTGATCTATTTCAGAGACCTCTAACGTGCACGTCAGTCCACACATGCACGTTTCTGAAAAGTATTTGATGTGATATTCTTTGTCTGGAACCCAATCACGTTTCCATTTACGATGATCAAGTCCAAACTTACCAAATAGCCTTGTGTATGTGTGTATTCTATATTCTTTTATTTTCATGTGGGTGTAAGTTCAAGTGGTAAAGGAAAGTGGGACATTTTATCTACCTGAGGGGGAAGCGTTGGTTGGTAGTAAACTCCATACTATAAGAAAAAGAACATAACAAAATGGATGAGAGTAGGAAACTGGAGGAGGAAAAAGGAAAGCTAAAAAAGAAAATATAACGATACTGGTGAACTCTGGATTCAGAAAACAAAGCGGCTTTCAAAGCAGCAGCAGAGAATACAAGCTTCACGTTAGCTCAACTGCCTCTGAAAACAATACAGTGCTTTTGCTGACCTTGAGTGGTTGAAGTTCACATTTGTTGCAGCGATACTGGAGTGTACTTACGCTGTGCTCAGTACGACCTGGCACTATTAACTTTATTGTTGACTTTGAACCATGGTTTAACCAAGTGAGGTTTAAGTTACTCTTTGAAGACTTAACGACACGCCGTGCAGCATTTACCTGTGCAGTCGTCCCTGGAACAGGCTGTCCGCCAGGTGGAACGGGACCAACATTAGACTGGACACCTTGCAGCTGAACCTTGTGCACCACAGAAAGAGAACAACAGCTTGTGGTGAAAAAGGGGGGCAAAGAAGAACGCAAACATTTAGATGATTACATCCCAAGACCAAAGTATAGGTCAAAGGGTAAGGGTCTAAAGTCTGTAAATTTAAAAAACTTGATTCTAATTATATAGGCAATGCCGTCCCAAGATTATCTTCGGCACACAAGATTTTGTCCCATTGTCGACTGGACTCACCGCTGACAACTGCTGCTGTTGCATTTGGTCACTTTGTGTCTGAGGGAGTGAAGCTTGGGGCTGGAGGTGCTGCCTCGGAGGGGAGGATATGTAGGATATTCCAGGCTGAGGAGGCTGGACTTCAGGACGGATGCTGGAACCTGGTAGTTGGTCTCCCATGTGAATGGCGGCTGTATGAGGTGGACGAGAGGTTCAATGTATGAAAATACTCAAAAGCTTATCTTTAACGACAGGATCCTATTGTCGCTCAGTGAGCTCCAGGTGTATTTAGCCAAAACCATCTTTGATACACACCTCCTCCAGAGTGCTGTAGTTGCTGGTCCGTCTCAGACTCCTCTGACTCCGGCAGGATGGTGGTCCCAGTCTGAGCCTGTCCTGGGACTGCCACTGGGACTTGCCCAGTTGACTGAGGGATGTACGGAACGCCCTGTGCCATACCGGCCAGTTGGGTTGATTGGGGAGTGCTGTAGATGGAGCCCTGAAGGCCCTGCTGAGATGCAGGTTGGGTTGACATATGGGGAGTGACATAAGCAGCGGGCTGTGTCGCTGGCTGGGACTGAGGCACCTCCGGGCCCGGCTGCTGGGCCGCTGGCTGTGCTGGAGGTAACGGACCCTGCTGTTCTTCTTCCAGCCTTCTCTTCTCCTGATCTTCTCGGACCTTCAAGACAAAAAGATTTTAGAAATCACTAGAGAGGACTGATTGACAACACGCCGACATTACACCATAGGACGAAGATTCCCACAAAACACTTCAAAATAATAACATGAGATTCAAGAGGCAGAGCGTCGACCCACCTGCTGCCGTTGTGCTCTTTTGCGACTGATCAAAGACACTCTGTCCTTTATGGCCTTTGCAATGGTCTTGTGGTCACCATCACACACATAACCAGACTCAACCTAAAAAAAACAAGAGACATGGCATGAAATTTTAACAATGAACCTTTCAAACAACAACAAAAAAGGTTCTCTTGTACAGTGTCAATAGGTTTTTGAAATAAAAAATTTAAAAAAGACTGATTCAACAATAAAGTGAAATTCACCATTTCTTGGGCCACGTCCTCAGGGACATCTTTGCTGAGGTCAAAAGAAAACTCAATAGCTTCGTTGTCTTTGTACTTCCCCTTAAGTTTTTTGACATCCTCAATTCGCAGCCACAGCTTAATAGCCACCATCTCTCCGTCGTCTTCTTCTGCCAACTCCACCCGCACCCCTGTGTCCTCCTGGAAGAAGGCGTGGTTCAGGAGGTCTTTGATCGAGTACCTAAACAAAAAGGAGACGAGCGGTCAGCAAAGTTTTCCTCGAGAGACCTCGGCTACCGTAAACCTGCTAGATGCGCTCGGTTTAACCACCTCTCGTCCTTGTTCTGCCGGATACATCCCTCGATGATCTCCTTCACTTCAGGAATGGCCACCTTGTCGAAGCTGCCTGGCTTCACCCCCTACAGGAAACACAGAATCCTGAATGAGAAAGGTTCTACTAGTCATACAACCTTTTCTTTTCACCCGGTGTTGTTCTTCAGCGCCTCTACCTTAGTAACACAAAACCATTTCTCATAGACCAGATTACTTGGATCTTTTTACTAACTTCCTCTTTCAATTGTGTTTACGAGAATGAATCTCAAAAGCCAGGAAGTATGTCAACGGTAGACAATGGGCAAAGAGAAAGAAATGCTTCCTAGCGGCTGGTGTGTACAATTTGCAGAATGTCAGGTGAGGGCTGATGAGAAGAGTTATCTTCAATTATCTTCAGAAAACAGCATGGTGCCAAAGAGAAATGGAGGGCTGGCTGATCAGCTGAGCATAACGACAGCACAGGAAGAACGACACTACCTAAATATAGGCGTAACCCTGCGATACCAAAGCTGAGTCAACCGTGCTCAAGCAGAGGGGCGAGTTAAACAACACGTTTCTCCAGGACGTCGTCTAAGTTTACGCGTTCTTCAAACGGAGCGATAGAAAAGATCGGGGAGATGCAGGACTGTAACTCAAACAGTACGAGATAGAAATGTAATGTAAGCTTGATAAAGGGGTGTCAGCAGGAATATAATATCTTTCCAGAATCGGACACTAGCCTTCTTGGCACATAGGAAGAGGTGAAGGCAGAGGGGTGACATGGAGTGTTGAAAAAAAGACTTACGCTGGTGACTCTGCGGTAGATCTGTGCAGCGTTCTGGCACTCTGAGTAAGGGTACTCTGAGGTGGCCATCTCCAGCATGCACATTCCAAAGGCATACACATCCACTGACTCGTCGTACTTCTCCTCATACATCTCAGGCGCCATGAACTCAGGGGTACCTTAAATCAAAACAACTATTCAGAACTCTCCAACTCCCTTACTGATTGAGCGGGCTTCTCACAGCCCATTGCCCCTCTGCTCCTCCAACCCGTGAGGGGTTGAGGAAGAGGAGGACGAGAGGAGTGACCAGCCTGTTGACAGCTCCCGGAGCAGAACCTGTGAGGTGAAAGTCGGAAGAGAGAAGAAAAGAAAAAAAGGGGGAGGAAAGTAAAAAAAGAGACAGAAAACAAAAAAGGAAGGAGAGGCTGGGCTCAGTTAGAATGCAGAGAAGAAAGCACGTGTTTGTCTGTGTAAGACCGCAGCATGTTGGGATACGAACAGGAGGCCGAGGTAGCCAATGTGCAGAACACACGTGTTGTAGCCAAACTCAGGTTCTCCAGGGCAGAGTACAGTGTAGTTTTTTTTTTTAAAAAGGGATGTCAATGACGTCTGCAAAGGAAATAGGCCTCGCTATGGAAACGGCTTTTGTCAAGACCTTACCGTTCAACCACATGGTCTTTTATAGAACACTCACCTTCTGGAGTCGGACTTACCATCTCTTCTTCTCTACTGCAGGAGCAAATGGTTATGGTCAAGGCTGAGAGAAGCCGATCCCATAGCTAGCTACCGTGCTCAGCGGTGTGACTTTGCACATCGGCCCTGTTCTACTAATTGATTCGTTTTACATTTAATCTCTGGTCTTACACAGAAAAACGGGTTATTTGAGTGTAATTGTTTTTATATTGATGTGTGTTACAGCACACTGTCACACTTACCAGGCCCATTAAAGTTCATACTTACTCAATGACCAGCAGTACCCTATTCATTCCAAACAGCAAAATGGGTCACAGCTGAGGCTAGAGCCTACATTTTAAAAACATACCCAAGAATGTGAAAGTAAAAGTAAAATAAGAAATAAAAAACAAACAAAAACCAAAGGCAAAAGGCTGACAGAGAGAAAGTGGGCAGAGCCTCCTGGACACAAAGACGGATCAAAAAGATTCTGCAGCCCTGCAATTTTTTAAAAGATAGTAAGAGACAAATGCTAGAAAAAAAAAACCTGTTGAGGCAAACCCATAGAAAAGAGTCGTTAAATATTATAAATATAACTGGCAAACAGACCACATATTTCCAAACCACAGAACAAAGACAGGTCTAAGACAGAAGCAAAGGCCAGGTCAGCCTGCAAGAAGGCATGAAAACTATTATAATATTAATATTTAACAATATGAGAAATGTTAGGCGCTACTTACATTCAGTAGGTGCCTGGGAAAAAAAGAAAACCTTTTTTTCGAGAAACATTCTGTACAATGACCAAACTTGATGGAGTCACTGTGCAAAAGAGAGAAAGCCTTGTGGTTATCTGCCTAAGATCACCACAGAGTTCGGGCCTCCATTTGAGCTGTGGTTTGAGAGACAGCTGAAACGCTGTGGTCTGTTTTTGAACCACATTGTGAGAAGAACAAGCCAAAGCAAGATACCCTCTCTGAAACACCATCATCTCCAATACAAACGCGCTACGACCTCAGAAAAGGAGCTGCCCCTCAGCGGAAGGGACCACAAGGTAGAAATGACTGCGGAGTCGTACCTATAACACTCTTGGCGAAGGATGCTCGCTTGAGCGTAGCCAGTCCCAAGTCTCCAATCTTGACGGATCCTGTTGGGCCTGTGATGAAAATATTGTCGCACTTGAGGTCCCTGTGGATGATGGGGGGAGTCCGAGTGTGGAGGAAGTGGAGCCCTTTGAGGATTTGTCTACACCAGCTTCGCAGCACTTTGATTTTCATCACCTTGAACCGTTTCAGATATCTACAAGAAAAAAAGATCATCATTTTTGTCTGGTGAGGAACACAGAAATAACAATGCATTGTACGAAAAAATATATTTGTTTGACAATTTCCTAATTATATTACCAGTTCATGCAACTTTTAGAAAATGCTGCTTTCTGACACAAGACAAAAAAGTCTGAATATTTACAATCAATAGTCAGGATGAGTTGTTTTTTTTTAAAAATGGTGAAGCTATGAGTTCTATATTAATGTGTTTGTTTGTGACTCACGTTTTGAGTGTGCCAGAAGTCATGAGTTCAGTGACCAGAACAATGCACTTCCTGCCTTTGGAGGGTCCCTCCCAGGAGTCGTAAAAGCGGACAATGTTGGGATGCTGTAGTCCTTTTAACATCCCTGCCTCCTCCTTAAAGCGCTGCCGCTCGGTTTTTGACAGCTTACGGTCCTGCACGAGACAGAGGATCTACTTTAAGAATGCCACACATCAAAGAGGGCAGCGCGATTAGAAATATACAGACTCATTTGGATTGATGACTATTTTTACTAATGCATCAATGACTAAACATTAGTCTGTATATACACTTATTGGCACCTTCAATACAAATGCAAAGTAAAGCTTAAACCAAGACAATTCTGTACTCTTAAAAAATAAAATGGTCAAATGTTTGGCATCTGATGAGTTTGTCAATTAATCCCAGCAAAATGAATGCAAAGCTGAAAGCTTTCAACCTACCAGAAAGCGACCAATGTGCAAATAAAGATTAGCAGGAAGGCATGTAATAAAGGTCTACGTATAAAATGATCATTTAAAAAAAGATCAGGACTGTGTACAACGGTGCGTCTCAAATTGAATGAGTAATTAGTATGACCTACATTAACGTCATGCATGACTATAGAGCAGCGAGTCCATGCAAGTTGGACAAGCTCAGTGTAAACCCCCCCCCCCCCCGAGGACATGGTCAGGCTGTCCACTAAATTCAGCAAAATTGTGAATGGAGAGGGAAAGGAAAACGTCAAGGGGAGTGACATCACAAAAAAAGCATAAATTAAATTGCTAGAGTAGTTTATGGTTGAATTCTTTCAATATTAACAATATAGGGAAACGTAAGTTGACAAGTAGGCACAAGAGAGGACAATGAATCAGGGAGGTAGTAATGGAGGGAGTGAGGGAGTAATGGAGGCTCCACAGTGCACTTGGCCTACTTTGCTGAGTAGTTAACGGTTTGTGTAATAAAGCACAATACATCCACAGCAGCTTCCATAACCTTGGAGCTCCTAGCGTAACCTCAGCAGCCTCCTCCACAAATACTCAAATACGGTATTAATGGCAGCAAGTCGACTAGAGACAAACCGCCCGATTGATGACTCAACTCAAATGTACGAGTCCAAACAATGAACTGTAGAGAATGTGGACGTGCACACTGTGACGTCACCCGTAGGTTCTTGAAGAGCCCTCGTGGAGCGCGAGGAGGAAACGTGTCGCATAGCTCTGTTAAAAGCATGCATGACAAAAATGAATAGGAAAGGCAAACCGCAAAAATGATCTTCTGGGCACATTTGCTTGACAAACAGGTGCCTCTCCGCATCAGCTGAGGCTGCTGTGTCTCGCTTATCCCACCTGAGCCCCAGTTACTCTTCAATCCATAAAACCATTAAATTATGTAGCTTGAAAAACTTGGTTGAGATGGTTTGACTGTAAAACCTCCCAGAAGACGTGGCCTCGGAGCACTACTTTGACCATTTTGAGGGAGCGGCTCAAAGCGTCTATTAATCAGCGAACCTGAAGCGTCTCTCAGAGGACACCAGCAGCCGCAGTCGAATCAGAGCGGCATGCGAGAGAGGGAGAAGGCATGATGAGTCAGCTCGCTAAACAGCTGCGCTGCCACCGCTAGCAGCTGGGAAAGACTGCCCTTATGGACTCTGAACACGAAGAAGCAAGAGAATGTGCTTGGGAGAGACAAAGGGCAAATGCTTAATTTCATAGAATACTATACAGAACGAGAACGCTGCAGAATCTCTTTTTTTTTTTTTTTAAACAGGTTAAAATGTTTAATTGTTTTAATATATAAAGTGTGTTTTATTATAGAGTGTAATGCGCAACATGTAGCCACCTTTACAGAAGCCCTGTAAGCATTTAAAATATGTGCACACCTCCGTAGCCCGGGGTTTCCAGCCAATGGGAATCAGATCTAATGGCAGGTAACTACAAAGCTGCTTCTAAGCATCATAAATAAATTAACAATGCTAAAAATAGAGGGGGAGAAAACGGCCTGTGATCATGCCACGGGCTGCTCTGTCAGGTTTCTGTTCTGAGCCTGACACCGAGGGCTACATGAAGCCTCGGGATCACATGGGCTGAGCTCTGGGTAACAGCTGATGGGCCTGAAAGCCAAGAGGCCGTGTTAAACGGTTCCAACCTAAATGTCGCTGAGTCATTGCATTGAGGGCAGCATGCGTTTATGACGTTTTTAGACCTGTGACTCATGCGAATGAGGACAAAGATCACGGTGACTTTCAGCCAAAACTGTCAGCAACACGATGCGTCCAAGCCATTTCACAACCTGTATGACTACTCATCTACTCTGAATGTGGAAGAAGAAAAGGAAACTGGGGCAACCACTTCAATACACAGCAAAAGAAGGTGCGAGTTCAAACGGCACAAAAAAAAACTACCATTACCAACGAGGAAGTTATTGGAATCTGATTTGATAACCATCGCTAACTACTTATTTTGCGCTGTGATTTTGTGGGAATCAGACTATTTCATGAATAAGTATTTATGTTCAAAGCAAGGTGCTTCCAACGGTCATTATTTGGAAAAGGCCTAGATGATGATGATGATATACACACATGTATATGTATTCTCGCTATAATCTATGTAACTGTGGGCCACTTATGATCGTCATTCGAGATGTCCAAACCTCATTGCGAGATGAGCGCTTAAATTCACTTCAGAACTTGTTTTGCAATGACAGGAAAGGAACCTGTTGGTCCAATGAATCTAGACTAAAAGACAAATTGATCCTGTTCAGACAAGCCAGCAGTGACTGATCATCTTTGCCCACGTGTCGATGCACGGGACGAACTATCCTATTTCCTGCGGTATTAATGCCATAAGCATTCAGATAATGTCTCAAAATGAAAGGGTTTAAGTATTACTGCTTATTTACCTCCTGCTCTATTATTTCCTAATCCTAAATCTGTTGCAGCCGACATATAGAAATAAGCAAATGATATTCATTATGGCTTCCCCAATGACTGCCAATCATGAAGGGTAATAACAGACAAATCACTGTGCTTAGCTACTACTGAACGTCCCTCCCAGCAGATGAAAAAGCGGCTCACGCTCCTAAATCTATTTATTTTCTTCCCCTTGACTTCCTCTCTGCGGTGACCTACTTTTTGTTCAGGCACGCCTGCGACTTGGGAGCCAAAAAAAAAAAATGTGTGGGTGATTAAGGTTGGACGCCAAGACATACTTTGACAATTGTGGACAGACGGCTTGTCCAGCTGAATAATCCAGGGTCACTTTGTTTAAATTTGAAGTCCATCCACAAGTGAGGCACGGCGGGAGAGAAGACGGAGTCGATCGTTTGGTCAATAAACTCTTCAGAGAGAAGTATCTCCAACTGGTAAAGAACCTCTCACAACATTTGGCACCAAATTTACCCACGTGGAACAAATCAGGTCACGACCACCACACCATAGATATTATGATTAGAGAACATCATGAGGAGAAACCTTCTGGCTGACACCAGTCAAGAACATGATTTTCCACTAAATATACCATTGGGATACATGGGGGGGATGGAACCCACAGCACAGTCATGGGACGGATTTAAAAAAGAAAATGTGAGGGGGGATTTCAGCTTGTGTAGCTGAACCGTTTTCTAGAACTGAAATTCAAGTTGACATATAAACTATATGAAAAGAGAGCATCAGGTTTCACCAGAACTTGCAATGCGTTGACAAAGTTGACAATCGACTGTAAAACATTTCTATTAATCCGCTCTTTAAATCACAGTTGACTCTAATCTTTTTCTTTTGTTGTTAGTCTGAAAAATATTCAACTTTCAATCAATAACTAAACCGACACACAATCATACATCTCTTAAGAAACCCGGCTCTGGTGACCTGTGAGCTTCTCTTGTCGTTAGTTATGGCCACGAACACTAAACAATCAATAGTATCAAGACGCAGCATCTCACATTTACATATAATTTATATGCGCACACACGCACACAAATGTGGAGCAGTTAAAAGGGCAGTGGGGGGACTTGGCCGGCCGGCCTGCTGCACTTCATACAGGAGATTCCTCCGTCAGGAATGTGACCCATTTTACATTCACACCAGCATTGGGAGCAGGAATGCACGGAGCATGCGCCTGATCCGGTCTTAGTGAGGGGGAGGGGCAGGTGTCTGTAATCTGCACATTTTTCTGAAACCAGTGTGCATGTGTGGTTATGGTTCTATGTGCTTCCATGTGAGGCCTCTCATGACGGGGTGGAAATGTGACATTTGTGCGGTGAACGAGGTCAAATATACCTACGGGCCATGTTTCTGACTTTAAAAAAAGGAACAGACAGTCAAGCTACCATTTTTAGCTTAATAACTATCTGTTGGTCAGCAGATTAAAAGCAAGATGATGAATTATCTTAAACAGGACCAGTGTATTTAGATATATTTAATAAAATCAAATGGGTTCAACAATTAGTAAATGAGAAGTAAAAGGCTCATAGAATGATTTAGGAAAAAGTGCAAAACTGGTCATGATTTTGAAAAAGTTTAAGTGAAATATTACTGATGTTGCTGCAACTGGGATGGGAAATAAGTTTTACTGACACGTCACATCAAGATGTGTTATATCATCAATAAAAATACATTTTATCCGATTTCCTCTCACAACGTAAAAACGCAATATGGAGACTACTTCTGACAAGGATTATAGTCAAAGATAATTTTGGGATTTACCTGAAGGTTCTTTTAAAACCATAGCTGTACAAGGCTCGATAAGTCTGGGTAATTTGCTTGTGTGTTACGGTGGGGTTAACTTTTATTACTTGAACTGTTCAGACTAACGAGTGGTCACATCAACCAATGTGAGCTAAACTGCACCGCAAAAAGGGAAATTGGATTTTTTTCGGTATGTTTTGCTTACAAACGCCATGCAAAGCAAGGGGAAAGGGGAAATGTTAGACATGACTATCAGAAGAAATGACACCGCCTGTAGCTCAGGTGACGGTTGGAAAGGAATAGAAATTGCTTCGGCACTACTTCACCACAGGTAAGGCAGAGAGAAAGAGAAATAAAAAGAAGATGAAAACACTTACACCTGGACTATAACACTGAGGGGGTTTCAACTACACAACATTCAAACTGATATTATATAAAGGGAGGGCAACAGCAGTTGTTAAAGTAAGTAGTGTTGATAATGGTTTTGGTTAACGGTTACATACCTGCAGCTCACACCAAGCCACCTCAACTGTGGTCTCGGTATCCAGGCCTTTGTAGACGGTCTTGAAGGAGCCACGTCCAATTTCGATATCAAACTTTAGGAAACGCCCATCTGGTGACGTTCCCACGGCTTTGGTCTCAGCCTCTTCAATGTCGTCCTGAACTTTTTTCTCAGCCTCCCGCTGCTCTGCCTCTGCCCGCGCCTTGGCCGAGTCCTTATCGTCTTCCTCCCCCTCCTCCCCGTGATGCACCTTCACTTCGGTGGTGCTCTCAGGTTCTGTTCGACTTGGCAATTCTGTTCCTAGGCCTGGTGCAGAGCAGGCCGCTGTCACCTCTCCATCACAGGTATCTTTTTTAATGGCAGGCTCCAGCTCTGAAGGCACTACATCCACCTTGGCTACCTCTTTCCCATGGCCCCCCCCTCCTCGTTTATCAGCAGCCTCTTGATTTTGAGCTACACTTAGTTCAGTCCGGGTCAAACAAGCAGCAGGAGTGGTCAGTTGCTGCTGGGGGACGGCGTCCCGCTGTGGAACCCGCTGAGGTGCAGGGACGGGTATCTTGCTGGGTAAAGGGAGGGCCAATGCCGTGGCATTAGAGTCACTGATGACGCTCCGGCGCAAGAAGCGGTGTTCAGCGGTACACCGATCGCGCTCCATGGTGTGATGCCGCCGTCTCACTTCCGTCGGCCGGCACTCACTCACCATTGAATCTGAACCAGAACTGGGGCCATTTCCACTCTTCTGAGGGGGAGCCAGGAACTTCACCATTTTGTCGTCTGGCTTTTCCGACATCCCACCACCCACACTAAGCGTAAGGGGGTACACTGACTGAAAAATTAAAATAATGAGACTTCCATGTCTGCCATGTAGGGTTATATTAGCAGTATTGATCTATGCTTTAAAAAGGAAGAGAGATACAAAGGCTTTGAACTTTTATCTCCTGTCGTCTTTTGAGTTAATCAAAGGCAGTCTTTATATATATATAGTGCTGAGATTGGAGGCGCAGGATGGGAGGTGTTCGCTTGTAAACGGTAAGAGAGAAAACACCACAGAGTGCTGATGTTGATACACAAGTCTCTTTAAGTCCACACCATCCATCCTGTAAGACACAGGGTGCAGCTTCTATCGGGCATAAGGAATCACTGGTGGGGAAGAAACTTGCACAGCCCACAAAAGGCACCGATCTTCCTACTGTAGGCGGAGGACAGAAGGCCAGAAGCGCAGAATGGGTTTCAGTTCTGTTTTGCTGCAAGGGGGATAAAAAAAAAAAAAAAGCTGCTTGAATCGTTTGTAACAGAATTTGTAATAGACAAGTAGAACTTACAATATACATATGGTAAGATAGCATTGCTTTCATTGGTGCAGAATACAGAAACAATCATTTGATCATTTTTTTCCTTATGGTTCCTCCCTCTGGTAATAATCCCAGGAACATACATCGTAGGCATATGTAGGTATTCACAGTGGCTTTCCCAGCATGCATTTTTGCTGTATTTATCTAAATAATAAAATATTCATGTGTATGTTATGTGGCACAAATTCCAAATGCATTTCACATCCGTTAATGACACACTAACCTCTTAACACCTCACATATGTTAAACACCAAAAGGCACTGATCATTTCACCCTCGAGAAGAAACGTCGCATGCAGTTCATCGTGAGGTTAGTTAATATTGTCTGGATATTTATAGTTAAGTACGTTCTTAAAATAGCCAATCAAAACTAAACGTCAAAGATGCACGAATACATAAACCCACAAACATCTAAAGTTAAACTCAGGATGCATGCGATCGGTGCAATGTAGCAGATTGTATTTTTATATTTCTACAATGTTTTAGTCAAATGCAGGCGTGCTATTGCTAAAGTGTTGTAATTAGTCATCTATACTCTCCCGTGATAGCTGCCATTATGGAGTAAGCAACCCCAACGTCAGAACATTCATGATAGCGACAACAGCATTGCCACCAATGACATATTCAATGGCGTGATTGAGATAAAACACAGCATTGTTGAGCGAAAGCCTTGTGTTACGTACCAACGTCTTCGCCGCCTTCAGAGTGACACCGGGTCCATTTGAAAAAGCTAAACCGAGCATACAAAGCGAGGAGGAGCGATGGCTCTTTGTTAGCTCGCTAACCAGCCGCGCTAGCACAGAGCTAGTTAGCCGGCGTTAGCTAGTGTTTAACCCGGGACATGTTAACCGACGATAAACGCTTTCCACGTCATGTCCCCTCTGAAATATATCCCGCTCCCCGCAAATAAGCGTAACGTTACAGTCGGCCAACGTCACCAATTCAATTAACGCCAGTTCTCTGTAACCATTATCAATGGACACTTAACGTTAACGTAACATATCCAACGTTACAACTTAAACCGTATCCGCGGCCGGTTTCCACCCGAGTGAGTAACGTTACATGCCGTGCTAACGCGCCGGTAGGAGAACCCACCGGGCGATGACGAATAGCGCCGCACTGCTAGCCAGCTAGCCGGCTAACGCTAGACGGGCAGGCCTCGCCGACGGCCTAAGAAGCTGGACCCACCTCCCGGCTGCCTCCATTCAATGTAGCGTTACCCGACACGTTAACGCCGAACCAGCCCTTCGGCCGTTGTTGTTGTTGTTGTTGGGCCCGTTCCAAACGCACTCGCATTAGCTGGTTCAAACGGGGTGCTGTTCGAGGCCGCGCGGTCACGCTTTCTGTGTGGAATGTGTACCTGTTTCCTGGCTACGCTGGGTGGCAGACAGCGACCTACCTCAATATCGTATCCACAACACACACAAAAAAAAGACGGTCATCGGCGTTGAAATCGTCGTCACAACGTTAATCCACCTTCGCGCGTGTAGCGGAGAATGCGCGCACGCCGCCCTTCGATGTCAGGCGGATACATGAACCATTAGTGACGTTAAAAGTTGCGATTTCTGTGCCCACTCTCAAGCGGCGCAGTTGCTACATATTGACGAAGAAACGGGTTTTTCCAAAGGCGCCTGCGTCAGTAAATAATGACATCATAACAAAACACAACCTTCATGCTGCCGGTTTGAATCTAATTTCCCTGTGACGATGGCGCGATGTATGCACACAATCAAAAGCCACGTGGAATCAAATCACGAGCCATTTGTAGATCGGATGAAAAATCACCAACTCTAAATGTTGTGCAGTGTGAATTTATTTAAATCCATTTGGTATGTGTTCATCTTTTATTTTATTGCAACCGATATATCTTCAGTTGTAATAAAACTAGCCAGCACAAAACGTTTAACAAAATAGATAATCATTTGCAAATGGCTTTTTGTGAATGTGAATGCGAATGGCTTCCACCAAAATAATACATACAATTATATTTTTCATCCAATTGAAATATAACGCCAATCCGTTGTTTGATATAACATAATGATGTATTTTATTGAATGTATATATTTTGCTTGATTTCTTCTGTGAAATAATGTGTTGTTAAAGTTTTTGACAAACCTTGATCAAACCATTGATAGCTGAAACCCTGCGTGAGAATATCAAATGATAGGGTTCCAATAAAATACAATACATTCTTCTCTCAGTTAACAAACTAGAAAAAAATACAGAACATTTTACAATGTAATGGTAAATAGCTAATATAGTACCTCCGCATATTTGTTAATTGACTTTTGTCGGAGAAAAAAAAAACAATCAGACAGATCATTATACTTTTCAAGCAACCATTTTGGAAACACAATTCTTCCTGCAGGGAAACACTGCCCCCTGTTTGGTGTGTTTTAATTATACATGCCTGGTGTATCTACTTGTATGCGATATTCACACAAATGAAAAACTCACTGCGGTGCACAATTTCCCAAAACCATGTTACGGATGTATATTTACCGCTGAGAGATCTGGGAGAGGATGTGGGCTTGGTGAAGGATTGCAAGATCCTTGGTGTCTCGATGAGCAAAAGACTGAAGTAGACCAACTTCAGGTGCTGGTTACAAGGGGATGAGTTGAGACTTTTTCTTGAGGAAGCTTTGATCCTTCAACGTGTGAAGATATTGGAGATGTTCTACCAGTCTGTTGTTGACAGTCCACCGTACTTCCCTCTTGCTAAGGAAGCAACATTGAAGCCGGAGACACCAAACAGATTTCACAAACTGGTTAAGGCCGACAGGCTCCATCATTGGATTAAAACTGGACAGTTTGAAAAAGGTGGTGGAGAGGGGACACTGGAGAAAGAATAATTCATACCCAGATCAGCCTTTCCACCTGACATCCGAGCACTTTTCCCAGCAGACACATGTCACAAGGACAGATACATGAGACTATTGCTGCCTACTGCAATAACAATCACTTCTGGAAACAACTGTAAGACCATTACTCTTTTTCTCGGTTAGATCTTTGCACTATTTTTAAGTTAGTTATTTTAATTTATATTAAAATATAAATTTATATAAATAAATAAATAACAATAAATAAATTATTAATTTATATTAAAATAACTAACCTGTGTGTGTGTGTGTACGTATACACCATTAGTTAAATCTATCTATCTACATATTCTAAATAGTGCTAAACTGCATTTGTATCGCTGACTGTTCACCGAATGTCATTTCGTAAACTCCGTTGACCAAAATGTTGAATTATCCCCTCATATCTATGCAAAGGTAGATCTGTCGGTCTGCTTGTCGCTTTGCTGTCTAAATTCACCCACCAAAAAGGCTCGGGACCGCGCCTCCAAAATTCAAGCGTGGCGAGGGAGGCTCCCCGTGAACGCGCACCGGAGGCTTGACGTCACGGAGGCGCCCTGGCTCTCCAGAGCCGCTGGTGCTGCTGGCGACAAGATGGGAAAACCAGATAGTCTTCAACTGAGTGATTAACGTTACTGAGTTTTCCCTGCCGGCCTTTTCGACCGACAAAAGGATTCACTATCAACAGCGATTTGAGCTCCACCAGACGACGGCAGAGGTAACTTAGTTTATTTTGAGAGGTTTTCATAATGGGTTATTGTGTTGGCGAGAAAGAAAAAAGGAAATCGAGGTGTTGGTTAAGCACAGCGGCTGGATGGACCGGCCCGTGTCACGGCGAGGTAAACGTATGCGGGTTTTACGTCCTTTACCTTTTCTTTCCCTCGTATATCACCTGGACGATGGGAGAAAGCCCGCGGCTTCGAATGAAAAGCCGTCCCGTTCAGTTGCAGGGAAATACGGATGGATGTGTGTGTGTGTCTCGGCAGTGAACCCCGCACGGCGTCGTTGGAATCGTGCAAAAAATGCTTTAATGCCATCGTTTTACAATGCATTTAATGTGTGTGTGTGTTGTTTTCTGACGGATCATCATTTCTATATGCATTTAGTCTGACGAGCAGAACGATTTTTCTTCCCCCCTCTGACAATGTCCACCATGGACGATCCCCGTTCCCCTCCCTAGCTAACGTTTCAATCCGTCAGCGCATCGCTGGAGGGGAAAAAAATAATATTTGTAGCTTCAAGATGTATTCCCCAATGTGACATACGCAAACCACCACGAATGACAAAGGGACGGCGATAATTTGACGGAAAACGCGGGGAGTTGGAGCCGTAAAACGTCAGCTCGTTAGCCGGTGTGTCGAGGTAACCGTTAGCCGCTAGCAAGGCCGCGGCTCAGCCGTTAAACCGTCAGCGCTGAGATTCGGTGAAAAGCCGAGGACGAAACGGAGCGTAAGCTGCTCTCCTGTGAGCAGAGCCGCCTGAAGTCTGTGGACGTCTCGTGTTTCCAGCACTCTGTTCGCCTCAAACGGTCCGTCGGGGCTGACCGGAGGCTCGCGAGCTATAATGGCGATATAGGGATTTAACGGGGAACACCTGGGACACGGCGGCTCCAAACGCACATCTGTAACAGGCTGCAGATGCACACGTACGAATACACGTTCGCCATATCTGTTTGTCTTATTCATTTAAAACTGATGCTTCATGTATATCTACCGACAGGCAATTTATAGGGAACAACTGTGTCTTCTTTGCAGATTGGTGTGTAAGTTGTGACTCCAGGTTGCTCCTGTTGGAAGAGGAAAGTCTGGCAGAAGATTGTCGGTCACTCCCTGCGGCTCCAGTTGAAGCGGGATCACCACCACGAATTCACACAGTAACCAATCTATCAACGATACAAAGGTACTTGGGAGTTTTACTGCTGCCACCCTTCACCTACGTAGCAGAAGATGTACGGTAGTGCCCGCTCGGTTGGCAGAGGGGATGCCAACCATAGTGGCGGCAGAGATGGAAGTGGTCCCGGCAATCAGGGTTCCGGCCGTTCCCCTCGCCTACCCCGTTCTCCTCGAATGGGACACCGCCGCACCAACAGCACCGGAGGCAGTGGAGGCGGTCCGGGAGGAGCAGGAGGCAAAACTCTCTCCATGGAGAACATCCAGTCCCTCAACGCGGCGTATGCCACCTCAGGACCAATGTACCTGAGCGACAACGAGGTGGCCATGGCCGACTACGTTCCCAAAAGTGGTGGGACGATGACGACCATGGGGAGACAGCGGGTGACGTACGGCTCAAGGGCCACCAACAGTGCAGTTGTGGCCGCCAGCACGCCCAACATCTCCACCTCAGTGCCTGGCAATGCTGCGCTGTCAGCCGGCATTCTGGCGGGCGATGCTCTAGCTTTTGGGGACCACCACATGTCCTCCACTGTGCCTCACTCTCTAAGGCAGGCCAGAGATAACACCATACTGGACCTGCAGACTCAACTCAAAGAGGTATTTTTTTTCCCCTCCATGTTTGCGTATATTCTCGGATTTCAAACGTTTGATAAGCGCTTGACTCGCCACATTCACAGTATTTCTGTGATATTTGTTAAACCCTGCTTTCTCAGATTCTGCGTGAGAATGAGATGCTGCGGCGAGAGGTGGAAGTTAAGGAGAGCAAGCTCAGCTCTTCCATGAATTCCATCAAGACCTTCTGGAGCCCAGAATTAAAAAAGGAGCGAGCTCTCAGGAAAGACGAGGTTTCTAAAATCACCGTCTGGAAGGAGCAATACCGTGTGATTCAAGATGAGGCACAGGTGAGTGTTCGCTTGTGTTTCTTCGAATAGATGTTTTCATCATCAAGCCATTATTCCGAATTTAAATGGAGTCATCATCCAGGCTGTGTCAAACATGTCTGACGGGAAAAATGTCTTTCATCCAGTGTGTCGGCTTTAGTACCAGAGTGTGTTTCTCTGCTTTTTGGCCAGCGCCGTATAGGCTAGAGGCAAGTTTTCTAAGATCTAGGTAATCCTCTTCTATGCAGCTATATCATTGTGCTCAATAGATGAAAGAGGCTGTAAGTCGAATGGCTGCTTTAGCCTTTCTATACGTTTTAGAACTGGCTTGATGTGGTGAACTGAATGACAATTTAAAGAAAGCGCTCATTTTAAATCTGTTTGTCTAGTCGTTAAACCACCGGAGTAGGTGAGAAACCAACGTAAGAATATTGTCATAGGTAGCGGTAATATATGAGCTGTTGTGACTCACTTTTGATTGAGTATTTTGACTATGTGGCTTTCCAAAAATAATAATTATTAGCCTCTTTGAAATGATCATAGTGGTACATTCAGTTCAAATGGCCGATAACAAGAAAAGGATATTCTGTGGTCTATAAACGGAAATCCATCATCTTCGGAATTCCCACTCTGCCCTTTGCTCATAGGTTGTCAAAAAAATGAAGCGTCTCTCGACTGGAAGTATTGTAGAGTTGCATGTGTGCAATTCATCCAAATGGCTCTATGGAAGGTGTGGAAACCAAACCCCTTTATATGTATTTGTCAATTTTCACACGTTGTCCTCCTTGTTGACTCCTGAAGAATGGAGATGGTGGCGCTGTAAACTCTGAGCTACTCAGCAGTCTGTTAACCTACATACATGTATACATTTTATATGCACACATGTGCAAGAAACATCAGTGAATAGAAATAGACACATGGTCTATTTTTTAACCCTATAGTGGGATTTGTGCAAATAAAGTAATTATTGAAGATAAATCCTCATTGTTTCTCTGTAATTCTTAATGGCTGGGCAGATGTGTATAATTTGCTGCTTTCCCTCCTGCTGAGTCACATAATCACACTGTGGACTAATTCTCAGTAATGCCTGAGTAACGCCGTACTAATCAGTGGGTGCTGTAATTTAAAGATGTCTGCTTTCATATGTCTCTGTGAACGACTGCACCTCCCACGCTGGCACACACGCAACGGAAAACACGCCCGTAGGCACTCGAAAGGCCTTCGGCTAATTACAGCTGCGATTGAACTGCGTGCCCCGTTGCTTGTAGGTCCAACCGCACGTGGCTTGGTCTGCAGTTTAATGTTCATGTGTGTTATTTGTGATTCTGGGCTCGCTAGGCTGAGATGTGTGCTGGGCACAGCTTTCCCAACATCTCTACCATAAAGCATGTTGTCTAGTCCAGCTATACAGTTGTATAACTAAGCACCCTTTTTAACATTTTTGAATGGACAATTTTGTGGTGTTTTGCGAGCTGTGGCTGTGTGCCATGTGCACGGTTTCCTTATGACTCAAGTGTTGTGAAGTGTTTGGAACACTTTGGTTGGTGCTTCACATCTTGCACTCTTTGTGCTGCCTCAAACGTCTGACTGTTATCTCTCCTCAGGCAACGGCAGTCGGAATATGGGCGCCGGGGGGGAAGGTGTGTGCAGCGGTGTGGTCGCAGCAGTGAGTCAGCCATAGTCATGGGGTGGAGAGCGTGATGGAAAGCGGGGGTTTAGTGATTGGGGAGGTGAGATTATTGGAGGGAAGAGCTGGGCCGAGAAGCAATGTAGATTAAAAGTGTTTGTGTGAGGAGGAGGACGAGGAGGAGAATAAAGATTGGCGTTTGAGGGACGAGGAGAGATGAGAAAGGGAGGGGGCGTCAGGAGGAACAGGACGGCGAGAGAAACGAAGGCAGACACTGACTTCTCTCTTTGTTCTTTCCTCTGAAAAGTGCTCACAGCTGGTTCAGACCAGAGTGTAACGCAGCCTTGTGTCAACGTCTCCCGGCAGCTCTGCCAAGTGTCCGTGGCGTCCGATGCCACAAACAATGCAATACTATACTGGGCTGATTGTGTTTCACCACTTGTATTTCTCTGGTCATGAAATGGAACACTGTCCCAACTGTTGGGGCTGCATCTGTCGGGGCACTGCAGGGTTTTCATGATTATGGGCTGACTTTTAATCTGCAGTAACACAGTATTCTGCCACAATCAAGGGTGATTCTGAGCAGCCTTTGCGTTGTACAATGGATCAATAAAAGTGAATTCACCTCATACCGTTTTGTGAACAAATTGTAATTAAGTCCAAAAAACATAAGTACAGGAGGTTAATAAATGTGTGTGTGCGCTGCTTGTTCCCAGCATCTCCAGATGACCGTTCAGGCTCTTCAGGATGAGATGAGGATCCAGAGGGACCTGAACCAGCTGCTCCAGCAAGACCCCGCCATCCAGGGGCGGGACCTGGTCCTCACATCTGAACCCACAGAGGAGAACTACCGGCGGCTACATGCGGAGCACGAGAGGCAGGCCAAAGAGCTCTTCCTCCTTAGAAAGACCTTAGAGGAGATGGAGCTACGGATCGACACGCAGAAGCAAACCCTGGGAGCCAGAGACGAGTCCATCAAGAAACTTTTGGAGATGCTGCAGAGCAAAGGTGGGTTTATAATGTCACGTCGTGGTTGTTGGTGGCCAAAATATCCGCGATAATGCATTGACAAACCCATACAGGAAACTCAAGTAAAAATAACTAAAAACAAAATTGGGTTATTGGGTTTATGTTTACTGTTGCTTTTTTAATCCAGTGTTTTTTATATCTCATCCCCTGCTGAACAGATGAGTTGGCTGTTAGAAAATAGATGTCTTTCCACTTACTTCCTCATGGTAACCGGGCCGTCTGTACATCCTTCTCAGGGCAATCTGCCAAGGCATCAGAGGAGGACCAGGAGCGGACCAGGAGACTGGCTGATGCAGAGATGCACAGGCATCACCTTGAGAGTTTACTGGACCAGAGAGACCGAGAGGTCAACGCACTGAGAGAGGTACTGGTGACCTAATACCACATTGGGTTGGTCTAGTTTTGTTTTTCCCCCCTCTTATTTATGCTCCGATATGAAACTGCCCATAAATGTTTTGCACACACATGCATCATGTTTTTCTTCATCCGACCCAAAAGGAGCTGCACCGTCGATACGAGGGAACCCCCGAGTCCACAAAAACTAAGGCTCTGCAGACTGTCATCGACATGAAGGTGAGGTTTAGAAAAGAATAGTGAATATGATCTATGTTTGCGTTATCTCACGTATTTTTCAATGCATGTTAACCCCTCTTCACAAACGCCCAGGATGCAAAAATCAATTCGATGGAGCGAGGACTGAGAGACATGGAAGAGGAGCTGCTGATGATGAAATCCAATGGACTTCTGAGCTGTGAGGAGCGGCAGGAGGAGATGAAGCAGATGGAGGTCTACCGCAGCCACATGAAATTCATGAAGAACAAGGTCTATGAGACGTTTTGTTCTCCTAATCGGATGCTTTTCCGCTAGAAGTTTCTTTCCTTTCCTCATGGCTATCCACCTATTTTCAGCTGGAGCAGGTGAAGCAGGACCTGTCCAGGAAGGACACCGAGCTGCTTGGTTTGCAGACCAAGCTAGAGACTCTCACCAACCAGTTCTCAGACAGTAAGCAGCACATCGAGGTCCTCAAGGAGTCCCTCACTGCCAAGGAGCAGCGAGCCGCCATCCTACAGACTGAGGTACACCCTGGGCCCTTCTTTACATTTGGCCAGCTCGCTTTGGAATGAGTGTAAAACAACAGCCCTCTTAAGAGAAAAGGCTTCCGACTGCTGATACGAGAGTCTGCAAAGAAGCAGTTACCGAATGTTTTGCTACTTTCTCTGCTTTTGAGCACTTTTGAGTGCGTAGCGCAGTTCCAGCCAGTGACTGTTGTCTACCTTTCCCTGTACCAGGTGGATGCCTTGCGCTTGCGCTTGGAGGAGAAGGAGTCGACTCTGAATAAGAAGAGCAAGCAGATTCAAGAAGTCTCCGAAGAGAAGGGCACACTCAACGGGGAGATCCACGACCTCAAAGACATGCTGGAGGTCAAGGAGCGCAAAGTCAACGTGCTGCAGAAAAAGGTGATTTGGACTAAAAACAGACATCTGGTGTTCTTTGCATTTACCCCGCGCACTCATGGGGTCACAGCGCGTGTCCTGTGGCTGATGATCATTTTGTGTTCACTCTGCAGATCGAGAACCTGCAGGAGCAGCTGAGGGACAAGGAGAAGCAGATGAGCAGCCTGAAAGAGAGAGTGAAGTCTTTGCAGGCAGACACCTCAAACACTGACACTGCCCTCACCACACTAGAGGAGTCTCTAGCAGAAAAGGTTGAGTTCATGTCTGCACCTGCCGAATTGTATGCATGTTCATTCTGTATATTAAACGCGTGTCCGTTTTCTCTGCCTCCTGCCAGGAGCGCATTATTGAGCGTCTAAAAGAGCAGCGAGACCGAGACGACCGGGAGAAGACGGAGGAGATTGACAGTAACAAAAAGGAACTGAAAGAGTTGAAGGAGAAACTGAGCCTCCTGCAGGGGGACCTGTCAGACAGAGAGGTGAGCAACACCAGCACAGGCAACAAAGGCACTTGCTTACTGTGTTTCTATTAATATTGTGAGACATTGTAGTCTGTTTTTGCTGTTCATCTTACTTTGCTATGAGTCATAAATGTCTGTATTGGATCCAATGTATTTTCAGTCTCCTCAGTCCCATTCTCTTAGAGTTGGAGAAGGCTCATCAATGCTCTTGTGTGGGTGTGTTTGTGCAGACGTCTTTGTTGGACCTGAAGGAGCACGCATCATCCCTGGCATCCTCCGGTCTGAAGAAGGACTCCAAACTCAAGAGCATGGAGATCGCCTTTGAACAGAAAAGGGAGGAGTGCCTCAAAGTGGAGAATCAGCTTAAGAGGGTGAGATCCTAAAATAATGAAATCGGCAGCCATGTGCTGGCTCAGCGCTAGCTAATGATTTATTAATAGGATTGTGATACCGTCTGTAATCTGAGCCTTGCGTACGGTAACCGTAGTGAAAACCCCTGTGTGTTTGGCTGACATCCCGTCCTGTTGTAAGGCTCAAAACGCAGCCCTGGAAGCTCAGGCCAACACAGAGCTGCCAGAGCGCATTAAGAACCTCCAACAGGAAGTCGCCCGCCACAAAGAGGATTCTGGGAAGGCGCAGGCTGAGGTGGACCGCCTGCTGGAGATCCTTCGGGAAATGGAGAATGAGAAGAATGACAAGGACAAAAAAATCAATGAGCTGGAGAGGTGGGTGGAAACATGCACATTTCGGGTGCTCACAAAAATGTTAAAGATAACTGTTTAAAGCCGGTCAACTCAAAAGATGTGGACATCTTTGCACCAAGGCTGAAGCTTTGCCTGTGATACTAAATTAAATAGTCATAATGTGTCAGCAAATGTGCAGCTGGTCTGATTGTTCGCCCGTGACATGAACGTTTAACGCGAACAGAACATTTTCTTTGTTGTGACTTTGTTCCAGAAGTTATGATTTGAGTCTTTTGTGTTTGTTGCGGCGTGTGGCGGCTACATAATGCGTTGTGCAATCTGTTGTCTGCTTGCTTGGACTGTAAAATCTCCCTCCAATGACATTGTGACAATCTGGAAATTGTTGCCCTCGGCCCATTAAATGGCGTCTTTAAATGTAATTTGTCCATCTGCCATTGTCGCCTCTTAGCTGTATTGCTTTGAAAGCGGATGTGGCAAATGTTAGCTTGTTATTAGTGGAGCTGTTATAAAGCTGGTCGGTACGGCTGTAGTAGTTGGTAGTTTGTAATCCACCTTTTTGCAATTTCTGTCGCTGCGTACGTGGTGAGTGATGAAGTCTCATGACTCGTCTGTGAGCCCTCAATGCTTCCTTCTCTTTTCCTTAACATTGACTCATCTCCCTGCTCTTTTCTTTCTATTTACCACTTTCTTGTCTTTACACCGGAAATCTCTCGCCCCTCCAGTTTGTCCTGCAGGTTAGTATTTGTTCCTTTTCCTCTCTTCTCATCTCCTGCATCCTTTAATGTTCTCTTCTCACGTTTCTCTCATTGAGTACAAGGTGCCGCAAGCAGCTGCATCTTCCTCGCATATTGATCTTTGTCTTTCCTTTTGGTTCATTCACCGCTTTTCTCTTTCACCCCCCTCCCTGACTCTTTGCAGGGCTGTCTAAAATCTTGCCAAAGCTATGGTTGTAAATGTTATCTCAGTATTCTGAAATGAGGAGGCTTTTCAATCTCTCCTGAACATTCCACATAGATAATCATAGCTGTGGCAAAAAGCTTTGTTTTGAATCAGACAAATTACTTTGGTGCTTATCTGCACTTTTACCACAATATTTCCTTTTTCACATCACCTTTTAAATACAAATTGTATTGACATGTAAATCGGGAACACATTAAAATTATACATTAAGTAAACATTTCTACTTCCGTGTATGTTTGGGTGCAGGCAGACCAAGGACCAGTCAAAGAAGGTGGCGTCTCTGAAGCACAAGGAGCAGGTAGAGAAGAGTAGGAATGCTCGACTCGTGGACGAGGCCAGGAAGAGGGAGGACAACATGTCCGAGAGCTCCCACCTGGTGAAGGTGCGTGCTTGTGGTTCTCTCTCATGGACCTTTCATCAGAACGAATTTCCACGTTTACCGGCACCGGCTCACTAATTCAATTTCCAACGAGCTGTAATGGGACCTCTCTCTACTCCGGATGTGCAGGACACTCTACGTCAGAAGTCTGAGCGCATAGAGGAGCTGGAGGAGGCCCTGCGAGAGAGCGTTCAGATCACTGCGGAGCGAGAGATGGTGCTGGCACAGGAGGAGGCTGCCAGGTCACTCCAGGAGAAACAGGTACACAACTGCTTTTCAACAAACGCACAAGAAAGCAGTCACAATCAATCCACTAGTTCACGCACGCAGCACACGCATCGTGTAAAACTCTACATAAATAACAAATGCTTTCATATACTGCGATTCTTCCTCCCTCGTCCTTCTGCTGCCATGGTGGTGTTTCTCATCCTTTCTTCGCCTCCCTCCTCTCCTACGGTCTCTGTCTCTTTCTCAGTTCTTTTATCTTTTGCTTTTTTGTTTTCTCTTGTTCTGTCTCTGCTTCACACTGCCTCTCAGAAGCACTCACTCAAACCAATGCATGAGTCCCAGCTCGCCCACTTTAAGTGGTCTAAGGTATGAGCCCAGAATGTGTGACCTCCAATCACTGAGCAACAGCCCTTGAAGGGTGGACACAATAACAGATACACCTTTACAATCCATGCAATGACACCACGATCCTGCCATATATTCATTTGGAAAGTGTCCTTTTTGGGGAATTTGTGTTCGATGTCAGATTGCATTATTTTGCAAGGTGTTGCTGGTTTCAGCTGGTGTAGTTGTCCTGTTATTTTGTTTACCTGCTGTTTGTTTATGAAACATCCCAAACCTGATTAATTGGCTGGCTCGCATGTCAAGTAGCCAATAGAATTTATCACATGGGAATGAACTTGATTATAATTAAAGCACGTATTAATAATAGTGGTACTTGTGCCCATTTTTTTTAAATGAATAACAGGTAAATGAAATGTTGTGCTGTAGTTTGATGGTATGTGTGCTAGTTGATCCCTAGTCCTTACCAAAAGCCCACATGATATGGACACACAAGGGTTCTTTGCTTGTGAAAAACCACTTTTCTTTCACTGATTTAAGTAATTGCTTTTACTCTATTCATGATTTGAATTGTGTGTGTGTGTGTTCCCAGATGGAGGAGCTGCTGGGGGCCATGGAGAAAGTGAAGCAGGAGCTGGAGTCCATGCGGGCCAAGCTGTCCTCCACCCAGCAGTCTCTTTGTGAGAAAGAGGCACACCTGTCAACGCTGCGAGCGGAGCGCAGGAAACACCTGGAGGAGGTGCTGGAGATGAAGTAAGAGTACACACACACATACACAGAAGGGTGCATTGGACTCTGGCGTATTGATTGCTGCCTTCATCTTGTAAAATGTCATCCTATTCCGGACTTGCCCAGCTGGCAGGATGATTTTCTGCAATAAATAATAAATGATAATTGAGCTTGTTACGCTTGTGGTTAAATGTCATGTTTGTCTCCTCCCCACCTAACAGGCAGGAGGCGCTGCTGGCCGCAATCAGCGAGAAGGACGCTAACATCGCCCTGCTGGAGTTGTCCTCTTCTAAGAAGAAGAAGACCCAGGATGAGGTGTCTCTGCTGAAAAGGGAGAAGGACAGATTGGTGCAGCAGCTCAAGCAGCAGGTGAGGAGGTGGCTGCTGGTATCCGTGGAGGGGAAAGAACGATTGAAGTGTTCCAATAGTTCTGGGAGCCTCAGCGGGATTGCACACAGCCATGTTTATTGTTTTAACTCCTACACCTCTCACACAGAATATGTTGACGAGTGGGGAATAAAAGTCAGGACGTCCAAAGTAAATGAAACGATTGGACACTGTCTTTTTCAGTAACGATAGTTTTTGTTTCCATCAGGCACACCATTTACTAAGGTCGCATGAGGATTGTCACACTGAGAAGTAACTTTTCCATGGAATGGAACGGACAAATGCTCAGTCTTTGAAGTTAATTGTCGCTCCCCCACCCCCGTCTGCTCCGGCGTTGTACATGCTGACACCGTGTCACCCTGTGATGTCTTGGTGGCCAATAGCCAGGCCTGCTTGTTAATGGGTGCCCCTTCCGCTGTGTTTCTTTGTTCTCACTGTTTCTATTTCACAGACTCAGAACAGAATGAAACTGATGGCAGATAACTACGAGGATGACCATCTGAAGACCGCTCCTGACCAGTCAAATCACAAGCCCTCTCCTGATCAGGTAGCTTACCCCTCCAAACTGTCCCCTTTCCATATCGCCCTCAGCTGCTTCTCTGAAATGTCCATGACATGGTAACAACATGATGTCTGTTGAGGAGAAGGCTGATCTGATGCCTTCAATCTAAAGGGAACAAAGATTTTTTTGCTTAACTTTTCTGTCCATATTTACGTACACTAACCAAATGTTCCTTTGTAATGCTGCGATTGGCTCACCTCGTGGCTAACAGGATGATGAGGAGGGTATTTGGGCGTAGCCAACCTTTAGCCCTCCCCTCTCTCTGACTCTCTGTCTCAGCCATATTGTTCAGAAGGGTGAGCTCGTATGAAAAGTCCGACCTGTTGACCTCTTGCTCTGTGGCATGCTCACCTTGTCTTCCTTTCATTTTACTGTTCTTTTTGCCGTATGCCTTTCTTCTGTTCATGTTGATGGTGGTGATCATTGCCTGTGTTTTCTGTGAGAGTACGTCTCGCCACTCATCCGGTGTTCATTCGTTGCTTCTCAGTGGTTTGTGTGTTTCGGTTGAGCAATGCCTGTCTGCATGCTCAAGCTAAGAGCATGAGATATTTTATCCCTGGTCTGTTTCATTGTCTTCAACTAAAGCATCTTTGCTTTCCATGTCACTGATGATTAGCTCCTTGGATATTGACCCCCACTAACAGGAGCTAACTAGTTTTAACTCGCCTAATATAAATCATTTTGTAAATAGCTTTGTAAGGACATTAATATACTAGGCAATTGAAATCTAGAGAACAACGCACCCAAGGTGCTTCGTATACACATGCATGCAGATAACAATATATATATATTTCATGCCAGTGTGGTCTGGAGCTTTAGTCTTTCATTCTGTTCATGAATTCAACAAGAGCGTATGTGTAATACTATTTCTACATCCCCCTTTTTTCTTTTCATTTCCCACACTGCCTCTCACTCTTGTCCCTTTTCGTCCCCCCCGGGCAGATGATACCCCCTCTTCTGGCCCTGTCCCAGAACCGCAGTAAACTCAAGCTCTACATCGCCCACCTGACCGACCTCTGCCACGACCGCGACCCCGCCATCCTCAGCACGCTCACGCCGCCCTCTCACTACCACCACAGCGACCCCGAAGACTGGGAGGAGGAGCTCCAGAAGATGAGCGTCCAACAGGTAGAGGAGGAACCGCGCTATTCATATCTGCATTGTCCTTTGTAGCTTCTGGAGGGTAGAAATGGCCGTTGTATTGGCACATCAAAGGCCCAGCAGAGCAGTTTAGTTTTTGAGCAGCTTGATTCTAAAGGCATGAGCATCTTTGAGATAATCGGGTAAGTTAATTTCTAATGTTTTTGTCATAGCTGATGAAACAACTCTAGGTTGTTGAATCTTTGAATAAAAAATTGATTTTGGAATTAAATCGGGTTACAATGCTGTTTTTTTTTTTTAATCTGCGTGGTGATGCAGTCCCTTTATCCATACTCTAGCTTCAATAAATGGATAATTTCCTTCAAAATTAATTTAGTCATTTTACAGAAACCATTTTGAAAGTCAAACCTGGGGGTGGGGGGTACAGATTTTGGTTCATTGACAGTGTGGTAAAAGAAACCGATTCATACTTTCATTCTCCAGTTGGAGAGCGAGCTGGAGGTGTGTGAGAAGGAGAGCGGCGAGCTGCAGGAGTACGCCAACTCTGTCCTGCAACAGATCGCTGATTACTGCCCCGATATCCTGGAGCAGGTTGTCAACGCCTTAGAGGAGTCATGCTGACCGCGCCGACCTCGGACACAAACCGGCCGAGTCCTGCTCTCCATACGATCCTCAACAAGGCGTCTGGCAGGAGGAGAGTAAACACGAGAGATGTATAACCCCGCCCAGCTTTGCGTCTTCGCTCCCCTCTTCTTCCCCGGAACAGGCTTTTACAACCAACTCTTATGTGCTTTCCTGTCAAGTGTGACTTTGTAAAAATTCGAATTGGGGACGGTCACTAAGGGTGTAGAAATATTGTCAAGTAGGGCACTTTAGAGTGGATTTCAGATTATACCAGGCAAAAGCTGTGGCAGATGGTGGCGTAAAAGTACGCACTTGATCACATTACTCATTATCAGCTCACTAGCAAGCACTCACAAAATTCCGTTATTATTTTTGGCTTGACGTAAACTTGGAGAGATCTCAGTCTGTCTGGGATTGGGTGGGTTGGGAGACAAAGGATACGAGATGAAAGAAGCAAACTTCCGCACAAAGTCTTTTGAGCCTACTGCCATCCTTCGTCTCAGACGTCTTCATTCACAGCAGGAACTGCTCGATCAAGCACAGATACCTCACACACAGCGATCTCAGTGTTTTACCCCTTAGATTACTCTTGCATACCTTTTTTAATAGAAGAATAGGGGTAAATGTATTCCTCACATGGGGCAGGAAAGCACTTTTTGACTGGGGAGCTGCTACATCTAGAAGGGGGGCCGAGAGGTGCTCAGTTCAGTGGGTAAATAATGCAGCCGTGTTGATGCTTATTTTGTATTGTAGTCCGTGGTCCCCTAACTGGAAGGTTGTACTCTAGTTGGAGACACAAACCCCGGTGGACGGACCTCCGAGCACTGAAGTGCTACATTTTAACCAAATATGAACTAAGCTTGCTCTCCAAGTTTCTATGGATCTGTCATTGTAGCGAGGACCAAGATGTAGGTACGTGTTACTGCGTAGTCTGTGGCTGGGCCACTGGCACGAGAGAGAGAGGGGGGGAGGGTGGGGGGGGGGAAATCTAGGCCTGACCTTTTGACACTGGTCAAATGTCAGCTTTTAAGTTACACAATGTACTCAAATACAAATATGAGAGCGAGGAAAGGAAGTTATTCTGAGACTCATTTACTTTTAGATAGTTTTGCACACAACGTCCACTTGTTTATGAGGTATGCAATGTTTCTTTTGAGAACGTTCTAGTGGCCTTGGAGCATGAACAGAGATCAGTACTGGGCCTAATGCAGGGATCTTCTTTTTTTTTTTTTCTCCTCTGTTATGTTGGTGCTAAGGCATGATGTAAGATCCACTGATCATTCAGTCTCATCCAAAGTTTCTGTAGATGCTTCTCGAAGCCCACCTGATCTTCAGTTGGTCGATTGGATCACTGAAGAACACAAGCGATGCTTCTTGTATTTCCTGATGACTTACAAATGCAAGTGATGCCTCCCTTTATTTTATTTTTTGAATCTTCAGGGCTGAGGTTATTAATTACTAAATGCGTCTACATTTACAGGAAACAAAAGTCACTTTTCAGCAGATTTAGACTTTTTAGATCAGTTTGTAAATAACGTGATATTTAACACGTATAGTGACTGAATAAAGTTATTAAGTGAAAGGTGTTGTGCATTATTTGAAAAGAATATCTAAAGTTTAAAGCAGTGCAGTTTTGTCAAATTTTGTCGGCAGGACAAAGTGTGTGAGTGTGTGTGTGTGTGACAGTACTGCCATAACTCGAGCAAAGTCATGTTCTATAGAGCTCTATATAAATACATATATAAAATGTTTACTGTATGGATATGCATTGAATGTTTGCACAGAATCTTAAAGAGCAAAATGACCGTTGAGTTGGTGTCTTCAGTAGAAACTGAGGAAAGTGTCAAAAAAATATTTCGTGTCAAAAATAGTGTGTGCACCATAATGTTTTCGAACCGTGACTGTGTGCTGGGGGAGTAACTTCCTTGCATTTCTTTCTAATCAGCGTTTTAAATTTATTATCCTGAGATTCCAGTGTTTTTATTCCTACCGTTTTTTTGGTTGATGTCAAAGGCAGATTGTGCCTGATGGGTAGAAAAAATAAAGTCAACAATCCTAGACCTCCTGCTTTTGTAAGGGGAATATTATGAGGGAAAAAAGCCTCATCTGTAGGTCTGACTCACTTCCTGTTTGTGGTTGGTGGATATGTGATTTTTTTTTTTTTTTTTTTACTGAAAATAAAACCCCCTGATGGTTTCGGATGACGTCCGTTGGATGCTTGTAGTTTGTCGGTCAAACTCTTTCAGCAGTAGCTAATTCCCTCATTTCAACCTCGCCGCTCTTCACCTCTGGATTCAAATAAGCTTTCTCTAGTGTTTAATTCCCTCTACGTTGGCCTGTGTGTCCCTGACCTTGCCTTAATGTATCGTCATGTCGTCTTCTCCTCATTGAGGAGCACAGGGCTGATTAAGGGGGCGTCTGTCAAGTTCATGGTATTTGTTTTTCATTTTGCATTTGTATAAGAAATGTATTGCCTGCCTTCTGTAAGTGTTCGTAAACAGAAAGCAAAAAACAGACATTTGTGAGTTATTTGGATTTTGTATGTATGTAAATAAATAAATTATAAGCCTTGGTTTCTTGGATTCGTTTTGGAAGAAGCGAGCAACGTCGTATTATGCCGTCAGACGGCAGCTGAAAAGGATTAAGATGTTTTAACCGTTTGGTTTCAAAGACAAGCCATCACACTTGATTTTTCATTTGCAGCTGTTATAAAAATGTGAATTAATGGTTTAAGTTAACATTTGTTGCATATGGTGGTTTTGGGTTGGATCACGTATATTATGGTAACCCACTCTTAAGTGGCGTTGGTGTAGTTGTAGGGCATATTTATTGAGTATGTACTAAATTCAGATTATATACATGGACCGAGATCAAGTGTAGTTCAGGAGTGGCTTTTCCTCAGAGTTCTGGGAAACGGCGCCGGTTGAAGTTCTTCGTGCCAGCTGCGTTCAAAAGGAACCCAGAGAAGTTCTCAAATTGTACATGCGTTGCTCAAACATTACACAATGGTTTGTTAAAGATGTATGAGGTGGGAATTCCCTTTAGATGCTGTGGTTGATTTGGTGTTTAAGATAAAACATCTTAATGATTTGACAGCAGTAATCACATAATTCAGTCTAGATTTGATGTAATAGTGATTTTAGGAGAAATCAAAGGCCATCGGACACAACCTTTGCAGTTGGTTTCCTAAACTGCATGGACAACAGATATACAGTCGTAATTACAAATCAAATAGTTGGTAATGCCGTTACAAATTCTACAAGCAAACAAAACTGAAACATATTTGCCATCTTTATTCATAAATATCACTACTGTATGAATATAAAACAATCTTAAATTACTGCTCTTTTAAAAACAAATACTCTGGCGCTATCGTTGGAAGCTCCTCAGGAGACAGGCCGCTGATAAAACAGTTTTAAAGGTATTGCATATCGCCATGGCAGCTGTCAATCACTACACCTTACTGTAGCTGTGTGGATGAACCTTTGACAGAGTAGCATACTGGAACATCTGGTACATACTTATTTCCTCAGGAATATGAAACATAGCCAACTATACACGGGTCAACGAAGAACGACGCGAGTGATCCACCCACTTCAATTTGAAGTACAATTTTTTCACTCAATACAAAAAAAGAATTTCGGTTACACAAATAAAAAGATGCACGAGCCCAAAAAAAACAACTTTCTATCAAAAATGTGACTCTTAAGAGTTAAAATGCCTAAACTATTATTCTGCAATGAGATTTTTTTTTAAATATCTAAATCTCCATTGGTATGTGAGTCACAAAAATATGCACTGTAATTTAGTATTCAGCGATAGTAGGCACTCCTGTGTTTAATGGGTGAGGTAGCTGGATAGTAAGAACTGGACACAGGCTGCAAAGACGATGCACGGACGAACGCGAGACGCAAACCAAGAGTGGAGTATTGCAGAGGAGGAGAACAATATTCCAGTGATCAATGCGGAGTCCCCCCCCCCTCCTTGCTTGCTTGCTTTTAGTCACAGTATAGAAGGTAAGATTAAGAGTGGACACAGACAAGTCAATGAACGAGAGCCTTCACCTCACTCTCTCGCTCTCGGTCATCTGCCACAGTCCCAGGTTCAACACTTTAAGGCACGGCAGCTGCGTGATCCTCTCCAGACCCCTCTTGGTGATCTTTGTGCAACCGTACAGGTCGATGCCCGTCAGCTGGGTCAGGTGGTCCGCTATCAGCTCCAACCCTTTGTCCGTGATCCTCACGCACTGCCCGATGTTGAGGGTCTTGAGTTCGTGCATCTGGCGCACCATCCTGTTGATGCCGTCGTCGCTGATGTGGCAGGAGCACAGCGACAGGGACTTGAGCTGATACAACCCCTGGGCGATGTAGGCCAGACTCTGGTCTCCAATCTTGTCACAGAAGGAGACGTCGAGCCCAGAGAGCCGCAGGGAGCCCATGGCCAGGTGCATTATGCCCGTGTCGCTGATGTTGTCGCACGACCGCAGGTTCAGGCTGCACAGGTGCGTCATGTGCGACAGGTGGATCATCCCTGCGTCCGATATCCCCCCGCAGAAGCTGAGGTTGAGCACTTTGAGCTTGTTCAGGCCCTTGGAGACGTGCTTCAGCGAGAGGTCGGTGAGCTTCTGGCAGTCCTGCAAAGTCAACTTCTCCAGGGACAGGCAGCCCTCCGCCGCGCTGCGGGTCATGCCGGACAGGTGACCGATGCCCACGTCGGACACGTGCCTGCAGCTGCGCAGGTTAAGGCTCTTGAGGCGGTGCAAGCCCCAGGCAACGAGCAACAGGCCGGTGTTGGTGATGTTGCTGCAGCCCCCGAGTTCCAGCACCTCCAGGTTTTTGAGGTACTGGGCAATCCTGCCCAGGCTGGAGTCGGTGATCTGCTTGCAGAGGCTGAGGTTCAGCACCCGCAGGGACGGGATGTCCTGCACAAAGGCGTGACCGAGCCCGTTGTCCGTGAGGTTGAAGCAGCCGCACAGGTTAAGGCTCTCGATGTGCGGCATCCCCTGAATCACGTAGCTCAGACTTCGCCTCAGGCTGAGGATCTGAACTTTTTTGATGCCCCTGGTCTGCAGGCTGGGGAACAGAGAGGGGTTCGCTCGCCGCAGATGGAGCTTGGCTTCCACCCCCCTCCACACGGACTTGTGGTAGGACGCGTCCCTCCAGGCCGCGCACACTTGCGCCACTCTTCCTTTGTCTTTTACGTCCAGATAACTGAAAATAATGGCCAGGATCTCCGGGAAAAGGCACGATATATGCGTCTCCATTTCAAACATGGCTGCGGGCTGACGGCTTTTAGTCGCAGCGGTCGATCGGCGGCGACAATACTGTCGTTGTTGGGTCGCCGAAAACTCGCCTGCCGAAAGTTGCTGGCTGGCTCGGCGACGTTAGCTAATGCCAGCTAGCATTCGATCGTGCTAACTTTAGCCAGTTAGCTCCGAGTGCGCCGTAACAAAAACCCACCCATCATCCACGGATAGTATCATCCAAGCATAGCATTATGATCAATAAAAAATAATGCCACGCGATGTCCTCCCACGGTGCCGTTATTGTATCGACGAGCGGCCGCAGAAGCGGGGAACTCGTAATATTTACCTAGCGGGCTATGCTAACGCGGGCTATGCTAACGCTAGCTAGCCTCGGCGTAGCGCTTAGCCGCCTAAACTTGTGAAAACACGAACAACATCCCGGTTACGAGCTGCCCCGCAGGCCACTTATCGGTCCCCGCGACGCGTCGCCGAGCGTGTCCGTTAACCCTTTTCCGTTCGGCGGAAACTTTCCTCCACAAAGCCGCTAGCTCGCGCCGAGGTACGTGCAGGGCGCCTTCACCTCCCGAGGCATCTCCAGCCGCGTCGGTCGGAGCATCCCGGACCGCCGCAGATGAATAAAAGCAGCACTTTTCGGGTTGTAGCGAGTTCAGCGGCTCCTAGTGGGAGTAACACGCACGGTTACTGTCACGCTGCTACGGGATCCACCGGACAGCTTGAATAATGCAGCGGTGGCAGTGTTTTTAAGGGCTTTATTCTTCTTGTATGGCGTCTGATATAAGGAGGAGAACGACGCGTTAAACAGCAAACGCGAAGGTTCATTCGCTTGTTTGTTGGTTGTTTGTATGCACCGAAAAGCGATCGCAATTAACGTTGCGATTTTGCAAAACACCAAGCACAAAGGTATTGTGTTTTTTCAAATAAAAGATCACAAAGAAATAATTAATGAAGGGGCGAGTCCATCCAAATATATGGATGCTGACACTGTTTGATTTTACGCGCAAACATACAGATGAGAAACCACCACATTCCGCTTTTTACTGCCCTTCTGCTGCACTTGTTAATGTGTGCATGCGTGTGTGTGTGTGTGTGTGTGTTAGTCTATATTTGCACACACGCATATTCCCCAACTACCCATCTGCATCCATTTAGCTGCACCTTCATATTCACAAAAATATATGGACACATTTTAATATTAGAATATATATATTTCTTTGCTATTTTACAGGAGCAAAGCACTGAAGAGCCACCAGCTGCTCATGTGGTTTCTTTAAACCTCAAATCTGGCCAGTTATGTGCAAATCAACCATTAAACAGTTAAGTCGACAAAATGTTCTAAGAACCAAATGCTCTCAAAATAATAAATAAATCTATTCTTACGTTTTCGTCCTGCCGATCCTAATTGTATGATGTTCTACTTCCAATAATCCTTCCATTCATAATGTTTTGTTATGTTTCATAAATGTGTCAGTTAAGACAAAGAACAAAAGCAGAAGCATCACAATAAAGTACTTTTGAGTGTTTTAAATACAGGATGGTGGGAATGTTTCCGCTTCATGAAGTGTTATTTATCAGTAAAAACATTAAGCTGCATTTTGAATGGGAATTGGTCAAAAGTCGTCTTTATCATTCCACTGCGGGGAAGATGACGCACGAATAGGGACAGACTTTATATCAGGCACAATAAAGTCAACCTTGAATTCTGCAGTTTATATTTTATTAATGTGTTTCATACTTAAAAAAAAAACATTTTGCCAAGAACTGTTATTAGCTTCCAGTGACATGTGCACAATTTTACAGTTTATTACTATTCACCAATTTTTAATTGAAAGTATTATAATTGATGTATGTTATTGTGGTATCAAGTGTGGTATTAAATGACAACTACGATCAAATTAGTTTCCACATTCACACCAACGCAGAGACAGGTGCATCTGCTCAAGGACTCGACTGTGTCACCCGCCTTCCTCTCGTGTGCTACTTCATGTGCATGTCTGTGACCTGGCACGCTGCCCGGAGTCACTGCAGCGAGGGTTCACTGACCTGCTCCCCTCCGGCTGCCGGTAGGGCGCATGTGGATTTATTTGGGCTGTGTAAAGGGACAATGGGCGTTGGGATGGGTCTCAATGTTCAAACAAAGCATACTGGGTTTGCACACAAACCGCAAAACAGATGAACAAAAGGTGAACACAAAAACATAAAACACACAACACAATGCAAATACAAAATAGACCATGTTGACTTACTGGGAAACTTTAAAAGGACAAAACCACGGTTAATGTTATTAGTGACACCCGTGCTTATCAAGTCAAAATGTCTGCTGTGAAAAAGGCCAGCGGCTTCGCGTTGCTTATGCCATTTTTTGTATTCTTTATGTACTTATTTATTAATTTTATACATGCGCATACATGGAACTGTTCAATTTTTCATCTCTTATTCCTGACAAATTCTTCTTTTCCCCCCCTTTGACTCACTCATAATTATAATTTAAAAACAATAGTGGAGAGGTACAGGACTTGCATAGAAGACGAGGAGTGACACCACATCACAAAAACAACAAATGACTACAAAGATGAATATCAAATAGATGCTACAAGTAGCCTGCAACTGTGAAGGTCAATAAAACCTTCACAGTTGGTGATGATGCTATTTTGTTTTGCTAGTTGGTGAAAAAAGTTGTTTTGTCGTCATGAAATAACCTTATATTTGTTACGCTCAATGATTTTGATGTGTTTGACTCAAAATAAGTAAAAGTGCTGATCGTATTCCATTAATCTCTTTAATGGAATACGACTTGTGACAACCTGCAGGAACTGTGCAGTACACGAGACCTTCATTTTTTAAAATGTCTCATCTCTGCGCGATGAGCTCAGCATCTGGCCAGCAGAGGGCAGCGGAGATCTGACAAAACATCAAAAAGACAAAAGGCTCCCACTGATCACTCCACGTCCAGTTTTTAGATCATCACCACTTCAAACCATCGTTTGCATACAAAGAATAAAAAGAGACGTTCTTAAATCTTTCCTTTGCATAATCAGACAACGGGATCTGAAAAAAATGGGACGAAGGATGATCAAACGGACACAAAGAGGTGGTGATGGGGACCGGAGATGGTTTGGTGCACGGGGAGAAAAAGGAGAACTAAAGACAAGTGAGGGATGGTGATTCCCCTCTCGGCCTCCCCTGTGGCTGGACTTGTCTCTGCTAATGACCCTGTCTGCTGGCTCACACAGACAGATGGTGAATTAACTCCAATTAGCCCACTCTCACCAGATCTCCTCTGACAGCTTACCACACACACACACACACACACACACACACGCACGCACGCACGCACGCACGCACGCACGCAGATGAACCCATAAGTAATCTGCAGACCTGCAGCCGTTGTCTTAGATTACGCCCAAAAAATCAGTTTTATCACTTATTTTTAAAATACATTTGACATTTGAGATCGGACATCTCAAAACACTCGTGCTTTCTTTATTTCACGCAAACATGAATAATCTAAACGGGTTTGTGTTGAATCATAAGGGAAATGTTTGGTTGCAGATACATGTTGCTGAACAATAGAAACTGGTGAGTCACATATTGTCATCGTGGTTGACATGTGAACACTTTAACAGACGGAACCAGACACACCCACGCACACACACACCCCCATGCGCACACACAGACACACACACACACACACACACAGAGTGCAGAGACAGTTCCTGCTGTGTGTGACTGTGACCTCCTGTCATTGTGTTTAGGGTTAGTGAGGTGTGACCGGTCATCATTCACATGGTGCACATTCTGTGACAGACTGAACTCACAAGACATATCAAACACAGCGTAGTGTGTGTGTGTGTGCGTCTCCATATAACTGTGAGTCAGTAGGATTGTGATTCACAGGACTAGAACGGTTTTCAATTCACTAAGGAGAAGCCGTCTCTTACAGGACACCACAGGACTCAGTGTGTGTTTAACAGGTGTCGTCCCTGCTGCTAAAAGGGCTCCATCTGGCTTTGCGGCTGGGCGGTCCCTGGTGACCCCTGACCTCTTCTGTAAGCCAGGTCGGCAGGTGCTGAGTCCAGGGGGCAAAGGTCGGGAGGTCAGCCACTACGCGGACGGACAGGATATCTTTATTGAATCCTACCTCAGGAACATGGCAGTCCACAAGCTTTCCTCTCTATATGAAGTGTGTACCTGCTGTCTGTGCTCATGCATGTTTGTGAGTAAACGTGTGTGTGTGTGTTTGGGCAGAGTGGAGTAATCCCTTTAAATCTCTTTAGCTGTTCTGAGCCATCCATACCATACAGAGCACGTGGGCAGTATGGAAAGCAGCCGTTTGTGGTGAATATTGGAACCCGGCAGCACAGAGAGAATGAGAGTTGTAACACCAGCTGACCTCTGACCCCAAGCTCTGCGGGATTTGTGCGGCGTAATAAAGTACACCCTTTGTTACGCCGCACAATCTCTCTGACTGTCTCCTGTGAAACGTGTGTGTTTGTGTGCTCCTCTTGTCGGCAGGAAACTGACAGGAAAAGATGAGTGTCACTGAATCGTTGTGTGAAGAGAGAGAGAGAGAGAGAGAGAGAGAGAGAGAGAGAGAGAGAGAGAGAGAGAGAGAGAGAGAGAGAGAACTGGGACGAATGAGCAGTGATCAGTGGGATGTGGGTTGAGGGCTAGATGTGTGTTTGAGTTACAGAGTAAAAAAAAAGCTCAACCTGAAGATAGAAGCACAAAAGATGGAGGATGGGTGAATTAAAGAGGAAGACTTAATGGTTGAATCTGGTAAATTATATATTAGGATCATCTCTTTTAACTGCTTTTAACAGTCTGTGGTCCTGTCATTTTACTCGCAAAGAACTCCGTCGGATATCAAGACACAAAATATCTACATCGGATTTTGATTGTGCTACTTGCACACACTTCTTGCCCAGGAGCGGTCAGATATAACCCATTATTTAGATGATTCACGTTTCATGTCAACAATGTTGCCGCTGTTTATGGGGATATTCTGAGTTCTTGTATCTGATCCTCCAGAATTTACTAATAAACCTTCTAACGAGTACAGGAAGCGACGGCAAAAAAACACCTATGTGTTCCTATAAAGGCCTTTTGTTTTGTGTATCCAAATCCCTGCTGTTAACCTGATAAGAAAATAGTCATTGTTTCCCCCCGTGATCACCAAAATTTCCCCCCAACCCCCCCAAAAAATACCCAATTTATGATCACACCGAATTATCTTTAAAACACCAGTGCTCGTGAGCATCTGCGTACGTCAGTTTAACGCGGACAACTGGAGTTTTCCCAGCGTGTTGTTGTGGATCAATGGCTCCCAGTGGGGTGGAGTGCTTCATTAAGTGGTTTTTCATGCCGTGTGCCGCGGCTCCGTAAAGTGCTGCTGTCATCCAGACGTGCAGCAGACCTGCAGTGACACATATGCAAATAGACACAAGCACATCATTTTCTCTCCTCCTCCGGCGTGTTGCTCAGTGTGTGAACCCTCGGTTACAACACAGAGCCGTGTTTTTATGCTGCATAAATTAACGCTTTCTTGTATTTATTTATTTTTTCTTCCCCCAGCTCTACTCCCCTTGCATTTATTTTACCAGCGCTGCACTGTTGTTGTTGTTGTTGTTGTTGTTGTTGTAGCGTGCCTTTTAAGGGCTAAGCTTTCCCCCTCTCCTCCCCTCTCTATCTCTCTCTCCCTCTCGCTTCGTTTTTCTCCCCTCCGGGGCTGATGTGATTTAAGGCTGTGCTTGAAGACTGAAGACCGGGCCGTTATCTGCCCGTTATTGATGCGAGCTGTAACTCTCGCCGTCCTCTCGCTCTACAGCCGGACTGCTGCTCTGGAAGGATGAGCGGACGGAAGAGAAGGAACAGGGAGGAGATAACACCGGGAGATTGATGGCCTTGCCCCGTAGTGGTCAGACGGAAGGCCGCGCGGTGTATTTCATGGATTTATGTAAAAACACAGCACATCTTCTGGAGGTTTCACTTCTCTCCGGCACCCCCCCCCCCCCTTGCGGCTTTCACCCCTCTTGTTCTTCCAACCCTCCCTCCTCCTTTCCTATTTCCTCCTCTTTCACCCTCTCCCGCTCCCCACCTCCTGTATCCAATTGTACATTATGTAGATGTCAATAATTTAGCACGGGATTGAAGGATCCAGTGCTTAACAACAGGTTACGATCTTTGCTATAAAAGCCATAAAATATGCGTTTGTGAATAAAATATGATTCGGCCTCTTTCAAAGCAGCTGAAACCTGTCAAGATTGCCACACGGTTTTTGACAGTATCGCGCTGAAGTGACAGTTCAAAAGCGGGGCTTTGTCTTTATCTTGGCAGGTTTTCAATCTTTGCTCTATTTCTGCACACCGCAGAGCATTATTTTCTATCCATTGTTTTGTAGACCGCCTTTCATCTCCAGGGCTTTGTTGTTTTTCTCACTCTCTCGCCGTCTCTCGCTCTCTCTCCCCCCCCCTCCCCCCTTACATCGTGACTTCTTTTTTTCCTTCTCTTTTACAGTTTCATCCTGTGTTGTACAGTAACAGCAGCAGTGGACTTGAAGCCCATGAACAGCGAACGCATCGCAGCCCCCCCCCTGCATCCCCCGATAACCTGCATCATGTAAACCGCCTACAAGGAAATGCACAGGCACTTCCTTCTGCTGTTTTTCTATCTTCTTTCACCCTTTGCTTTTCCTCATCCTTCACCCGCACACTTCCTCCTCCCCCTCCTCCTCCTCCTCCTCTTCCTCCTCCCCCACCTCCCCCATCTCCTCCTCCTCCCTTTACCCCATGGGCCTGGGGATCGTTCCTTTGTTCCTGACATCTGTTTTGTTGGGTGATTAATTGAGATGAGCATGTGGGGTGAAGGCCTGTAGAGGGGGAGCTTGGACCCCCCAGGTAATGTGGATGAGTGTGTGTCTGTGTGTGTGTGTGTGTGTGTGTGTGTGTAAAGGTGTGTGTGTTAGCAGTGGAGCTGGAATTAATCCTTGATCTGGTTAGTAGTGACTGTCAAGGATTCCCCCTCAAGAGCTCAGGCATATGAACATGTGAATACTCGATAGAATGTTTAAAAAAAAAAAAAGCTTTCCCTCAATACAAATTCCCCTTCATCTTTCCTCAGTGTTTTGATTCAGCAGTGCTGAAGATTTAAACCACAGCTGACTGAGAAGTGATAGCACACGTTCGCACACCACATGTCAGAATAGCCCAGCAGCAAAGCTTTGATTTGCTGAGAATCTTGTATCAGAACGGGGACCAAAATGGACACTTCTGTTGAAGTTTTCGGGAATTAGATCCCCGTCGTCAAACAAAAGGACGTTGATTTTTGATTCCTGCAGCTATATTGATCACAGACACAATGGAGGTGGGCATGCTTCTATCATGACCATAAAAAGGAGAGTAATAAAAAATGCATTATAAAAAAGATATCGGAATACATACAATAATTAATCATATTTTGCATATTTAACAAGTTCTTTACCAACCCAATCAGTTCATCGCCAACAGAAATATATTATGTTTAACTTCAATTAATATATTATTATTTAAAGCAATTAAGAGCAATAAGAGATAGTAGGCGTGTGTCCCTAAAGTCAAGATTTAATCTCAAATGAACGCGTTTAACATTTATGGGGATTAATTGGCAGCAATGGAATATAATATTCATAATGATGTTTTGATCAGTGAATAATTACCTGAAATTATGAATCGTAGGGTTTTTGTTTGCTTTGAAAAATACATTTGTATTTTACTAAGGAGTCTTTCACGGACAGAGCCTTTCATGTTTTGGGATGTGTTCTGTAACCTTGTATTGAAGTAAAATAATGGTATTTTTATTCATACATTTTAATATTTTGATGTAATTCATTATCCCTCAACCTCCTCCAACTACACACACACACACACACACACACACACACACACACACACAGGAAGCACAAGCTGTAGTGAAGTGAACAAGGTGAAGTGAAGGATAATCAAGGACGTAACTAGCTAGTTACTGTACGAGCAATAAAATCTTTGCATGTAAGAAAAATACTTATTGATCTGTGTGTCCTGATTTGGGTACAAAATATTAAAAACAACGTCTGAAGTAGTGATTCGTGATCCTTTGATGTCAGAAGGCGTCCGAAGGGACGGACATAGATTTAAAGGCCGGTTTAGAGGCCGGGTCAGAGGTCGTGTGTCAGCTCGGCGGCGAGGCCGGGGCCAGGAAGCATGCTGACAGAAATGTAAAACTCTGCTGCGGCGCTTTGCTCTTGATGATGGTGATGATGCTCATGGAGGATGGGTGGAGGAAGGGGTGCGCGTGAGGGGAGGGGGGAGCGTATATTTGTTCTCATGGGACGCAATCCATGAGAGCTCTACGAATGGGACCTTTGCAAGGGTGGGAACTGACTGGGCGAGAGGATGGAGGAGGCGATACATACAGTAGATAATCACCAGATATCACCATCTGGGTAGACAGAGCGGGGCCAAACAAAGGCACACACTGCAACACATATCTCTCTCTCTCTCTCTCTCTCTCACGCACACACACACACACACACGCGAAGAGCAGTGTCACAGCAGCAGGCTAATTTCCCACTCAGTGTGTGTGTGTCATACATATAAATGGACAGATGGACAAGACAGACAGATAAGCATGGGTAACAAATTAAAGGCAAACTCCACCAGATTAACACATACAGTTCATTTAACTCGTCACAGTGGGAAGAATTCGGCAATGAAAACCTTTCAATGTTTGAAATGAAAAATAACCACGATGATGTCATTATCATTTATCAGAAAGCCGACCTTACAAACTACAAGTTTGAACTCGAAAAGGGAAGAGGGGTCAGGAGGGGTGAGAAGCAAAATCTAAATAATCACATGGCTACATTTTTTAGCCCAGTAAAATAGTCCCATTACAAATATATTAATGAGGAGGATTTTTAGATATAGATAAACACTAAAATATTGACAAAATTTTGCGCTCTACATTGTTGCAGGTTTAAGCTCGTGGCTCGACAGGTCATGAATGAATGGAGAAGCAACAACAAACAACAAAAAAGTTGAACAACAAACAGTTAAAAAGTTGAAAAAAGGTCTTAAGAGAAGGAGAGAATTGCGTGTTTTAGTGTCTCCGTCAGGTGTTGGTTCACCACAAGCAGCCAGAACAGGAATGCCATTTTTACAAAAGATATTTAGTCAATTAAAAAAATGACCTTATTACATGTAAAATGCAACCCATCATCACCATTATTTAATGGTTAATAGAAGAATGTTTTGCACACGGCATGAGAAACATCAAGCCTAAAATGATCAGTTGTACTGTGTACATATACTGACATATACTGACATACTGACTTACACACTGCTTTAACTAAATACACAGGAACACCCACAGCAAAAACTCTCACAACTACGAATACCACACCAGCAGAGTAATTTCCCATTCAGTATGTGTCGCTGTGATCAGCTTATACTTGCAGACAGATGGACATGAGAGAGAGACATAGACATAGAGAGGGAGAGAGAGAGAGAGAGAGAGGTGTAGATGCACTGGGACCAAGGCCCATTAACAGCCTTGATCAATGCTGCTCTGCATGTGGTGGGACGTCGGCTCACGTGTGTCTCAGTCACGTAACACGTGACAATGTGAGCGTGCAAGAATGCCGTGTTCAGGACAGTTTCACGGTCCGACCGGCACCAGACAACCTGAATCCAGTGATGAGCTTGGGGGGCCGCAATTGGGGAGACGACGACGGTGGGGGGGGGGGTCGCTGTGGAAACACAGGGTACTTTCTTCTCATTTCATCCTCGTTTGTTTGCACCATCACAAGTACACAGTCTGCATGACATAAAGGCGTGGACAAAGACACAGCGACCGAGTTCGCCAGTCCAAACCTCGGCAGCACTGCTGTTTGGGGTCTTTTTACTGAGCCTCCGGGGGCCAAGTCATAATGTGATTGTTCTGCCTTTTGGACCATTTGTAAGTGTTTCCGTAACAGACTAATGCAGATGGTGGTGTGGATTCAGTCTCATGTACCCAACAATTCCTGTCCCCGCAATTTTAGCTCACTTTTCTCCCTCTCTCTCTCTCTCTCTCTCTCCCTCAAGGGCACAGTAGACCCATCAGTGTCCAATCAAATCCCCGATGGTATGGAAGACACCAAGAGGATGATGAAGAGGAGAGAAGAAAGGATGAGAGGGATCGTTTGAAGGAAGCGTCCTCGGGTTTCTCTATACAATATGTGCATAATGACTTCCACTGACAATTATCTTTGATCCAACGCGAGCCACCCTCCGCCCCTCCACCCTCTCCACATCCCACCACCCGTCCACTCATCTCCGCGTCACTGTATCCTCCGTTCGGCTCTTCCTCGATCCACCATCTTTTAATCTTGCAGCGCCTCCCTGGCAATGACACCCCTCTTTTCTGGAACCGTCAGAGTGATTTAAGCAATGACAAATAATATACGTTTCGTCTAGTCAACACATACATGTGCACACACAGACACACACAGATATATATAGACACATAGACACCCCCTTCTATGCGAATGGATACAGAGTGACTGCGTAATGAGGCGTACTCACTCGGGGTCAGTGACCTCACTAGGGCTGAGATGAGGAGGGGAGGCTGTGTGGAGAACACATGAGAGGGAGGGAAAGATGAAGGGGGGGGGGGGCTTTTTCTGGTCAACCCTGCCCCCCCCCCCTCCCCACCCCCTATTTCTCTCCATTTATTTGTCATCTTCTCCTTTACTTGCCAGCAGCTGGAGGGCTGCATGTCTGCTGGAGAGAGCCGGGGGAAGCAGCACAGAGAAGAAGTGTTTAAGTGCTGACGGCAGCCCCCGGGGTGCTGCTGAGGCCGGCGTGTCAGCCTTATTCTGCCCCAGCATGCATCAGACAGGCAAATGATAGAGAAGCAAATGGACAAAGGGGAGGAGAAGTGGGGAAGAGGACGGGTATTCTTCTGTTTTCAAGACAGAACAAGAGCCCATAAGAGAAAAAAAAGGGAAACTGAGGAACGGGTGAAGCTGGTATTTCATTGACCACATCTCCCTTTGTCCCCTCCCCTCCGTCACCATTCGGTGATAGATTGAGGTAGACTGCTCGCTCGGTGACAGACATTCCCTCACGTTTCCACGGCAATGAGGTCAGAGGTGGACGCTCGTTATTGGCTGTTGTCTGTAATCATCACACATCGCGCTGTGTGTTTGTTGCTCCTCCTCCTCCTTTCTTGACCCACATGATCCCGGCTCCGTGCGGCAGGGCGTGACCCCCGGGGGGCCAAAGGGTCTCGACCGTCTCGACCTCGGAGGTCAGGGGTGTTTGCGGCGTGTTGGCGGATGTATTTGCACGGGCGTTAACAGCTCAGGCAGATCATACAGAAAGAAAGACATAGATAACCAATTGATGATTCATATTCAGAAAATGTGATCACAAAAGAATTTACAACAAAAAAATCGTTCTTTTCTTTTTATGAGAACCGTGCTCTTCATCCCACCCACAAGACAGTCGCACACACACACACACACACACACACACACCCTCCAGCACCCCTCTCCACCCTCTTTCCTTTGTATACTTTATCTCTTCTCTCCAGTCTGCCCCCATGTCAGTTTGTGGTTTTGCTGATGTTTCACAACTGCTTCAACAGCGGTTTATCAGCCATTGTGAGTATATGTGTGTGTCTGTGTGATCGTGCAGGCGTGTGAGGGCCTGTGGTCATGCCTTATGTGCATCCTTCTGCGTGTCTACATGTGCATTTGGGGTTCATATCGGTGCGTGGGTCGATACCTAGTGTGTCCTGCAACAGTCTCTCTTCATTGATGATGACAGACGAGGTTATAGGTGTCGCTTTGAGACTCTCACAATCAATCTTATCACCGGCACGCTTCCTTGTCACAACGCACAGAGAAGAGGGAGAGAAGTGAATACAACGCATGAGGAAAATGTTCAGAGGTGAAATGAAAACAAAGAAGAAAAGAGGAAAGTCAAACACAAAGAGAGAAAAAGTGAGACAGGAACAATTAATTTCAAAAAGACTTCTGTGCTTACCTGCGTTCTTGGACGTGAATGTGTGCGCACATGCAACGGCGCACGGCGTGTGGCGCTGGGAGAGGAAATGGCAGAGAGAAATGAGGGCTCGCGTGCTGAGATGCAGACATTGATAGAGAAGCCGGGTTCCTCCGGGCTGCCATGGACACAGAAACCACGAGCTGCAAAAAGACGCTGCGAAATGTGCCGGTTGACTTTAAACCACCAACGAGCAGGACACCACAGAACAACCTCACGAAATTGCCTCACACGGGATATCATTCCACTGTGTTGCAGCTTGTCTCTGTGCTGTGTGTGTGGGAAGCAGTTTTGGCCCACAGCTCCAACGTGGCTATAAAAGAATTGGGTCTCGGTGACACTAGATGGGATGTTAGCTCGCCAAGACCGAACAGTAATTGATGGAAAGCCCAGCTAACGTGATGTGTCAGACATATGAGGCCTGTCTAATCAATGGGAATCACGTGACCGGTTTTGAGGCTGTGTGTATGTGTACGTGCGCGTGGATTGGACGGAACGTGGATATTCCGGTCACATCACGGTATGCAGCAGCATGTCTGCCATCCAAAGCAGCAGACTGTTGATTTTCAGGGGACTGGAGGCTGAAAATGAGGAGAGGACCGAAAAGAGAGGAGGAGAGGAGGGTATCTGAGTGAAGCGAATGCTTAAGGGCAGGTTTTAACCCCCCCTCTTCTTCCTTCCTCCTTCCAACACACACACACACGCACACACACACACACACACACACACTTTCCTCCCCTTCACTCTCCCTTCCTCTCTCTCCCATGATGAATCAGCTGTCACTCAGGCACCAGTCCAATCTACTGATAATGAGAACTGCATCAACACTCTCTCGCCTCTCTTCCTCCCTCTTTCTCTTTCTCTCAATCTCTTTTTAGACACACCAACATACACACACACACACACACACACACACACACACACACAGACACACAGACACACTGACACACGCACACACACACACACAAACACGGGTGCACCGCACACTCACACAAACTCATTCATCTCTCCCTCACTCATCCGTCTTACAATACTCCTCCCCCCTTTTTTCCTTCCTTCGTCCATCCCTCCCTATTTTCTATCCCTCCTCCTCCTCCTCCCTCCTCCACCATTCCTCCTCGGCTCTCTCCTCCTCTCCTCCTCTCCCGTGCTCGATGAGCTGAGCAGTCAGTGGTGGGACTGAGGCAAAGGAGGGAGGATAAAGCAAGAATAGAGGGAGAAAAGAGAACACAGAGGCACAGAAAAACAGATCATTATACAGCAAACGAGCAAGAGGCCGCTGAATGAATAACAAGGAAGGGATTACAAAGCGCAGGACCAAAAAAAAAAGAGGAGAGGACGCCGGCTGAACACTCTCGCTTTCTCTCTACTCTCTCCTTCCTCCACTCCCTCCCCCCTCTTCCCATCCTTCCTGTCACCCTCCCAACTCTCCCACAGGCTCTCCCTCGCAGGCGAGCTCTCCAGTCAAAGATGGCATGAGCACACTGTCACCCGTCCTCAGCTTGCGGAGCGTTTTCTCTTCTCCCCCCCCTCCCCTCTCCTTCTCTCTCTCCATCGCTGCACTCCTGTGTCTCCCTCCGATCCCCTTTCACCTCCTCGCTCGACACGGGTTCAATCCAGAGGGCGAAGAGGAGGGAGGAGGGAGGTAGACAGAGGCTGACCTCTCCCCTCCTCACACCTCGCACCCGCAGGGCCCAGAGGGAGCCGGAGGAGGGAGCCGTCTGATGACTTACGCCGACAACGAGCTCCTTAACCCGGCCGGCCCCAGCGCGCCCCCTCCTCTCTCCTCCCTGCTCCTGTGGAGTCTCTCCTTCTCTCAGTCGGTGGAGGAGTGATCCGGGACCATGTTTGGGTTAAAGACTCCACACTTCTACCTCCCAGGTAAGACCTCTTTTTATGCGTGTTTGTGGGGAGGCTCTCTGTGCTGGTGTCGCTTCTGCTGTCAAACTGGACGCTGGTCACGTGGCTGCAGCGAGTGAATTTCTCTTTCATGCAATCATTCTTTCAACGCATAACTAATAGCTTGAGTGATGTCACATTGATTTAGTATCAGGTGAGGAGGGTTACCCCCTCTGCATTCACAGACACTGCAGCCCCAGCGTTATGAGATTTATTTTCTTAGTCAAAACAACATTTTTCTCACAATGGAGTATTTATTTTTTGCTACCATTGTGAATGTTATATCAGAATGTATATATTTTCGACATCCTTAGTTAGTTTTTTCAAAGTTGTTCAAAGGTCTTTTGATCTTTTAAAATTTTTATTGGGTTCACCAAAAATGACACATTCTACAGAGATGGGACAATTAGTCATTTACCGTAATGTTTTAATAGATCCACCGAAGATGAATCCGCAAAATCTTGTATATCCATGATTCCATGCGAGAACCTAAAAGTCGCATCTCTTCTCGCCCGTCAGTGGTATGAGCTCATATTTTGAGGGTTTGCGGCGTGTGCGGCGCCAAACCGATACATAGACCACCACTCTTTCTATTAGAAGATGTTCTTTTTTTTCTGCTTTATTGTGGACATTATTTTAATTACTATGACATATAATTTACAGAACAAAAGGTCCTGCATTGGCTTTAAATGTGTGATTGTTGTGCGGCCTTCATTGTCCAGAATGTGGTTTATCTCTCTTCTGCGGGAGGCTTTTCAAGCCGGCTCGCCTTATGTTCTGCAACTGTGGGATATAGAAGAACGTGCGCCTCGTGTTCAGTGGGGGGTCAGGATTGAGTTTACCTGAGAAAGGGTGCTTAAACATGCCCACTGCCACGCTGACAGAACCCCCCCCAGAAACCAGAAAAGAAAGAGGGGGGCGGGGGCAGTAAAAGACAGTGTAAAGGAGAGAAGGTGAGGAGAAAATAAGTAATGTGTGAAGCAGGTTTATGTACATTTAAGCAGTGAAGGAAATGGTGTGAATAACAATGTTTGAAGGCCTGAAGGCAGACCTTCCCGACGTGTCTTTACCCCGACCCTTGACCCCGATCTCTGACCTTTTAGTTGTCTGGGGCAGACATGTGGTCAATGGTTAAAAACCTGCTGTGGCAAAAGGTGAAAAGAGAAGAAGCACAGAGGGAGGGGGTGGATGGGATGGGGGTGGATGGGAGGGGGGGTCAGAGGGCGGAGGACAGATTAAACAATGTTCTTTGCCTTGTGAATCTTTCATGCTGGTTTTTGAATTATACATGTGCTTTCATAAATGATTGAATCACAGTGATTATGTGGTGCTTTGTCAGTGTTTGTATATTTGTGTGTGTGTGTGTGTGTTTTTGCGCATGCATGTGAACGAGAGAGGAAGAAGAAAATCTCCCCAGGAAGCAACCTCTCCCCTCCCCTCACCTCCTCTTTTCTCTTCTCCCTCCCTTCCTCCTCTTCCCTCCTTCCACTCCACTCCACTGGCTTTTCATCCTCTTTTTTTTTTCAGTTTCCTTGGTCTCGCTCGTTGTCCGTGTGGCGTGTGTACATGTCAGCTTCCGTGTGCATGAGTGTGCTTTTATGCATGTGTGCAAAAGCTTTTTTTGTCATAGCTGGCACCTTCATACTGCGTGTGTGTGTGTGTGTGTGTCTGTGTGCACCTGTCGGTTCTGTTTGTGTTTCTGTGTGTGTGTGTGTGTTCTCATCATTCACACACTGGAAGATGCCCCAGCCCCCCTCCTTGTCCTAACTGCCGTTGCTGTGGAGACACTGTCAGCCACACGCTCACTCCTCAATGATCATTTGACAATGTAGGGGGTGAGGGGCAAAGGGTGTGTGTGTGTGTGTGTGTGTGTGCGCGCGTGTGTTTGGAGTGATTACTGTGTGATCAGTCAGGGTGGAAGGAGTGGAGCAGAGTAACGATGAGACGCAAGTGGAGATTAGAAGCAACAATACAAAATCAGGTTAATGATACATATTATCTACACGTAAATCTATCATAAAACCATCAAACAGGAAATGTAAATGTACGAGGAGACATGAGAGACTGTGTATGCGTGTGTGTGTATAAGTGCTGCATTGTGTTGTTACCCAGAGCACACAGTGACCTTAACATGGTATCATAACGAAAAGAAAGTGGCATTTTGCTATCTCTCACTCTCTGCACCCCCCGGTGATGTGCGCCACACACGTTACAGCAGTTTACTATTTTCCCTCAGTGACTTGTCTGTTGATCGCTTTTCAAATGTCTTTTTAAAATGTTATTTTTTGAAAACAGAATGTATTCCCATGAGGAGTTGCATCAAGGCGGCTGGGAGTTTGTCATGAAATAAACAAAACCAGCTTTTACTGTTTTTAAAGAATAAGGCGGCCGATGTTCTGTATTTTTCTTGTTCTCGAGAAATCCCTAAAAAAACAAAAAACAACCCTGTGTTAGTCTGCTTCTGAATACTTTTTCCCTCAGCTAATAACGTATTTGTTACTAGTAGGACAAATAAATACTTTTTTGTTTAAAAATAGCCACGCAATTTACTCAGAAACTGTGCTTGTTAACAAATGTAACTCAAGGGGGAGCAATTAGTATGTTTGCTGCTACTTTCAGCTGCAGATTACAAACGTTGGTTCCTCTAATGGTAATTTACAGCAGTGTATTTGTTTTAAATTCAGAATAAAACAACAAGAAAAGAGTTAGCTCATCTCTAGTTCTCACAATGTTACAGGGTTAAACATCGAATAAAATACCTGCATGAAGGATCAACACTCGGTGACGTTCATGTTTTTCTGTCCATGTATACGTTGGCTCACACGCTCACACAGATTATACGTGCGAGTCAATAGAGGGAGAGAGCCGGGTCCTTTGACGTGTGTGTTAGCCTCCTATATTTATTGGCTGCTGTGGTATTTTCGGGGGTTGGGTAGCTGTGTTCGACTTGACCTCTGCATTGATTTCCATGATATGTGTCATAGCTACAAGGACACTGTGGCTTGTGATTTATGGCAGATATCACCTGAACGTACTCACACACACTCACACACACACACACACACACACACACACACACACACACACACACACACACACACACACACACACACACACACACACACATGCATATATACACTGGTCACCTAGCTTAAGGATGCCACACTGTGAGTACGGTATTTCTTAACTTTACTCAATATTGTACTTGCTTTGCACAGCGGGATTAGTTATAATCAAATACCAGTTTCTTACTGCACAAGAGTAATGATTTCCGCGGAATTGCAGAAATTGTGTTATCGTTCAGAGAACTCCTCAAGTGGCCTCGAACAAAAGGGAGACAGACAAAACAGAGCAGAAAACTACGATTTTAAACAAAAATCTCTGCATAGTGGTGTCTCATCGTGTCTCGCATTGCCAGTTGTTTTGTGCAACAGAATGAGAGCCTGTACTGATGATACCTTAATAGTGCATCAATATCCCTTAAACTCTCCTCCTTTCCCTTTTTTCTTGCTCGTTGTTTTTGCTTCCCTTTTATTTCTCACCTGCCCGTCTTTCATTTTACCTCGATGGAGATGCCAGGTGGGCTCTGGCTCGTACGTCAGGCTCCGTGTTGCGAAGGAGCCAGAATTCAATCTCCGCTTTTTGAGTCTTTATTTTAAGTAGGACACGTGAGTGTTGTGTTTATATGTATACGTTCTAGTGGGCGTAGAAGCTCCTGGCATGCACACAAAAGTGTGTACGTTTGGCCATATTTCCATTCTGTATGTTTGTAAATAAATTCATACGGTGGGCTGAGATGGGTGCCAC